ACTGCAAGCAGATGATGCCCCAGCCACTAGACAAACTGAGCAGTTCTGAGCTGTTCTTGATGTTCGGGGGTTGTACCGGGACCATCATGGGGTTGATAGGCTATGACTCCAATGATCAAAAATATCCACCAGCCACTTTGCGCGCGTCACTGGCTTTCCACAACAAATCAGTAGTGGAGCGGCTGGTTTATTTCACTGGAAGTAAAAACTTCGCAAGATTTACCTGGCTGAACCAAAGGTATAAGATGGTACAAGTATGGTCAAGGGCATGAAGCATTGGTGCTGGAATTTCCATGCGGGCACTTTTTTTTGGTTGGTTGGAACTAGGTCACTAGGTTTGAATTGAGATGACATGCCACGGCCTCGTCTAAGTCTGCATGATACTTTGAGTTGGTAGGAGGTGCTTGACTGAGCAACAAAAAACCAGGCCACCTGTCAAAAAACATCAGAATGAGTTGTATGTAAGGATGCTCATCCAATGACTCAAGATACCCAAGCCAAAGGTGATTTAATCATCAACATGATATGCCCGTACCGAGGCGATTTTGTGGGCCTCCCGAATTCCACGAATCTTTTTTTTGGCGGTGTTTTATCATGCTCGTTGTGTTGAAATGGGCCACAATCAACGTTTTTTTGCTGGTGAACACGATATTGTATGAGATTATGTTTCTGATTAATGTATATAATTATTGGTTGAACCCCCGTTGTACCCCATTCTGCTTCCGGATGAAACGTGTTTTGTTTCTTCCCATCTTGATCATGTCACAAGAAAAACACTAGAAAACAATCAGTTCCCGGTTCTATCTCCATTCTTTCCCGTGTTTTTGCCCGTTACATTCCATTCTTCAGGCTATTGCTTCCCCAGTTAAAAGTTGGTTTACCGCCTCCACATCCTCCACTAAGTACTTCGATATATCTATCATAAACCCAACAGTTCTTTTTAGTTATGTTTTCCACCTTAGCTAACATAAATCAGCTATAAATCCCATCAAATGCCCATTTTTGCTGGTTAAATATGGTGAAACTACCATGTTCCTATGGGTTTTGCACGTTTTTTGCCACGAAAAGAACGGCGACCGCGAAGCAACCGCCCTTCTGCGCCCTCGACAAAGGTTGGACGCCTTCGCGAAGGAGCTGAGCGACGACGTCTTCGCGGCCAAGATGGATGGCAAGTTGAACGACGCTGAGACGGCAGCTGCTGGTGAGTAATGGTTACTGTAATGCTTAATATATGGTTAATATATGGTTAATATATGGTTAATATATGGTTAATCTATGGTGAATCTATGGTGAATCTATGGTGAATCTATGGTGAACTATGATTAATGATGATTAATGATGATTAATGATGGTTACTGATGGTTAATAATGGTTGGTGATGGTTAATAGTGATCATTAATGATGACGAATAGTGGTTCATGATAGTTAATGATGTTTAATGATGGTTTATGTTGGTAAAACAGTGCCATAAACCATCCCCAATGACTAACTATTTTTATAGGTGCTATTTTCTCCATTCCCAGTCATGGGTGGTTTATGGCATTTTTTTAAAACAACATTAAGGTTATTTATGGTGAATAGTCTAGTGGTTAACTGTACTGGCGAATGACGCTGATAAATGGTTACTCATAGTGATTCATACCGGTTGATGATGGTGATTAGTGGTGATTAATTGCTAATCATTGTCATTAATGAATGGAATCTGCTTGGTGGTTTGGAACTTTTTTTATTGTTCATATATTGGGAATAATCATCCCAACTGACTAATATGTTTCAGAGGGGTTGAAACCACCAACCAGGAATATAATGGAATCACCCTTCGGCAGTAGACAGGAAATCCCCTTAATAAATGAACATTTACATGGGGAAATCATTTACACACTCGGGATTTTCCATTGTCATGTTTGATTGCCAGAGGGTACCACTTCAAAGAAGGCTAGGTTTGAACCAGAGATGGCCAGACAGCCTCATTGCTGGTTGTTCAATAGCGAGGCACACCCATTTTTCCCACCATGAACGGGCTAAAATAGTCCGAAAGCGACCCTGAAGACTCTTGCTCATTTAAGACCATCATGTTGGCTGCAAATTCCCATTCAAGTTGGTTGATATCGCAGCGTTTGCTGGGCAGATCCTAACATTTCGGCATCAAACATCCCAATTCTCCTTAGGCAAAAATCTGTCCAAATCTTGGGCTGAACATTTTAACGTTTTGGCCGCAGTTTTGCTGGTTGAATCCCATTTCTGGTGGATTTCATAACCATTTGCAAGCTGATTCCAATCATCCATGTCAGGGTAAGCCCGCAGATGCCAAGAAGGGAGGTAATGCCATGGGCCAAAGGCCAAGGACACCTCCAGCCTTGCACCGATGGCGCTGTTTCCTAGCCTTTCAAAGCTGGGCTTGAGACAGTGAAGGCACCGTCACACGTGGAAGACTACTGGTGACATGGCTGCTGTCAGTTGTGCTCGCCTTGAGCATCCTTTGAAGGAGAATCCCGCAGTCTTCACTCCTGTTCCGACTGGGGAGAGCTTTCGGCCGTCACGAGTGTTGGTTGACAAATACTTCTTGCTTTGCAGTCAGTGACTATTGCAAGTGCAGCCACGTTGGGAAGTTTGTACAGCTAGTTACTCGTTCAACATTCTTTGGCGGTATACTTCACTTCATTAAACGATCTGATTCTGAACCGCCACAAGCCCATTTCGGTCTGTCAAGCAATTTGTTTCTGCATAAAATAGCCCGTGTTGATTTATTAAACAGCCATTTATCATTTTTTCATGAAATCGTCATATGAGTAGTGACCAAAACCGCTGTTGATTGGTTTTCCACAGGGGATCATATTGCCCGCTTCAGCGGGAGTCCATTTTGCCAATCCAGTTCGTCACCAGGGTGCGGACAGGGCTGACATACTTGGTGGGTCAACTGGTCAACTTATCAAGCGGATTGCAGGATAGGTCTAGTTCGTCCAGTTGCAACTGGGGTTCTCATCCACTTTTGGTTCCTGTGGTGAAGCACCAAGAAGAGTTTTGAACACTGATCAGATTGATGATTTTTCACCTTCCGAATGGGAAATCAATGGAAATCAACTTGAAATGGGGAATATTTTTTTGGTACATGTTTTCTTTTTCGGGTCTTCCTAGATCGCCAATCCAAGTAGAACACCCAAGCTGATTGGTTGATAAACTGCTTCAAGCATCAAATGTGGTGTTTTAGTGGGGATTTAAGCATCAAAATTCAAGGGCTTGTCAATTCCTAAATTTTGGGGTTTCCTAAAATGGGGGATCCGCAAAATGGATCAACATGGATGGTTTATAATGGAAAAACCCACTAAACTGGATGATTTGGGGGTACCCCAATGACTTAGGAAACCTTCAAATCCACAGTTTATGATGCTCCAAACCCTGTCCCTCTCATTGCCATTGCCTCGCCATTGCCTTGCCACGTGCAAGGACTTGCCGGTGAGTGGCTTTAAAGTGAAGGCTGCAGGGGGGATGATGGATGTGGTTCCAGGAGGCGGTCCTGGAATGTCCTGGAATGTCCTGGAAACATGTGGGTTTCACCGGCAAAAAATGGGATTCAACCAGCAACATGGTGATTTTGACCAAGAATGAGGGTCATACTGGGTACAATGGAGATGATCTATAAATCTCAACATTGTTTTGTCCAAACAATTGGGATTTTCTGGCAATCTGAACGGAGAAGATGGTGACAAACCACTGAAATTTGGGCAATCTGGTGGATTTGATCGCCAGAGGCAACGACAGTTTCAATCTGTTTTGGGGGATGGACTTGCCACATCAGACCCACTGAAAGTTCGTTGCGAACTTGGCAGGGAGGACACCATGAAGCAATGGAAGTTCATTGTAGATGATATGTCTTCTGATGGCAGTGTAACATGTATTCAAATGTATTCAATGTATATATTCCACCAGCTGTTGAAATATGTTGAACATGGGGCTTTCCCAATGCCATGGCCGCAATGGGGAGGGCAAACCCCATCCATTTGGGGGTGATCATCACTCTTGGCTTGCCACGTTGAAAAGTCGTGCATATGGTTGATGTATTGCAAGCACACCCATATCGCCCTGTATCGCCTGTATCCCTTAGTCGGGTGCTCTTGTCTTGAAACAGCATTTAGCCATGGTGTCCAAACCCTGCAAGTTTTCGCATGATCACCACCAAACGGACCATAAAATGGGGACCGTGCAGATGCCAAGATGGGCATGGGTCAAAAATGATGTTTCTCCAATACTTGAGATATGAACATCCGCAACTAGTAGCCAAACCCTGACATGGAAACCATGATTTTAATCGGAGCGTGACTCATAGTGAGATCCTCTATTTTAAGTTTCGCTCACGTGTGGGTCTTTTTAAGGGAAAATCTTAAGCAAAAACCAGGGTTTCTCATTAGATAAAGAGGTTTCCGGCAAATGTTCCCATGAGAACTGGCCTTTTGTAGCCTAGTGAGGTGTTCGTTGGACCGTGGTGGGTGCACCTTGCATCTTTCACTGAAGTCAACCTTGATGACTGGTAGGTTTCCTTTTTTGTGCGATTTTGAAGTAGAGAGGAATTAGTCTCTCCATATCCCATGACGGATCCATGGTGCTGCCATAATATGCCATATTAATGGTAACATTTACCATTCATATACCCCAGTCATGTTAGCTATACCAGCACCATGGATCCATAATAGGTATCCTTGAAATCTCCCATGTATGGATGTCGTTTTCCATGGGGTGATACCCATTCAGTGCGGGGACTTTCCGGCCATGTTAGATTGACAATGACATGGCCATGGCTATATGGCCTTAATGGGATATTCCATGGGATGCGCTAATTTATATGTTCCCAATACTAAGGGGGAATGTTAATGGGATATAATGGATACTGAATGGGATATAATGTTTAATGGGATTTACCATTTAGCTCAATTTAGCTCATTATATTCCACTAAATCATGCTAAAATCCCAGAAAAACATTCCCCCTTAGTTCAAGCGCATCGCCATGCTTCGGGTGCGCCAGGGCTACCCCACGCTCTTCTTTATCGAAGCGGGGCAGAAGGCCGGCCCTTGTGATGCTGGGGAATCGCAACTGAAAAAATGGATGCATCTGACATGTTTGTAGGGAAAATGATGATCAAACCTAGGATCTTCAGGGTAATTATCCAATTTTCAAACCCACGTGGGTTGAGTGAATGATTTTGCAACGCAACGTCACACCAGAAAAGATGATCAAAACGATGTGAATGTGAATCAATATTCTCATCAATATCCAATTCATGTACCAATACGGAGATGGCTGATATGTCAGCACTGCGTTGGCTCAACAGTTGGATATGTCAATCCCAAAAAAATGGGGACAGTTTTTAAGTTCCCTGGCCCTGGCCACTAAAAACATCACTTGCAGATTACTGTATCACTTATTATCTACATAATTTGGTAAACACACAAAATAAACCTATACCATTTGGGTATGGTTTTATAAAACCCATTTATGGATATTTATGGTGATTTTGGGGATGGTTTATGATTGGGTTTACCACATTCATCCTCTCCCCTACTATTCAATACCTCCAATGTGACTGACCTCAATTCAGGTATAGATCCAATATGTACAAACCTAGGTTTCGTCGGATTTCGTTGGTGTTGTGTTTAATTCCTCTCCAGTGATGTTTTAGCAGTCAAATCATCATAAATCATAGCACGTGGTCTATGGATTCCATAGAAAGCTGTTAGAAAATGTGTAATTCCCAGTTGCTACATTTTTCTGCGGATGCGGTGGCAAGCCTGAGATACCATGCGTTGGCTCATTGGCTCATTGGCTCATATGGTCCTGGATCTATGGGATCTATGGCAAAGAATTGATCTAAGCACTCCCCAAAGGCCAAGGTTCTGCCCGAACTTTGGGTGCTGCTCAGTGCTCCTTATACCATTCGTAAGAAGCTCCAGTTTGTGGCGGGTCTCGTTCCACCAAAAGTTGAACCAAGTGAAACTTAGCAAATACTAAGTAGGGGGTCTTGCCGAACCACCAAGGTAATTAGTTGATTTATGTTGACTGTTTATCCCAGCATGTCTGGATTGTCATCCCATTCTTACTGGTCGAATCCCCATTATAAACCATCATAAAAGGTGGTGTTCCCCCCATTGATGCTTGTTGCTCTATAAAACATCCATATAACTACGTAGTTCGAAAGAAACCAACTTTAGAATAACAATATATAGGTTTTGCCTAGTTAAGTGCCCACCAACTTAGCCAACTAATTCCCATTTAGTCACTATGAAATCATCTTAACCATTAAATCACCAACTAAGTTCCATTTCATCACCATCTAGTCACCGTTAAATCAAGAGAAATGGGGTTACCCTCTGGTTATCTAACAGTTCGCCATGGTATAGATGGCCCATAGAAATAGATGGTTTACCGTTCTTAAACATGGGGATTTTCCATGGCGAACTGTTAAATAACCAGATGGTAAATCACTAAACCATCTATAAATGGGCTATTTTCCATGGCTATGTGAGTCACAACCAGATGGTAAATCACCATTTTTCAGCTGCGTTTGGTCACCTCGTTACGCCGTGGAAAGCCCATGGAGGAGCCCAGCTTTCAACAGATCGGCAGCAACGCACTACACGCCATGCGGCGGTTCATGGAGTCCCTCGGCACCGGAGGCACAATTTGGGGCTTAGATAATATACATATATATATAATATATATATGTATATCATATAATATATGTAAGGTATAGATAATATGTATATCATATTAGTCTGAAATGTCTAGAAATGTCCAATGGATCATGCTACGATCATGAACATTTGATGAAACATGGGAAATAATGGTGGTAAACCAAGACTAATGGGGCTTATATAGGTTTTTCATAAATGGGGATGATGCTCTTGGTTAGCAATGGGAAATCCCCGAACTATATAGAGGTTTAATGGGAATATCAACTTCTCAATGACTAAGTGGGACCCCCGGACGATATCTACGGTGGTGCAATGAACTCCAATAACTATGGTTTATGATACTTAAATATATCTATAGTCTGATTAGTGGCATTTGGTAGGGATTAAAAAACCAACTTGTAATTGGGGGGGGGCCACATTCTATGGGCGCATTTATTTGCCCAAAACCACTATGACTGAGACTCCAAACTTGGTATTATTGAATGGTTTGTTTTGAATGATGTTTTGATGGGTTAGTTTCTGGCATTCAATGGGTCGGAAGGATGCGCAGTCAACCCAAGAGTGAACAATGCCGAAGTTTATGTGTGTGTGTGTTTTCTTGGTACCAGCTGTGGCTATGAGTGTTTAAACATCTGGAATACACAATACCCAGTGTCATTGTAAAGCCTAAACATGTGTGGTATGGGATGTTCATGGGCCAATTTCTAGCCACAAAGGGCCTTGCAAGAAAATTGGGAATCCTCATGGTGAACGTGACATAGCGACACCCCATTTTACTGAAAAATTGACATACCGTATTTCACTGAAATATTCCACCGGTAATCACATCAGTTCATAATATTGGACATCTCATCATATCTCATCATATCTAATCATATCTCATCATATCTCATCATATCTAACCCAATAACCAGCCATCATATGAACATATTTGCATAACCTCATCACTTCATCTTCCACTGAAATATTTCGCCCAAAGATTCCAGCTGTGCAAAGTGCCTCTTGATACGAGTTTCAGTTGGTTGTTTCAGGGCTCTATTTGCTGGTCACGCTTTATGAATGTGGATTAGTGGGGGTAATCTTACCTAGCTGTAAATGGATGATGCATACCAATGGTACATACCGTACCATATAATAATAATATATATATATTATGTAAATAAATATATGTAAACATATTGTTTGATTCCATTGCTTACATACATTTTTATTTATACATAAACATATCTATTTTTAAATATACAGACACAGGAACCTGGACTCTGGAGCCCTGCCATACATGAATTGTCTTGTGATATCGCAATCCCACCTCCCTAATGTTAAAACGGCCCCATGAGGGACCCCAGTGGCCCCAGTTCATGACTTGGAAGTCCGGTTCCAGCGACAAAAGTGGAGATATGTCACCTCTGGTTATAGCGGTGATGTCCCAACTTCTGGGGTGTAAATTTCACCATGGTACCCTCAACCCCAAGAAACCAACGTGCTCCCGCCGATCTCACGGCCAAGGGGCAAAGGTCGCTTGGTCGAGCGGGGTGATGGTCCCAGAACTAAGGAACTGACATTGGCGAAACTTGGGGATGGGTCAAAACATGTCAAAACCCGAGAACAAATGTATCTTTGTTTTGCCATTCACCAGCTACTTAAAGTACCTAGGGTACCAGAGTTTTGACCCAGACGGGATGATTTATACTATGAAATTGGGATTGTTTTATTGTTAAACCAATAGTAACCCCATAAATGATGAAACCCGGGTACTCATGGATACTATTGGTACGAGGCCTTCCTATCATGGCATGATCTGGATGGATATGTCTGAAAATGGGGTATACGGGTATACCCCCAAATTGCCGTCAAACAATGGGGAGCATTATATAGGTTTGTTCAGCCATCAAGTTTTTTGGGCAGGCCCATATGTCTTGATCGCTGGAAGTTCGCGAGAGACCATCCTCATTTTCCATATGAAAAAACACACACTTGATCCATGGAAAGGTGTTTGGATGTGTATAGCTACGGGGAAATACATTTCGCACCTGGCTGAAAGTGAGCTCGTTTTACTGAGAACATTTGAGAAGGAACTTTTGCCATGATCCGTTGGAAAGTGGAACCCTGGATAGACAGGGCTCCAACCCATTCCAGGTACATGATATCCATTTTTTTTTGGGGAAAAGTGACTATTTAGACTATTTTTAGTCTAAGTCTAAACAAGTCTAAACAAGTCTAAACAAGTCTAAACATCTAAACTCTAAACATCTACCCTGTATTCCCCGAAACGTACCTGGGGGTTTTCCAGGAAGCAATCCTTCATTTTGGGGCACTTGGGACCTCCTGTACGGTGGCAGCGGGTGCTAAAGTGCTGTCTCCCTTTGGAAAAACATTCACCGAAATGAGCAGATTTCATATTAAACCAGGGTTTCTGCATGGTGTTTGTTAAAGAGAGCGGAGTATATCAAAATCTATCTTACTCGAGGGGCCCTGTTACTGCTTGGACGTGCATCCCAGTTAAAAGGTGGTTCATATTATGCACTTACATGACTACTAATTAATGTAGATGTATATAATTTATTTATATTTATTACAATGTTATATATATATATAGATATATATATATCCCATGGATAATTGGCTAGACTATGGTGGTTAGCCACGCACCCCCAGGTCCCATGGCTCCCCATGGCTCCGGAAGGAGGTAAACCTCTGAATCTCTGAGGACTTCTGAGACGTCAAGTGAAAGCCGAGCTGTGAGGCAGTGACAGCGAATTGTTTGGGCGGTTTTTTGTGATAATCTATTCATATATCATAAGTTTTCATTAAAATTGTCTGGTTTCACTTTTATAGATATTTTATTGATGCTTCAATCTCAGGTACCATTCAAATTATCTGATATTTTTAGGTGTGGACCACCTTTTTACCATTCCTGGAGCGAGAGAACAGCCGAAATTTTGTGGCGCAAGAGACGCCGACATCGTCAACTCGACCAAAAAGTCGACCAAAAACTGGCGATCCGACCGCTATGGCCATTGAAAAATGGGGAACATGCTGGTGAAGCAGTCTAGATTTAGGGTTTTCTCCCCAAATTCTCAGACAAGTCGTCAAGTCTCAAAAGAACCGCGTTTTTTCCCCCAAGATATGGTCCTTTGAAAGGGCAACATCATGAAGCAAGTTGATAAACAGGTGCAAGTTTGAGACATACCCAGACTGATTACACTTTCGGCGCAGGTCGTCGACCACACAAAAATTGGGGAAAAAAACTATAGGGGTAGCTTTGATTTGATGATTTTGCTTTCTGATCTTTCTGGTAATCTAACCTGGCACTAGAAAATGACCTACAGATGGCCATTGCGAAGCGAACAGCGAACTCGCCGCCATTTGGCTCAGCTGTGCCACACCTGGCCGAGAGGACCATAAAAGGATTCCTAGCTCCTTTCATTTCAGGACGCCGGGTGCCGGCGGGTGCCTTGGGGTATTAACCTTCGGTAATCAACCATGGGAGGCTGGAAAATCTACGAAGTAAATGGAGGTTGTTTCATGGACAAATCAACTGTAAACCACGGATTTTCATGGATTTTCCATTGCCGTTTGATCACTCCAGGGTAACCGTGGGATGTAACCACCAGGTATAGTTTAGATGGGTGCGGAAGTGAGAAATGGGATGATTCGCAAGGTGGATCCAGGGCAGTCCCCTGAGGCCTTTAACTTCTCAGTAGGACCTCAAAGAACATCACCATGAGTAATGGCTACAAGACAGCCCACTTGGTTGATGAGTTCGGAAGTTATGCTGTCCTTTATCTACCGGGGTTTATCCAAAAAAAAACCATGGGCTGGCAATCCGGTGGCAGTTCCACAAACTCTACCCATCAATGGAGAGCTATCAACAAAATCAAAGCTTGACGCGCCACATGTTTGGGTAAACGGCAGGTGAAGGAGGATGAATGTATTTTTTGCAACTTTGATGTTACATGGTCTAACTAGCTACGAATTGACATGTTGTTTCTATCCCTCCATGTGGTGCCCCCCGGATGTGTTTGCAGGAACTAGTTCGTCATATCTACCATAAACCCCGCAATTCGATACAATTTGCTTAGGTATATTGATCAACTTAGCTATCTTGGATGCCGCCTCACATGTTAGCGATGTTGTTCCAAAGCGGCAGGACTCATCACGATGGGCTGGGGCGGCTGTGGCAAGGATTGGGGTGCTGGACAAGACTGGAGCGGCATGGGCGGAATGGGCGGTGGAATGGGCGGTGGAATGGGCGGAATGGGCGGTGGAATGGGTGGAATGGGCGGTGGCATGGGTGATATGAGTGGCGGTGGTAAAGGCATGGGCATGGGCAAAGGTGCCATGGGCATGGGCAAGGGCTATGGAGGTTGTGGAAAGGGCGGAGGAGCCGGTGGCCAGTGGGGCGGCTGCGGAGTTGCTTGCTGGAAATCCACAGATAGATCCAAGCATTGAAAACGACCATGGGGCCCAGAAAACCAGATTGAATGGTCATTTGTTTTTTTCCCAGTGAAGATCCAGACGTGGAAACAAACTTCCAAGCTGACACAGTCAAGCCATCAAGTTGTCCTTCTCCATCCACGTTTTACGAAAAATCTGCACGGACCAAAACGTTTCTGTTAGCCTCTAAGTGGGTCTTTTTGGCAGCTACTTGGAGGATTGTCTCAGGGGGTTTATCTTAACATAGCTATACCTATAGCTTCAAGACCCTAACATTTTGTAGGTCTTTTTCCGAGACCTCGGGTTTTTTCCAAATTTAGAAAAATATGGGTTCTGTAATCAAAAACCCGGGTCTTGGCAAAAGACCTATTTTTATGAATATTTATATGTTCAATGAACCATGGTTGATAATGTTTTGTGATGTTTATCATACCCTGCAGTGCCATTATTATATATATGTGCGCCTAACATCTCAATGAAACCAAGTTAAAGACCAATGGTAATGGATATACCACATCTATATGTGTTCACCAGTACACACCTATACTTCCACTATATACTTTATATGTCTATAGACATATACATGGAACCACACAAAGATATGTACACGTACCCAAATGCAGATGGTGATTACGCAAACAAACGGTAAACCAATTGAATAATTCAATGCTACATATTCAGAATCATGGGTATCGGGACCCCAAAATTCATCTGTGATCAGCTTAAATCTCTGGGGCTGAGGAATTCCAAATATATTTGGTTTGTCCAATTATGGCTTTCAAGTGGTTCTAACTTGTTCCCCACCTGCCAGGTGAGGGTTGTTAGATTTTATGTCAGTTGCCTCCTCCTGCCTCGTCCTCCTCCTCCTCCTCTCCTCCTCGTCCTCCTCGTCCTCCTGGTCATCCTCGTCGTCCTCCTCCTCGTCCTCCTCGTCCTCCTCGTCCAACTGCGACCCGCGATCCACAGTGTTCTCTGTCGGACCTCAACCACGACCATCCATGCTCAGTGTTCCCTGCCGGACCTCAACCACGACCATCACCGCCCAGTGTTCCCTGCCGGACCTCAACCGCGAGTATCCACGCCCAGTGTTCCCTGCCGGACCTCAACCACGACCATCCCCGCCCAGTGTTCCCTGCCGGACCTCAACCACGACCATCCACGCCCAGTGTTCCTGCCGGACCTCAACCGCGAGTATCCACGCCAAGTGTTCCCTGCCGGACCTCATGTAGGAAGATAAAATGTCAGATAGAGTGCCAGAAGATTTGCCAGGTAGAATGCCAGAAAATATGCCAGAAGATATGCCAGATAGATATGCCAGAAGATATTCCAGAAGATATGCCAGATAGAATGCCAAATAGAATGCTAGATAGAATGCCAGATAGAATGCCAGAAGATATGTCAGAATATATGCCAGAAGATATGCCAGATAGAATGCCAGATAAAATGCCAGAAGATATGTCAGATAGAATGCCAGAAGATATGCCAGATAGAATGCCAGAAGATTTGCCAGATAGAATGGCAGAAGATATGCCAGATAGAATGCCAAATAGAATGTCAGAAGATATGTCAGATAGAATGCCAGAAGATGTGCCAGTAAGAACATGTATAAATGTCATGGTGGGGATCACACGAAGTAAAGTATTTTTTTTGACATTTTTGGGATTTTGGTGAAAAAAAAAGATAGGTTCTGTCATGAGAACCCGTATTTAACCCGTACCAACCCGTATTTAACCCGTACTAAACCCGTATTTTTATGATAGAGAACCCGTATTATTTTTGGTCTAATGAAAACCCGGGTTTTGTGAACCCGTATTTAAACCGTACCTAACCCGTATTTAACCCGTACTAACCCGTATTTAAAATATGTTTTTTTTTTTTTTTGCTCTCCAGGCTAAGAGGAACAATGGTGGATTTTTTAGTCCGATCATTGTTTTGACACGGCTTTAGATGGCAATCTGACATCTGAAATTAGCGGTCCAAAAAAGATGTTGATCAGCTGTGTGTACTTGCTCAATGGATCAAATGCAGAATCGTGGGTATGCGCATGTTAATGTGTCTGACTGTGCATTATATCTGGTGGTTGTAGCCATTTTGGATATTGATTTATAGGTTCCTGGCTGAAACGGTTCCATCCCATCGTACCCAATGGCTTCCGTTGTTGGCTCCACCCGTCATTGGAGTTGCACAACTTTGAATGATGGTGTCGATGCGCTGTTGGATGCATCCAATAACAACGATGCAGAATCATTTTATACGCACACAGGAGAAACAACACAATTTCCAAGACAATTACATCATTTTCATGATTTTCCAAGTTTTGGAAAAATCACATTTTTTCGAAACCCCGGGTTTTCTTTCGAAACCCCGTCTTTTCTGAGGGGACCTACGTTTTCATGGGATCCTGAAGCTTCTGGTAGAGAATCACAGTTTTTTTGAGGTGAAGATATGGTATCGATGGTGTCCCAGTTCGCGAGGTTTATAAGTTGGATGGGACTTATACTTCTGTCGAACTTTTGATAGTGCAAAACACAAAACCAACAGTCTCTGACTCAGAACTAGGGGGGCACTTGCAGCTCGCGGATCTTCCAACCATTATATATATATATATATCATATTAACGTGGGTAAAACAATGCCATAAACCACCCATGACTGGGAATGTTTTATAGCACCTATAGACATGGTGACTCATTGCCAGAGGAGGTCGATCTGTTTATTCCGGTGGCTAGAATACTAGGCAGACACCAAAGGGCTCCACTGTGGTTTGCATATGTCTGCATCAATGATGTTGGACTACAGCATTGTTCTACCCACATTATATCATATTAATATCCCCATCAAATCCTCATGATATTGACGGTTTTCCAAAGCTTTCCCCATCAAGTTGTCTCATTTCGGCTCCTGAATTTCCCTTACGTCAAACCCTTCTTGTAAGATCCCGATGTCTACCATCGGCGCTCCGATCGGAACTCTCCGATGTATGATCCTATGAGTTTATCCCCCAACAAAACCCAGGGAGCTCTCTGAGGTTTGGCTGTCCATAATCCCAGCCATAAAATCATACCATCTGGTTATGACTAACAGTTCGCCATGGTTAAAATCCACCCTTTTTAATAGGTAAACCATCTATAAATGGGCCATCTATACCATGGCGAACTGTTAGTCATAACCAGATGGTAAATATCCTTTGAACAGCCAGGGAGGCGGCTTGCTGTTTTCAGGTTTGGCAGCCCATGTTCAACGCCATGATGATGTCCATGATGGGCAAAGGCTCCGGGAAGAACGGCCTGCGGAACTTCACCACGGACCGCAAGGTCTGGGTCTCCAGAATGCCGGCCGACAATGCGAGCAAGGAGGTCAACATGAAGTTGAAGGAGCTGGGGCGCTAAAGGAAAACAATGGGAGAACAGCGGAAGATCATGGGATAGTGGAATAGAAATATATAGAAATAATCAAACTATAGCATTCTGGTTGGTGGTGACTGGAACATGAATTTGATTTTGCTTTTCATAATTTCATATATGGGATGTCATCCTTCCCATTGACGAACTCCATCATTTTGCCAAGATGGGCACATTGCACCACCAACCCGTTTCTTTGTATAGTCCGGGACCCGGGATTTGCTGAGTCCATGAGTTTGGGGGGAGTCCTCTTCAGCAAATGCCGTACGGTAGTAAGGGTGGTTGGTGTGGCCAATTTCTACTGAAAATCTGGGTTTATAGTGTTTTGCTGTTTTTCTGAGATTTTGAGATTTCCAGTGTTGCCTACAGTAACCCAAAATCGCAACAGAAAGGCTGATAGATGATGTTCCTATGAAAACCCACAAAGAAAAACATATCACAGCCAGCCATGCTTACGGAGAATATTAGGTTTGTGTGAACATGAAGTTGAAGGAGAACAGTTGGGTTGCGCCGTTGCCACCTCACATGTTGGAGTTGGACTAGGAAGTGGCTCATATCCGGAGCGCGCACCCACACACACACGTACAGCAAACCATAGCAAACCCAAATAGATAGAAAAGCAAAATCCTCCTAAAAGAGCGCTAAAATGATAGAAATTAAGTGCGTTTCTATTGTTTGGAGATTACTCCCTCTCTCTCTCTCTATAAATAGCATATCGCACATTTATGTGTATACATATATATATAAACATACACCAACTGATGTATTGCCAGTTGCGCGTGTAGAGTCGTATATCTACTAGGTGGCAACCAGGAACCAACGGCTTGGACGTTTTTTCAACAGCTGACAGAAGGGAAGTGAATGCAAATATGTACAGTATCAAATGGGGACGGGTCAAGACCTATTAGTACTGTATTTGAGGGGATGAACATCCCTTTACCAACTATTTCAGGGTTCACCATTGAATTTCTTGAAATTGAAGGAGATGAAAGAGATCATTGGTGTTGCGCTTATGATGAATCATGAAGTTGGATAAGTTAGAATTGATGTTTGATTCAAGGAACGCTGTGGGGATGGTTATGGATGGTTAGGTGCTTCGGCCGGGTTATATCCCTTTGACACATTTGTTTCTATTTGTCCAGATGTTGATGTGCCATTGCGCTTTTGTGCTATTTTAGATGATGAACATGTTACCATCTGGTTATTTAACAGAGCCATGGAAAATCACCATTTTTAATAGGTAAGGCATCTATAAATGGGCCATTTCCCATGGCTATGTTAAATAACCAGAGGGTAGGTGGAAGATCATCCCAGTTGATGATTCCTTGGCAAACTTTGGGTGGTGAATGGATTGAAGTGATCCATGAAGTCAGCAGACTGGTGATTTGAAAATGCGGACAAGGGGAGAATTTCGAATATCCAGTTGTTGCGTGGTTTCGTACTGGGTCAACTATATATATATATATGTATATATATATATATTATATCCATGAAAGTTATCTTCTGTGGGAATTTCAAGACCCTAAAATCGAGGTACTGTATCATATAAGACCATATTTTGTGGGAATATTCCCTTACATGAGCCCTTATACAGGCCCTATATATGGTCTAATTAAATGTCTAATTTAGGTTCCTGAAAGGGCCCCTGATATCTCCCAACTCCCATGGAGGTTTTTTAAGGCCAATCGCTTGACAAGCCGCACTGCTTGATGGTTTCAATGTGAGAAACAACCAATCCAAATTGTCACTTCTTTCACGGTTCTTGGAGCCCCAGCATATGGTTGTGGATCAATACCTATACAATTTGTTGGGGGATGAATAAGATGAATATCAATTTACTCTTGCTATTTTGATGTTTCAGGGAACAGGGTTTACGAGTGGCTTTTTCCCGTGGGGACGGCGCCGCCCAGGAGCACATGTCGACCGCCGGGGTGCCATGCCTCTATGCCGAGATTGGCAAGAGCGGCACCGGAGGCGCCGCCTACAAGCGCCACGGCGGAGCATATGGGCGAAATGCCGATGAGACCCCCAGATCCACATCAAAACAACATAAGAACCATAAAACCAAGATAAGCCGAGATGCCCGATGATCAAACGTGGCTGGCTGGAATGTCCCAGCAATTTAGTTCGATGATTTTCCCAGCGATGTGGATTTCCCAGCTAGCCATGTTTAATTACCCATCCGGGTAAGGAATTTCGTGAACTCTAATTTTAGCGAATATTCTGAGGGTGGACCCTCAATAAGCGTTTTGACTACATGAAAGCTCAAAATGGAAGGTTTTTGCGCTTAATTTTCGATGATTCTAAGTTGAAAACGCATATTGAGCAAGTGGTTTTCCCGGTGGTATGTGCAGGGCCTTGCCCGGACATTCAACCCGCAAACATTGTCAGATCTTGCCATTCCTGAGCTTAAGGTTTATTCAATTTTCTGATAATGATTGCGCTATATGCGTTTTGAGCGCTTGGAGAGTGAAAAACAACATTTGTTTTCCTTTTTGACAAATTAGACTGTAAATTTGCATATCGCCTGTTTGGAAGTGACCCAACCACAAAAATATTCACTTTCCTATATGCCAATCTGCGTTGATATAGTCATTTGAGTTTTATTTTTGTTGCAATGGAATCTCAATATACCATGCTTCTCGGCTGGATGATCCTGAGCATCTTATCTGCTGGATGATCTTGAGCAGCATTCTCACAACTAAATGTTATTAGCATTATCCCGGAAAGTCAAACGAACAAACGCTTCATGAAGAAACAGCATATTCATGTTGGCACGCGGGCACCAATAACGAACAAACAAGTCTGAGGACAACCGCCCCAATCTTTCAAAGCCAAACGGTTTGAAGCGTTGCCGCTCTCAAATTTTGAAAAAACGGTCCCTATAGTGAAATTCTGATGTTATCCTCCGAAAACTTTGGTGATATGATATCATGTGACATCCTGAGAAACTATATGCTGATATCAGAAAATCCTGATGATATCCCCAGAGTTTATGGCTGGTAACGTGATAAATTTCTGCTGAAGTTTCGATGAGTCCATTCTGATGATATCCTCAGACAGGTCCGATAATCCTCACAAACTTCTGATGATAATTCCGATGATATCCTTAGAAAGGTTATGATGAGACGCTGGTGATATCCGCAGAAAACAGTCCCAATTTGCGCTGAAAATATCGGCTACAAAATATCCTCGGACTTTGTAGCTGATGTGTTGCAACAAAAACTGATCCTTGATTAGCATAATTTCAAATATATATATATATAAGAACTTTTTGATGGTTATCAAACAAACAATTCTGGAGACTCTTCCAAATTTACTGAGGAACACTCAAAATTTTCGGAGGAGCCTTCAGATTTCCCTGAGGAATCCTCACCTTTTTTTGAGGATCCTCAGAATTTTCTGAGGATCATCATCCTCAGAATTTTCTGAGGAACCTCAGAATTTTCTGAGGCTCGTCATCCTCAGAATTTTCTGAAGATCCTCAGAATTTTCTGAGGCTCGTCATCCTCAGAATTTTCTGAGGATCCTCAGAATTTTCTGAGGATCGTCTTTCTGAGGATCGTCATCCTCAGAATTTTCTGAGGATCCTCAGAATTTTCTGAGGATCGTCTTTCTGAGGATCGTCATCCTCAGAATTTTCTGAGGATCCTCAGAATTTTCTGAGGATCGTCATCCTCAGAATTTTCTGAGGATCCGCAGAATTTTCTGAGGCTCGTCATCCTCAGAATTTTCTGAAGATCCTCAGAATTTTCTGAGGATCCTCAGAATTTTCTGAGGATCGTCATCCTCAGAATTTTCTGAGGATCCTCAGAATTTTCTGAGGATCGTCATCCTCAGAATTTTCTGAGGATCCTCAGAATTTTCTGAGGATCGTCTTTCTGAGGATCGTCATCCTCAGAATTTTCTGAGGATCCTCAGAATTTTCTGAGGATCGTCATCCTCAGAATTTTCTGAGGATCCGCAGAATTTTCTGAGGATTGTCATCCTCAGAATTTTCTGAGGATCCTCAGAATTTTCTGAGGATCGTCATCCTCAGAATTTTGTGAAGATCCTCAGAATTTTCTGAGGATCGTCATCCTCAGAATTTTCTGAAGATCCTCAGAATTTTCTGAGGATCCTCAAAATTTTCTGAGGATCGTCATCCTCAGAATTTTCTGAGGATCGTCATCCTCAGAATTTTCTGAGGATCCTCAAAATTTTCTGAGGATCGTCATCCTCAGAATTTTCTGAGGATCCTCAGAATTTTCTGAGGATCGTCATCCTCAGAATTTTCTGAGGATCCTCAGAATTTTCACTCGATAAGCGTTTTTTTGTTTGAAAATAAGCGTTTTTTTGGCACATATTCATGAAAAATTACTTTACTTCGTGTGATCCCCACCATGACATTTACAAATTTATACATTTTCTTACTGGCAAATCTTCTGGCATTCTATCTGACATATCTTCTGACATTCTATTTGGCATTCTATCTGGCATATCTTCTGGCATTCTATTTGGCATTCTATCTGGCATATCTTCTGGCATTCTATCTGGCAAATCTTCTGGCATTCTATCTGGCATATCTTCTGGCATTCTATCTGGCATATCTTCTGGCATTCTATCGATATATCTTCTGGCATTCTATCTGGCATATCTTCTGGCATATATTCTGACATATCTTCTGGCATTCTATTCTGGCATATCTTCTGGTATATCTTCTGGCATATCTATCTGGCATATCTCCTGGCATATTTTCTGGCATTCTATCTGGCAAATCTTCTGGCATTCTATCTGGCATATCTTCTGGCATATTATCTGGCAAATCTTCTGGCATTCTGTCTGACATATCTTCTGACATTCTATTTGGCATTCTATCTGGCATATCTTCTGGCATATCTTCTGGCATTCTATCCGGCAAATCTTCTGGCATTCTATCTTTGTAACTTTCTTCTGCACATTCTTTGTCCCATATCTTCCTACATGAGGTCTGGCAGGGAACACTTGGCGTGGATACTCGCGGTTGAGGTCCGGCAGGGAACACTGGGCGTGGATGGTCGTGGTTGAGGTCCGGCAGGGAACACTGGGAGGGGATGGTCGTGGTTGAGGTCCGGCAGGGAACACTGGGCGTGGATGGTCGTGGTTGAGGTCCGGCAGGGAACACTGGGCGTGGATGGTCGTGGTTGAGGTCCGACAGCGAACACTGTGGATCGCGAGTCGCAGTTGAGCAGGAGGACGAGGAGGACAACGAGACGAGGAGGACAACGAGACGAGGAGGACAACGAGAGGAGGAGGACAACGAGAGGAGGAGGACGACGAGAGGAGGAGGAGAGGAGGAGGAGAGGAGGAGGAGGAGGAGGAGAAGGCAACTTAGATAAAATCTAACAACCCTCACCTGGCAGGTGGGGAAAAACGCTTATTGAGCGAAAATTCTGAGGATCCTCAGAAAATTCTGAGGATCCTCGGAAAATTCTGAGGATGACGATCCTCAGAAAATTCTGAGGATCCTCAGAAAATTCTGAGGATGACGATTTTCAGAAAATTCTGAGGATGACGATCCTCAGAAAATTCTGAGGATCTTCAGAAAATTCTGCAGGATCCTGAGAAAATTCTGAGGATCCTCAGAAAATTCTGAGGATGACGATCCTCAGAAAATTTTGAGGATCCTCAGAAAATTCTGTGGATGACGATCCTCAGAAAATTCTGAGGATGAGGATCCTCAGAAAATTCTGAGGATGAGGGTCCTCAGAAAATTCTGAGGATGACGATCCTCAGAAATTCTGAGGATTCTCTTGATTTTTTTGACAATCACCAGAAAATTTGGTTAATGACAATTCCAATAATTATTGGATATCCGGTGTTCGTCAGCACGACGATCCTTGCAAAAAAGTTTCTCCAAGAGCAAAGTCAAGCACGAAGCACGGCCCTATTGTGTACACAGACAACACGCAGTGTTTTACTTGTTTTGTTGTTTTTCTCTGACCATCAAAGCTATATTTATTTTAAAATAGACCAAAACATGATGATAATCATCAAATGTATTTGATATTCAATCACCAGATATATCCAGAGATTGTCAGAGTGATGAACCTTGGCAAATCTGATTCTCAAAGGAAAAACAAACACAAAGCATGCCGTTATTTTGTATACATACAGCACGCGCTGTTTTACTTGTTGTGTATGCCTCTTTTTCCGTGCTCAAAATTTCCTGATGCATGTCGCGAAAATGATATCCTGATAAACTCCTCATGATATCCTTCAAACGTTCTGATGATCATCTGTAAATTCTGATATTCTCGGAAATGGTTCATGATATCCTCAGATAAATCTGATGACCCTCAGAAATTTCTGAATGTATCCCCCAGAGGTTCTGCTTATATCCTAGAATCCTAGAACATCCTAGATGCTTTATGATGATACCGTCAGAGAATTATTTCTCAGAAAATTCTGATCCTCAGAGATTGTTTTATCCTGCGGAAACTGTGATGGTATCCGCAAAAACGAAATTTCCATCATTTTCCAAAAGTGACATCCTCCAAAATGCCCCATTTTATCCTTTGAACATGCTGCCATGTTGTTCATTTTCCTTTAAACAGTTTTGTATAGTTTTTTCATGTACATCCAAAAAAATATTGGAAACTGTCTTGATGTACGTCCAGGATATTCTGACTGCCACAAGAACTTTCTCTTGATATATGTGGATATCCTGAGAAAATTCGGATGATATCCTCACACAATCCGATGGTATTTTTCCTCAAACCCAGTACATCACATGGTTGATTGGTATAGCTGGCAGAAATCCGCCAAAATCTTACTCTTACTTCACACTGAAAAGGGAAATTAAGGTCCCTGCCACCCAAAATACATTAAACACGCATATTACACAAAAAATGGACCTCGCAACATGTACTATGTTTTTTTTCGATGGTTCCCTGCATTCATGGTAAATGTTGGTAAATGTGTTTTCCTGACATAAGTGGTTAGATTCCCCAATATGCGTTCATGGCGCACGATTTTTTTTTTGATACACCTTAAACGCATATTGACCCCCCCGCTAACAGAATTGGACCATAAACGCATATTGGGCAAATAAACAGGACTTCACGAAATTTACTACATCCGGGTATTCATTGGATGGTTAACTCCCCATTTCGAATGGTAAATCCCCATGATATTCCCGTGATATCATCGCTTCTGCTAGTTATAGTTCAATCCAGCATGTTTGATGACACCAGAGGCTATTTCCATTCTTAATCACCATCATTACCATGATCATGATCATGATCATGATCATCATCATCATCAGCATCATGCCATTTATTCACCACTAATAATAATCATCATCACCACCATTATCATGCCATTTATGCATCATCATCATCATCATCAGCATCATCGCCATCATCATCATCATCACCATCATCATCATCATCCCATTTATACATCATCATCATCATCACCATCACCATCAACATCAGCATCATCATCATCATCATCATTCTTATCATCATCACCATCATCAGAATGCCATTTATACATCATCATCATCATCACCGCCATCATCATCATCATCACCATCATCATCATCATCCCATTTATACATCATCATCATCACCATCATCATCATCATCATAATCATCATCATCATCAACATCATCATCATCACCATCATCAGAATGTCATTTTTACATCATCATCATCATTACCATCATCATCACCATCATCATCATCACCATCATCATCATCATGATCATCATCATCATCATCATCATCCCATTTTTAAATCATCATTCATCATCATCCCATTTATACATCATCATCATCATCACCATCATCATCATCACCATCATAATCATCATCATCATCATCATCCCATTTATGCATCATCATCATCATCACCATCATCATCATCATCCCATTTATACATCATCATCATCACCATCATCATCATCATCCCATTTATACATCATTATCACCATCATCATCATCATCATCCCATTTATACATCACCATCACCATCATCACCATCATCAATATCATCATCCCATTTATACATCATCATCATCACCATCATCATCATCACCATCATCATCATCACCATCATCATCGTCATCATTATCCCAATTATACATCATCATCATCACCATCATCATCATCACCATTACATTTATGCATCATCATCATCACCATCATCATCACCATCATCATCATCATCCCATTTATACATCATCATCCCATTTATACATCATCATCATCATCACCATCATCATCATCACCATCATCATCATCACCATCATCATCATCATCATCGTCGTCCCATTTATACATCATCATCATCATCATCATCACCGTCATCATCATCATCATCATCCCATTTATACATCATCATCATCATCATCACCACCATCCCATTTATGCATCATCATCATCATCATCACCACCATCCCATTTATGCATCATCATCATCATCACCATACCATTTTTACACCATCATCATCATCATCACCAAACCATTTATACACCATCAGCATCATCATCATCACCATCATCATCATCACCATACCATTTGTACACCATCATCATCATCACCACCATCCCATTTATGCATCGTCATCATCATCATCATCGTCATCACCACCATCCCATTTATGCATCATCATTATCATCATGATCATCACCACCATCCCATTTATGCATCATCATCATCACCACCATGCCAGTGATGCATCAACATCATCATCACCACCATCCCATTTATGCATCATCATCATCATCACCACCATCCCATTTATGCATCATCATCATCACCACCATCCCATTTATGCATCATCATCATCCCCACCATCCCATTTATGCACCATCATCATCATCATCACCACCATCCCATTCATGCACCATCATCATCATCATCGCCATACCATTTATACATCATCATCATCATCCCATTTATACATCATCATCATCATCCCATTTATACATCATCATCATCATCACCATCCCATTTATACATCATCATCATCATCATCATCCCATTTATACATCATCATCATCATCATCACCACCACCCCATTTATGCATCATCATCATCATCACCATCCCATTTATGCATCATCATCATCATCACCACCATCCCATTTATGCATCACCATCATCATCACCATAACATTTATACATCATCATCATCATCATCACCCATTTTATACATCATCACCATCATCCCATTTATACATCATCATCATCCCATTTATACATCATCATCATCCCTTTTATACATCATCATCATCATCACCATTTCCTTTATGCATCATCATCATCATCATCATCATCACCATCCCATTTATGCATCATCATCATCATCATCACCATACCATTTATACATCAACATCATCATCATCATCATCCCATTTATACATCATCATCATCACCATCCCATTTATAGATCATCATCACCATACCATTTATACATCATCATCATCATCATCACCCCATTTATACATCATCATCATCATCATCCCATTTATACATCATCATCATCCCAGCAATACATCATCATCATCATCATCCCATTTATACATCATCATCCCATTTATGCATCATCATCATCCCATTTATACATCATCATCATCATCCCATTTATACATCATCATCATCATCATCCCATTTATACATCATCATCATCATCATCATCCCATTTATACATCATCATCATCATCCCTTTTATACATCATCATCATCATCCCATTTATACATCATCATCATCCCATTTTTACATCATCATCATCCCATTTATACATCATCATCATCATCCCATTTATACATCATCATCATCCCATTTATACATCATCATCATCCCATTTATACATCATCATCATCCCATTTTTACATCATCATCATCCCATTTATACATCATCATCATCCCATTTATACATCATCATCATCATCATCCCTTTTATGCATCATCGTCATCATCATCCCATTTATACATCATGATCATCATCCCATTTATACATCATCATCATCCCATTTATACATCATCATCCCATTTATACATCATCATCATCCCATTTATACATCATCATCATCCCATTTATACATCATCATCATCCCATTTATACATCATCATCATCCCATTTATACATCATCATCATCCCATTTATACATCATCATCATCCCATTGATACATCATCATCATCCCATTTATACATCATCATCATCATCCCATTTATACAACATCACCATCCCATTTATACATCATCATCATCCCATTTATACATCATCATCATCCCATTTATACATCATCATCATCCCATTTATACATCATCATCATTCCATTTATACATCATCATCATCATCCCATTTATACATCATCATCATCATCCCATTTATACATCATCATCATCATCCCATTTATACATCATCATCATCATCCCATTTATACATCATCATCATCATCATCCCATTTATACATCATCATCATCCCAGCAATACATCATCATCATCATCATCATCCCATTTATACATCATCATCATCCCATTTATACATCATCATCATCCCATTTATACATCATCATCATCCCATTTATACATCATCATCATCCCTTTTATACATCATCATCATCCCATTTATACATCATCATCATCCCATTTATACATCATCATCATCATCATCATCATCCATTCTTAAGCACTACTAACCCTTTCCAATCATGGGAAACCCTTTCCATGGCACACCACTGCTGGTCCCCGTTTCAAGGTCGAACTCGGAAGCCATGACCGCCTGCGCTGCCCTGAATGGTTCCCAGTTCGAGGGCGTGACGTTGGTGTGCCTGGGTGAGATGGTAACGCCATGGGAAGTGGTGGATTTCACTCGAAAAAAGGTGGGACCTGGTGGGATTTGAATGGAGAAATCATGGACTTGTTCTGGTGAAAAGATGGGTTTAACATGTTTTAATGGTGTTAAATGGGATGTGAATGGAGAAATCGTGGGTCAAACTTGGTTAGGTACGAACTAGTACTGTAATCTTAGGTTCAAAATGGTAAAACGTACTAACCAGCTAAAACTAAGATTTTTTGGCAGGTACCCAAGATCCACCATGGGAATTGGTAGATGGATTTCACTCATTAAAGAATAGTGAACGTTAAATGATATGTTCATAGGGGAAATCATGGGTATACAAACTAATGACAATCACAAGATGCATGATGAATAAACTATTTATTGGGGAATGGTCATTGATGCATTCACGGAGATTTGTGATGCATATAGCGCATTAAAACTACGATATTCATATTCATCCCTTGTAAAACCATGGAACAGATGGATTCATTGGGATGGATGCCCTTCGCCCAATCCTTTAAGGGAAATCAAAAGGACACCATTTTTGGGGTTTCCCCGCAGAAACCAATCCAATCACAGATCTCACCTTTTTTCAGACCTTTTTTGAAATGGTGGATGTTTTAGGTATAAAAACTTGAACCGTGAGCATCCCAGGTGTGAAATGTGGGGTGCCAAGAAGACACCTCCCGCCTCCGTTTGAGTCTCGTGTGAAAAATCCGCAGTACAGGGCCCTTGGCCCTGCAAAGTCCCTTAGATTTCCTCGATGTCTTGGGCACCCAACTGAGGGAGGCAATTGGTCCCTGGCCACTGTGCTAGGGTCGCCGGAGATCGGAGAGCATTCGATCGTTCTATGAGGAAAAAAACTAGAAAGCGAAGGGCTCCAAAGTCACAAACTCCAGAAGACAGGATGAATTGTTATAGGGATGATTAGTGGATGGGAGCCCACTTTTTTGCCTCTCTGTTTCAGCAAGTATGTGTTGTTTTCATTCCTGTCGGGGGGAAGTAGGAGGAGAGGCCAAGGATGTCAGCGGGGCGTGATGCACCTACAGACAGTACTTCAATTCGTTCAGGACTAGAACAACGTTGGAGGGGTAGCTCAAACAAGTCAAATCGTTTGCCAATGTTTGCAATGTTGTTGGTTTTCTTCGCGCATGGTATCTAACCTCAGGTAATTTAACATACCTATGGGAAATAATTAACATTAATTAACCCATTCATAGCTGATTTACTCCGAAGGATGGTGATTTTCGATAGCTGTGTTAAATTACCAAAGGGTAAAATGTGCAACATGGTTGTTATTTGCAATTTTATGCATATCACAGAGTTTGGGGTTACGCACAAGAAGGTATGGACACAGGATGACACAGGATTCCATGAAAACTGTTGGGATACTGTTGGGTTGCTTTATGTTTAAAGGAACGTACACTGCAATTTTCAGCTGCAATCCGGAGTGGGACCCGCCGAATCTGACAGTCAGATGGTCACCGGCAGAAACGCATGCGGTTTGTGCTTAGAGATATGTGGTGGGCCAATGCCAATTGAAGCAGCCAATAGTGAACAAATATGAACCAATTATCTAAGCTGAATAGAACATGTCACGTGCCAGACATGTTACTTTTCCTCAAGTTTCAGAGCTGAATCCAATCCCCAGCCATGGACGCGTGGTTTTGCTGCAGCGATGACAACCCTTGGGCATGGTGCGGACATCAGAGTGGCTGTGGTGTGCGCAGAATCAAGACCACTGGTGCCTGGGTTGCCTGGGTTTTACTGGGGAAATGTTTCACATCCAGCTAAGAAATTGCGGAAATGGATTCTAATGGTATGAAGATTCGCAATTTGTTTTTTCCCCGTGCCATGGCTCGCAAGGAAGCTGCAAGCCACGAAGCGGCAGATAATTCAGCCATCTCACAGAGGATTTGTTTTTTTTGTATCTGCTATTTTTTTTCCCTCTTCAGGTGGTCCAAGATTTAAAATCCTGGGATTTCCTTGCCTTAAGGTGACTACCAAAACCATGGCTATGACCAGTGGAGCCACAACCATGGCCAGAGCCACAGTCATGACCACAGCCATGGCAGCCATGGCAGCCATGGCAGCCATGGTAGCCATGGCACGGGCCGTGTGGTGCCGCCACGGGTCGGCTTCAGCAAGGGCAGCGGAGCCGTTTCCGCGAAGGGAGCTGGGAGCGGAAAGGGCAAAGGAGCCGGTGGCAACTGGGGTGGTTGCGGTGTTCCTTGGAGTGAAAATTCGGGGGGGATCTGTGGTTGAGTTGGAAGATGGGAGAATGGACTCATCTCGGAAGAGTCTTTTTGTTTGAGTTCAACATTGAAGGCCACACATTTGTTGGAGTTGTATTGATTTGTTGATCATCTTCGGAGGGGTGGGCTTTCATGCAGATATCAATCAGATATATATTATGGTGCCATTTTCATTTGAATTATACCCCCACTGATATCGATTTATCTTGATGGGTTCTCTACTACGTGTTTCATTGTTCTTTTTTGTTGATGATCCCCCCATGAAAATCCCTGAGCAAATCTATGTCAAATCGGTGCTCCGTTTTCTCAACTGCAATATTACCCTCCATGTTTTTCCATGGGTTTTTCCCTATGTCCTGATCCCATGAAAAAAATCACCCAACAACCCAGCTCCATCCGAGGTTTTGCAGCCCATGTTCAACGCCATGATGTCCGTCCTCGCCAAGGGCTCCGGAAAGGCCGGAGGCGGCCTGCGCAGCTTCGCGCCAGAGCTCAGGGTATGGGTGGGCGGCTTGCCGCCCAACAACGTCAGCAAGGAGCTGAACATGAAATTGAAGGAGCACAGGGGGCACATCTTGGCACATCTTGGCACATCTTGGCACATCTTGGCACATCTTGGCACATCTTGGAGTTAATGAGTTAGTTAAGTTTGGATATGTTTGGATCATTTGGATGTTTTTTTTTTGTGGCTAGATTCGTTGGCTTTTTTTTGCGTCCGATGTATCTGGAAAAGTGAGATCAGATCGGGGCCAGGCCGGGATGGTCCATGAAGTTAGAAGTTAGGATTGATGGTCCATTAATCATACATTAATATTAATGGTAATTAATTAATCATTGACCATGGTTAATATCAATTACGTTCCTTTGAGGGATGTATGAGTCATATGTTTCTGGTAAAAGATCATCCCACTAGTTCTGTTTTTCACCTGATTTCTGGTAAACCATCATGAGTTTTCTAGTGATATGTGACGGGTTGCCTGTTCCAGATGGTGATGTTCCATTATTGGATCACCAGAGGGCCTCGCTGGTGTGGTCAACACTGGGTCCAGCTTGTGCACCCGCACTGCCCATGTGTTATGGCTTGGGGGAAGGAAAAAACACTGCGTAAGGTTTTTGGGGAGGCGGTGAACCATCATGAACTCGATGTTTTTTTGCGAAGGGCGCCCAAATTTGCAATTACGAAGCGTACACCAGCAATGCCAGCAGCCCAAAGATCAGCCAGCTGGAAGGCAGGTGGTGACCCCCCCCCCAGTTAGAAGTTAATTAGATCATGAACCCATGGTGATGTTGGGGGATGTCCTGAGGGGTCCCCTTTTTTTTGATTCATCCCCAGATGTCATCACCAGAGTTTTTGTCAAGTCTGATCATTATTCTTGCCAGTGGCAAAGCTACTGTGATAATCCATAAAGCCTAAATTGATCTAAATAGTACTAAATAGATATCCTTTCAAACTGGTAGCTTTGTGAATATCAACCCCATGCCACAACCAACAAGTATTGTAAATGATGAGACTTATTATACCAGATGGGCCCCCATCTATGTTTTCCAAAGGGAAATGTTTGAACCCCTACATAGCCTGCTCTTGTGCACTTTATAAACCTACATAACCATACATAACCTACATGATACACTACTTTTACAAACATCTGGGGATGGGTCAAAATTTAAGCCCTCTGCGGTCATTGTTTTCAGTATAATTTAGTATTAACATGTATTAACCGACCATCTGATTATTGAGGTACCCAATTTTTCCCGAGAGCGGGGCCTGCGAAGGGTTCTTCTGTAAAAAAGCAGCCTTTATACTACTCTTCACACATTCACATCTGCTGATCTACATCTTCAACACCTTCCCATCTTCTTATCTAGATCTTCACACCTTCACACCTGCAGATCTAGATCTTCACCCCTTCACATCTGCAGATCTAGATCTTCACACCCTCACATCTGCAGATCTAGATCTTCACACCCTCACACCTGCAGATCTAGATCTTCACACCCTCACATCTGCAGATCTAAATCTTCACACCCTCACACCTGCAGATCTAGATCTTCACACCCTCACACCTGCAGATCTAGATCTTCACACCTTCACACCTGCAGATCTAGATCTTCACACCTTCACACCTGCATATCTAGATCTTCACACCCTCACATCTGCAGATCTAGATCTTCACACCCTCACATCTGCAGATCTAGATCTTCACACCCTCACATCTGCAGATCTAGATCTTCACACCTTCACACCTGCAGATCTAGATCTTCACACCCTCGCACCTGCAGATCTAGATCTTCACACCCTCGCACCTGCAGATCTAGATCTTCACACCTTCACATCTGCAGATCTACATCTTCACACCCTCACATCTGCAGATCTACATCTTCACACCTTCACATCTGCAGATCTCCTCTCGCTCTTCTTCTATTCTCTCTTAAGGCGGGGGCGGTGCCGCCGGAGTGCCACAAAACGCAACCCTTTCGCACGAAATGGACGTTGGACGTCCAAAACCTAGGTAAAATTGCGATTTTGAAGCGTCCCCGGCAGCCCTTTCGCACGAAATGGACGTTGGACGTCAAAAACTGCGGAAAAATTGCGACTTTTATCCGTCGCGCGCAACCCTTTCGCACGAAATGGACGTTGGACGTCAAAAACTGAGGAAAAATTGCGACTTTTATCCGTCGCGCGCAACCCTTTCGCACGAAATGGACGTTGGACGTCAAAAACTGAGGAAAAATTGCGACTTTGAGTTGTCAATTGCAACCCTTACACACGAAATGGACGTTGGACGTCAAAAACTGAGGAAAAATTGCGACTTTTATCCGTCGCGCGCAACCCTTTCGCATGAAATGGACGTTGGACGTCAAAAACTGAGGAAAAAATTTGCGACTTTTATCCGTCGCGCGCAACCCTTTCGCACGAAATGGACGTTGGGCGTCAAAAACTGCGGAAAAATTGCGACTTTGAGTTGTCAATTGCAACCCTTACACACGAAATGGACGTTGGACGTCATCTGCGTGTAAAAGCGTCTGTGTGTAAAAGCGTTTGTGTGTCAACGCGTCTGTGTGTAAAAGCGTTTGTGTGTGAAAGCGTGTGTGCGTGTGTAAAACGCATCTGCGTGTAAAAGCGTCTGCGTGTAGAAGCGTCTGTGTGTAAAACCGTCTGTGTCTAAAAGCTTTTGTGTGTAAAAGCGTCTGTGTGTAAAAGCGTCTGTGTGTAAAAGCGTTTGTGTGTAAAGGCTTTTGTGTGTCAAAGCGTCTGTGTGTCAAAGTGTGTTTGTGTATTTTGTGTAAAAGCACCATGTGTAAAAGCGTTTGTGTGTAAAAGCTTTTGTGTGTACTTTTACCGCACGACATGGAACTGTTAGAGATTGAGGGTGAAAATGCTTGCTAGTGTATCCGTGCTAGGACGTGCGGAGCTTGGTTCGTTTGGTGTGGTAATCTGTGTGGGAATTGATATGTTCATAGTGAGCTTCACTGTTCAGTTTGCATGTCTATGCGACAATGATGTTTGCTTGTCAAACGCAGGAGTCGTGGTCTCAGGGTTCGAAGAACACATTCTTTGCATTGAATTGTGCGAGTGTGTAGCAGGTTAGTGCATGAAGTTGTAGAAGTTACCAAGCTGTTGGGTTCGTTGTACCTTTGTGGATGTTTCCTTCGAGAACGGTGTGACGCATGTAATTTACAGCATCATGGTGTTCGACAATGATGCCCATCCCAAGTGTCAAACTCACGAATTGTGTTCTCAGTTTGGAAGTCCAGGATGATGCAAGATGAAACAAGGCATTGCGAGATGATGCAAGATGGTGTTGCCGAGCTGCTGAGTTTTTTGTTACCGAGCTTTGTTAAACTAGTTTTTTGTTGATGCGTTCAGCCTTCAGTTTGCAGGTCTCTGCGACAGTGGTTCTTTGCCATGTCAAACTCATGAGTGGTGTTCTCAGTTTGGAAGTCAGAGAACAAATGCTTTGCAGTGCATTGTGCAACTCTGCAGCGACAAGCATAGTTTACCTCTTTACCTCTTTCCTGGGCTCAGACGTGAACGTAGAGACAAGATGCATTGTGCACAGAGTGAACATCCATATTCTTATATGTACGCTGAATGTTCGTGAAACAAGTGACGATTGGCAAACAGGTATCTTTAACATTTCTTGCACTTCTCGAGGTTTCTGTAGGGGCTGTCTGTGAGATCTCGAGAATTGCATTGTGACAATGTCAGTTTGTGTTTACGATGCAGTGGATCTATGTGATGTAAAGCGTCTGTGTGTAAAGGTGTTTGAGTGTAAAAGCGTCTGTGTGTAAAAGTGTCTGAGTGTAAAAGCGTCTGTGTGTAAAAGCGTCTGTATGTAAAAGTGTTTGCGTGTACAAGCGTCCGTGTGTAAAAGCGTATGTGTGTAAAAGTGTTTGTGTGTAAAAGCGTCTGTGTGTAAAAGGGTCTGTGTGGAAAAGCGTCTGTGTGTAAAAGCGTCTGTGTGTAAAAGGGTCTGTGTGGAAAAGCGTCTGTGTGTAAAAGCTTCTGTGTGTAAAAGCGTTTATGTGTGAAAGCGTGTGTGCGTCTGTAAAAAAGCACCTGCATGTAAAAGCGTATGTGTGTAAAAGTGTCTGTGTATAAAAGCGTCTGTGTGTTAAAGTGTTTGCGTGTAAAAGTGTCTGTGTGGAAATGCGTCTGTGCGTGTGTGCGTGAAAAACGTCTCTGTGTGAAATCGTCTGTGTGCAAAAGTGTTTATGTGTAAAAGCTTCTGTGTGTAAAAGCGTCTCTGTATAAAAGCTTCGCGTTTCTTCGCGTTCACGGAATGATGGTGCCGAGCCTTTTTCCGCAATGTGTGTGGGAATTACCATAATAAAATGAGATAGCACATGTCATTCGCAGACTCATGGTACCGAGCCTCCTGTGCACTTTTGTTGCTCACATTACATTTCTCCATGTTTTCTTTCTACCTCCCCCTTTCATTCTCTCTCTCTCTCTCTCTTGCTTTCTCTTTCTCTCTCTCTCTCTCTTTCTCTCTCTCTCTCTCTTTATCTCCCCCCCCTCTTTCTCTCTGTGGTTGTAAGACACATGTCATCTGATGCCCTTTACGAAATATTCTCTTCTTGATCAATCTTACCTTTTTTCACGCCAAATCCTGCCATAGCTCATATAAACTTCACCAACCATTCACCGACTATTTTTTACGACTACCATACTCAGAGATGCTTGAAAAACGCGTTTTTCGCTCTCGGGCCAACCGTCGTCTAGTTTTCACGAGTTGCTATGGTGCAGGAGCACATGTCCCTGGCCGGCGTCCCATGCCTCTTCGCAGAGATCGGCAAGAGTGGCACCGGGGGAGCAGCCTTCAAGAACCTCGGAGAAAAGCTGCGGAAGTCAGTTGGTTGAGTATAGGCATTTGATGGTATTTATAATGGCAAGATCATCCACCCTCTGGTAAATTAACATAGACCCTGGCAGATAGGGGTTGGAAGACTAGTTTCCATTAAAAATTGGCTATTTTCGGGGTCTATGTTTATTTACCAGAGGGTATAATAATAAGAGGTATAATCATGGCAATTACCCTCCAACTACTGGGATATAACCTGTTGGTTGATGATCATGGTCATTTAATCATTAGTATTTCATAGGGCTTTTAACAACCAAGATATGGAGATAAAGTGCAACTGATAAATGATGGTTGGTTGATGATTGAGTTTGGGATGTGATGTTTTGCAGAAAACCCATGTTTTCTGCATGTACCAGCGCCAAGTCCCAAAGTTGGAAATTCAAATCATTAAAACAAAAAGAATCTCACCCAAAGCTCAGTTTTCTATGTCATTACCAGTTCAAGTTATTAAAACTCTATTTGGGAAACAACTGACCTATAATCCGAAAAAATGGAATGTCTTCAGAATTCCGTTGCAATATATGAGGCAAAATGTAGCGACCTCACTGACCCACCAAGTCCCATAGATGATGATTTATACCATAGATGATGGTTAGATTATATACTTCCTGGTGATTTAACATTGCTTTGAAAATGGCAAATTAAAGATGGTTTGCCTACGTAGTTTAAACAACTATGTTCAAAGGGTACAGAATCTGTATGGTAAACACCAATAATTCATTATAATTATATATTAATTCATAGATATTATTATATAGTTAGAGAGAGAGAGAGAGAAGAGCATCACCCCATCCCCACAATGTTATTTTTCATATCTTTCAAGGTTGTGCATGATGGTAATTTGTCCCGCATTTTCTCGCAAAACATACGCAGGGGGATGGGAAGTATATGACCAGGAGCGCGGCCCAATGGGATTTTAGAGCTTGGTAAAGAGAGATTGGCAAATTACGGAATTTCTGATCATGGCACTTGAAAATTTAATGCTATACGTGATTCATTAAATCTGATGTAGATTGACCTAGAATAATAGATCCCGAACATGAACAGATCCAATACTACACCTAGTTCCTGGCGGGGTTTTCTCTACAAGAGACATGGTGGATTTAGGGCAATGTAACTACCAACTTTAAGGACAATGGGGGGAACGGACTATTTGTTCAACTGTATTGTTTGATTCAAGGTTTTTCATATAATATGTTCCCCACCAAAGCAAACTCTATTCAGTTTCATTTGGCAATGTTTCGCTTGTGCATTTTTTCACGTGGTAAACCATGGTAAACCCACCGGAACAGACCCCAGTCCTCCCAAAACTTTATAGGAACAACCCGAACGGTGTAAATAGTCAATTGATTGGTTTGAGGAAATTTTACAGGAAGACCCCAAATTTGATGGGAAAATCTTTGGGGTTTCCGGTTAAGATTTTCCCTTAAACCAATCCATTGACTATAGCTGGTGTTTATCTTCGTGCCACATTTTGCATGTCAAGCTGCGGAAATATCGCAACCGAACCGATGTGGACGCTTTGGACAGCTGGAAATTAAGGTGTAAAGACCATCAAATGATTTTACAAATACGTGCTTGTAAACATGGAAAATTAATGTTTCAAAATATAATTTTCATTTCGGTGGTGCAAATTATATAAGATGTAAACACATGTAAAACATCTGGAAATTGAAACAGTTTTTGGTGGTTTCAAATATGTTTTTATGTTCAAGCCCATGAGATGGTGATCCCAGCTGACACATATTTTTCAGGGATTTTCATGGGGTTGAAACATGTTGAAACCACATACACCACCATACACCACCATACACCACCATACACCACCAACATCCATCAACCATTTTTTACATTTTTCCAGTTCTTGCATCGCAACCAGGACCAACTCCGAAGCCCTCGTAGCTTGCAGCACCCTGAATGGTTCGCAGTTTGAGGGTGTGACGCTGCACTGTGACATGTGGAGTCGGAAAACATGAGAAGGGACCACTCGATGAAAGCTCCGAAAAGGAGGTGCCGGTCCTGGTCTAGTATAGGACCTTGTTGATCAGATTCTTGTGTCACGATGTGCAACTTTTAACAACTATAATATACTGAAAATCTGCACCAGTTTCCAAACCTGTGATGACCCCAACTAGTTCATTTTTGATTTATTGGAGCAAAACACATTCAGCACTCAGTGGCGCGTTCCATAGCGTTTCCAGCTTGCAACCTGCAAGCTTTGAGGGGTGAGTCGTGCGCCAATTCGATGCATCGCTGGTGGTTTTCCATGGCCAGCTGGTCATTCCACAGCCTTCGGGGTGGCCACAGCAGAAGTGATGAATCTCGGACAAAAAACAATCTTTGAGTGAGATAATATTGCCCGAAAACTGCTTGCTGGTTTCATATATTGTCATCAATAGGTTTTCCTGCCAGTCCCAGAGATCTTCTATGGAGCATTTACAGGAACTCTGGAACCCACCATATTTTCTGGTAAAGAAACATAGTATCCTTGGTTTAGATGTTTTCTTAAATCAACCCATTGAGAGTTGAAACACGTTGATTGTTTTGCGTGTGGCTCGGACATTTGCTCAAACAGGCGGCTGCAAAGCAACAGAAGTGCATGTGCATTGCATCAAACATTTTCGCCCAAACTGACTTAAAACATGACACCATTGTGCAATTTGCATGAGCTTAAATTTGCCACATTTTCCTTGCGGTTCCCCGACTTTCTCGTTCTCTCGTGCCCGAAAAATTCGTCCTTCGCAGCCATGAATCAGGGCTATGGTAGCAAGGGAGTCGTTGTGCCCCCACGCATGGGCCAAGGAAAGGGACAGGGAGCTGTTGTCGCCGCCGTTCCCACGCCAACAGCCGGAGTTCAAAGTGGAAAGGGCAAAGGAGGTGGTGGTTCCTGGGGTAGCAACTGGGGTGGCTGCGGCGTTCCTTGGTTCCAAACGATCGCACTGACATGCACTGACCGGTGAAAACCCCCTGTTGGGATTCGGGTTTGCTGGGGTTTTGACATTTGGGGCTTGAAGCGTTGGGCTACGGCCTCTGGCAATGCAACAGATGGAAAATCCCAGCCAGATGATCCAGAAAAGATGGAAGAATCAGTGAACTTTAAATGGCTGATATGAACCAGCTAGCCATGTTCAATTTGCTGGGTAAACCCAGCAAACCCCAAGTTTGCTAGTTAAATCGCCACTTTCCCTGAGTTGGTTTTCGCCACTACTTAAGTGGAGTTGGTTTCTCCCTGCAGGTTTGGCCATCGAACATCATCTAACATCATCTAACATCATCCAATCTTCGATATCACCCATAAACGCTAATTAGTGATACTATAATTTTGAGTCTATCACCATTTTTCTTCCAGCCATTTCCGATCAGCAACAAAAAAGGGGGCAAACTTCCAATCCCATCCATTTCTACACCCCTTTTAACAAAGGGAGGCTTTGCTGTTTTCAGCCAGGTTTGGCAGCCCATGTTCAACGCCATGATGATGTCCATGATGGGCAAAGGCTCTGGGAAGAACGGTCTCCGTAGCTTCGCTCCAGACCTCAAGGTCTGGGTGGGAGGCATGCCGCCCAACAACGTCACTGAGTCGAACGAGCGCTGGCCGATGGTGTTTTTAGGGTGAAGTTAGATTCCCTGAAAAGATCGACAAGTAGATTACCTATTTGAGTAGGATTCTGAAGTTTGAAGTTTCTATAAGTTTCTATTTCTTGCAGGGTTGCTATCGTGCTTTTGGAAGTTTTAGATGTTGGATTGAACGTTGGGTCACCAATGTTTTCTCGGACCTTTAGTTCTAACATCTTGGGATATCCACCAGGGAACCTTTTTTGGGCCCGGTTTTCTCTGAGGTGAGTAAGGAGATCAACATGAAGTTGAAGGAGATCGAAGTACTGGAATGATCCATTGATCAAGCACTGTCCAAAAATACTACCCTGATTTGGCAATGGGAAATCCTTGTTTATAGCTGGGAAATTCATGGAACTAATTCAGGGAATTGTCCATTGTTTTTCTTGGCCACCAGAAGGTAACAGCAACATCCCAGAATTGTGGTTTCCAACCCGAAATTGTGGTTCTTATTACTTCTTACTTTATTCTAGATAGGATCTTGATGGATCTTTGGTAGAAAGGTCATTTTTCGAAACCCCAAAATTCTGGATATCCCTTGGCAACCGGCAGGAGCACATGTCCTCGGCCGGCGTCAATTGCCTTTACGCAGAGGTTGGCAAAACCGGCACCGGCGGGGCAGCCTTTAAGACTTTCGGCATACTTTCGGCGTTGAGAAATGGTGGGATTTGACCATCATTTTACCATGAAAATTGGGAGAACATATATGGGATGAATTGGATTATAATCCGCTAATCAGGATGCAATGGGATCTATGAAAAGATGGGGATCTTACCTTATGGTAATGTAAGATGTATGATATATAGCTATGTAAAATAAACAAGCTAAATCTCTCTTATATACCTTGATTGATTAAGGATCGGGGTCTTGCCCCAAAAAGCGATGTCATGTTATTACAATTTGGCACCCCGCCACTGGTCAACAGCCCCGGGGTTGACATTTATCGCGGGTTGCATTACACCCCAATCGAAACCCTCATCCGATGAGATGTTGGATCTAGTCATGACTTGAGCTCCCTTGAAAGTGGCAATAGAGATTTTTTTGGAGTGTATTTCAATTTCAGTAAAGTCATTTCATTTTTTTCACAAAACAATCTCATGATTCATGATGGTATAATTTGCTATAATCCACATTAATCCACATTAATCCACTATATTTCCAAACGGATCCGGCTATGACATGAAGCCCGGCCCATCTCGTTTTCTTCCCCTCAAACGCGGTCGTAGCGTTCTTAGCGCTCAGGACCAACTCGGATGCGCAGGTCGCCTGCGCTGCGTTGAATGGGTCCCTCTTTCAGGGGATGCCGATTCAATGTGACCTATGGAGTGCCCAAGGCAAGAAGGTGTGACCGGCAGACCATCCGGAACCGTGACCGGAACCGCTAAAAGAAAGCAACACGGTTTTATGAAAGCAGATCTATGAAGGCAATATGACAGGAAAGGTCCCCAAATGGGCGGCTCATGCCTCTGAGAGAAATCAGAGCAAGGTGTCAACAGACACGTGTATACCGGTGCGCTTTTTCCAATTCGAAAGCGCATTTTGAAACAGTTTTGTATCTTATGAGGGCACACGAAATGGCACCTGTTTGCAGCGCTCTTGCGAGCTGGGCAAGCTCGAACTGCACCAATTCGATGGATACGCAATGGCTGGTTGGCCCTGAAAAAAGGTTGAGCGAACCTGGGGGTCGGCCTCCAAAACTACCAGAGATGTTTGACTGTTCAACTGATTGAACCACAGATACTTTTTTTTTCTATGTTTGTCTCCCAAAAATAGGAATTGAATGGACTTGAATGGAAATTAGCTGAGCTGCCCGGCCAAGTTGGTATGGAACGTTCAGAAGATGATCTGGTATCAATTGACCGAGATGCTCTTTCTTGATTTGCTGGACTGGCTTGTCGGCTCCCAGGCACCCGCAGGAAGCCTCAGCAGTTGCGCGAAGAAGAGATGAATCACAGAAATGTCACAGAAACAAATTCAACAGATATCATTGTCACATCCAGCTCTTCTGTTTTTTCTTGTTTGGCGCTTGAGGATCTCTGAGATCCTTTGTTTTTCGGCCCATTTTTGTACCAACCATGGGCTGGGGCGGCTGTGGTAAGGATTGGGGCGCCGCAGGCGGTCAGGACTGGGGCTGCGGTGGACAGGACTGGGGCGCTGGGGCAGCGGCTGGTGGCTTCGGCGCAGCCTGCGGTGGGTGTGGCAAGGGCTATGGTGGTGGCTATGGCGGTGATGGTGGCTGTGGCAAGGGCATGGGCAAGGCCATGGGTGGCATGGGAATGGGCATGGGCAAGGGCATGGGCATGGGCAAAGGAGCAGGATGCGGCAGCAACTGGGGCGGCTGTGGCGTTGCTTGGTAACATTGGAAGGGCCTGGGTCTCCCATTCCCATGCAAGCTGAGGGATCGATCCTGGCTGGATGGATTGCAGCCATGCATTTTTTTCTAGGACCTAGATGGCATGGATTCTACATTATGATATATATATATATATTATATATATATGATTAATTATATATATATACCATTAAAAATTTAGCAAGTTAACATGGATATGGAAAATATACCATCTATTGGGAAGCTATGGTTTTTCATGGGCTTTCTGTATTTGAATTTCATGTATGAAACAGTAATTAAGTATTAAGTTATATACACAAACCACAACTCATATATATATATAGAAAACAAGAACACCACTAAAATAGTGGTTTCTACATGACCATGCATGACCTCTCCATATCATTTTGGCTTTGCTGTTAGTATAGTGTTTTAACACCCCCCAGGGTTACCCCGAATTTCGCTGAGGTTTGGCAGCCCATGTTCAATCCCATGATGATGATGAAGGGCTTCGGCAAGACGGGCCTGCGCAACTTCCAGAACGATCGCAAGGTCTTCGTGGGAGGCATGCCGCCAAACAACACCAGCAAAGAGATCAACATGAAATTGAAGGAGATCCCAAAGGGGGCTGGTTGGCTAAGAGATGTTGAGAGTGATTGGTATATGTGAGATTATGTGAGTATATAAAGTGAAATTCTATGGAATCAGGGGTTGCACCTGGTGGTGGGGGGTTGAGTTCGCACTTACCCTTTGGTTGGTTCCAAGCTGGCAAAATGGAACATACCCACTTGAAAGACATAAATTGTTTGCAAGTGATGATTTTGGTGTGATTTTCCATCTGTGATTTTTTGGGCTGACCACCACCTGGGTGATCAACGATCAACAATTGTTTTTTGGGTGAACAGATCTTTGGGATTCTTTGCGTCTGTGTTTTCGGGCTGCTTCATGGCAGATATGCGTCAGTTTTTGAGAGCCAATAGGATTGGCATTTACTTACGTATTTAATTACGACATCTTAAGACTATTCGGTTTGGTGGTTTCAAACATTCGCAGTGTCAGAAACACAATGGACAGGACAATTGGATTAGCGTTTCTCATGGGAGGATTTAATGTTTCATGCTGATGACCGTGGTAGCAGTGCACCTGATTCGCCGTGGCTCAGGAGCACATGTCCACCGCAGGCGTCACATGCCTCTACGCAGAGATTGGCAGGAGTGGCACAGGAGGACGCCCGGGCTATCCGATCTCCACGGCACTAGTCATATACCCCACCTGGTGATCTCGATCTAGTTGGTGGTTTGGAACATGAATTTTATGACTTTCCATATCATATATTGGGAATCTCATCATCCCAACTGACGAACTCATATTTTTCAGAGGGGTTGAAACCACCAACCAGCTATAGTCTCCTTTTGTGGTACAAAATTGAGAAAGACATGGAAGGGTATGTTCAAACAAAATACCCCATATATGATATGTGCAATTGGAGCATCCCGAAGTGGCATCATCGAATGCAGAAATTCCATAGACAGCACTGTCTGATGTTACATGTTTTGATTGTGCTTTTCGTTCCCCCAGTTTTTCAACACTGTTCGGCCAATGGTAAGCCGGCTGGCAAAGGGCAGTTGAATTGTACCCTCTGGTTATTGAACAGTTTGCTGTACTTGTATGGTATAAATGATTTATAGATGATAAACATGATGACTCACCTGTGAACAACGGGTGATTTTCCACATGCTATGTTAAATATACAGAGGGTAACTCAGATCTTATGCCCTTTTTTGAGGGGAATGTATTAGCCCATGTGAAGGCCCATGCCAAGATCTAAGGTGTGAACTCCCCACATTGACTTGCGTTTTGCTTTCAAGATTTGCAATGAGTTTTCGGGGTAAACCCCAATTTTGTTGGGTGAATCCATTTGCAGATCATTTTGATTTCGTCAAAGTCAAATGCTCACTTTTCTCCTTGTGAACCCATCATTTTTGGAAACTGTAATCCCATTCCACTACTAAGGACCACGACCCAGACACCATGGTTTTCCTATATGTTTTCCCCAGCAACATTTCCACATTCTGAACCTTGAAAACACCAGACCCTCGTTGAAGAGGACGGGGGACTCCCACGGCCCGCCCCAGGAGCTGCGTACAAGTCCAACAGTGAAGCCATGACCGCCTGCGCCGCCTTGAACGGCTCCCAGTTCGAGGGCGTCACATTGCAGGTGGAGATGTGGGGACGGAAGGCATGAGCGGCTTGAGCCTGGCGCCGTCACGTGGCGGAAACCCAAGATGGCAGCAACTGAAAATCCTCCACAAATGGTTAAGATAAATAGATCTAATAAATATAATAAATGGTTATTTTGTGTTATTTTAATGGGTTTTTAATGGGACATGATTCCTATTAAATGATGATTTCTCCATTGACGTGTTTGATTACTGGAAGGTAGTGGCTGAACCAATTGGGATGCGTTGTAAGTTTCCCAGAAAGTCAGACACAGCTGGAAAATCATTGAGCTGGAGCTGGATATGTTCCATTAGCATGTTTGATTACCAGAGGGCATATAGAAGATATCTATATGATTATATATAATCTATATGTTCTAACCTAGTCAGTTGTTTTTTTGACAGGGTATCTGAGATTGGGAAGGGATGAATTGGAGGGTTTTTGGTGATAAACCGTGATACACATGGTTTTTTGGTGGTACTGCAAACGTCCTAAGAATCATTTGAAGGTTTTTGGTGAGACAACTTGAAACCCCGGAAGGATTGCGTTGTGGGGACTGAAACTCATTAATGGAGAACATCTTGATCTCAGGTGGAATTTATGATAGTCGAAGAGAGGTACTTAATGACCTGGCCAACATCATAGCGTGAAAATCGGAAAAATATCAGTCAACCCACCAATCTGGGGTGGCAGACATGAAGAAGTGGAACAACTGGAGACATGGCGCGTAGTCCGTGATTTGATGGGTTGTGGATGGATGAGAAACAAGTGAAACGGTGATTTCTTTTGTTCAGGTTAGGATTCAGCATGCCGTGCAGCTCAACAGCTTCTCGTGCTTTTCCAGATGATCCTCTTGATTTTTGTGTAAAACCCGGGGCCACGTTACTCTGGTAATTCGCTGTAATCGTGGGGTGGTGGCCCCCAACTCAGGCTTCCAAGTCGATCACTATGGGATAAACCTCAAGACTCATGGCTTTGTTTGCACCCCGCCAGCAGCTTCTGAGGTAAAAGGCTCTCATGTTGGCTGATAGCAAAAAGCCATGAGAAAAGGTGAGAGACCCAATCCAATCAATCCAGGTAACTCAGCTGCGGTTTGGGGAAGCGGGACCTGGTACACTAGAGACCTGGAATCCCAAGATGGTGTGAGCTGTTGATCATTGGAAACCTCTGGAGATCATGGGAACTCATCATTTGATTTCTGGGAAGTCGTACCATTGAGCAATTGAGGTCTCGGCATGATTGGGCCGGGAGTTTGGGTTGACCCCGAGGTGTAACCTGGCTGGTGGTTTGATATATGCCGTATTGATCCTTATTGTCATCCATCCTATTTGGTATGATACCTTTGCATCCTCATTTATTTTTCATCTTTTTCAGGTAGAGCAAGCCCACCAAGATGGCCGTTACCATCGTTGATCGACGTTTCGCAAAGCCTGATCTAGTCGTAGATTTTATTTTCAACATCCAACATTTATGGGGTGGTATGATGATATATTATGATTGAAAGATGGGATGAGTTGATTTTCTGTCCGTACCTATATAATCTTTAATTTATGATTTTGCCCTGGCCCATTTAAATCATTAATTATAGGTTGGTATCTACCCCCACGGCTGGTGAACCGCCGAACCGCATTTGAAATTGCCGCGCTTCGAGGTTCTATGAACGGAAGCACCAGCCCGGAGTGGCTGCTTCCGGCAATGCCATGACGCCTGACGCTTTGAACTCACAACGCGCAGCGCTTGTGCTGCGGTGGAAAAAAGAAGGGATGCAGCACTGGTGGCCCAAACACCACCGGGATGGAGATAGTATCAGCCTTTAATATATCCGTTCATAATTTGTATCATTTGTGTCAACCCTGGTCCTTAGGCTAGTCAATTACAATGTGACGGCCCGCAGTTGTGAGTTGGTTCACGGGCCCCATTAACGATGGGTATACCTTGGTATATCTACCATGGACAGTTGTAACAACAACTTAGCTAACTATGGGGCAACACACTGTAATAGTGTAGTGGTTTATTATACTGTATACCTCAAATGGAGGAATGAACATATGAATGAACTATAAAGACAAAACACATGTTTGTGTTTTGAGGAGTATCGAATGACAGGTGGCTGACCGTTTGAGAATGCTGTGATGATCACATCGCAGACATTCTGGGACAAAAAATTGGAAAATGGATGGAAATGGATTGAACTATAAGCTGCATGCCCAAACGGAAACCATAATAGAATATATTGTTGATGTTGGAGGGTATCATGAGTGCCCCAAAAGGTATAACCATGATTTGGGGGGAAACCACTTTTTTGGGAATGCCACGGTGTCACGCACTTTCAGGACGGGAACGTTCTCTGCAATTTGAATCATGAGTTCGTCCATGTCGTTCATCCAAACAGCCGCTCCGCTTTGGCAAACAAAACAAGAACTCTCGACTCTAGCAGATTTAACCTGTCAATGTAGAGTCCATTTCCCCAAATGTATTAAGCATATTAAGCTTCCCGTATTTTTCCGAGTAAAAGTAACATGGTGTTTATGCCATGATTGAGTGCCTAAGGGCACGAGGAAAGTCAGCTATCAACACGGGATTTTTGGCTGCTTGACTGGCTTGTCGGCTCCCAGGCACCCACAGGAAGCCTCAGCAGTTGCGCGAATAAGAGATGAATCACAGAAATGTCACAGAAACAAATTCAACAGATATCATTGTCACATCCAGCTCTTCTGTTTTTTCTTGTTTGGCGCTTGAGGATCTCTGAGATCCTTTGTTTTTCGGCCCATTTTTGTACCAACCATGGGCTGGGGCGGCTGTGGTAAGGATTGGGGCGCCGCAGGCGGTCAGGACTGGGGCTGCGGTGGACAGGACTGGGGCGCTGGGGCAGCGGCTGGTGGCTTCGGCGCAGCCTGCGGAGGGTGTGGCAAGGGCTATGGTGGTGGCTATAGCGGTGATGGTGGCTGTGGCAAGGGCATGGGAAAGGCCATGGGTGGCATGGGAATGGGCATGGGCAAGGGCATGGGTATGGGCAAAGGAGCAGGATGCGGCAGCAACTGGGGCGGCTGTGGCGTTGCTTGGAGTTGACGATGAGTTTTGATGTCCATGGTCTAAGTCCTGAGAGAAGGAAGATATTCGCCATATTCTTCATTAAGAGTTGGCATGATAATGGCAAACTCCCTGTTTGAAAACCACCTTTATTGTTGTAAAGACTCAAGTTTCCTCACATCAACCATTTTGGGACTAGCATGAAACATCCCAAGTAGAGGTATGCCTTGTCACAAAACACAAATTCAGGATGGTTCGTTATTTTGGGTACAGCATCGGGCCCTTCCTTCAGCCAGTCCAATGAAGATCCGCCCTGAGTGAGGTTTGGCAACCCAAATTTAGATGAAAAATCATGGTATACCTTGGTTTGATTGGTTCATAGCAATTGTATGTGTGAGTTTTTCGCAACTTTTACCCCATTGGTTCACCAGAAAATTTATGAAAACCATGGGATTCAATCAGCCCTTCCAATGTTGTGACCCTTCCAATAGTAGATAGTGATAGATGGTTCATATAATAAGCCCTTCTTAGTGATTGTTGGTTGTTAAAGAAGCATAGTAAAATGTAGGAAACCCTTCTTGTTGGCTCTTACACTTTTACCTCATTGCTTCACAACATGCAACCCAAACCTGGCTTTCCTGAGGTTTGGCAGCCCATGTTCAATCCCATGATGATGATGAAGGGCTTCGGCAAGACGGGCCTGCGCAACTTCCAGAACGATCGCAAGGTCTTCGTCGGAGGCATGCCGCCAAACAACACCAGCAAGGAGATCAACATGAAATTGAAGGAGATCAGGGAAGTGGTTGGGAAGCGGGTAGCCGGGTAGCCTCTGGTCAGAAATGGCTGGAAAATCCCAAATGGGCTTTCAATGGGAAAATCATCACAATTGGATTCAATTGCCATGTTTGATTATCAGATCTGGCAGCAAATGGATGTAATTTCCATAGATCTGGCAGCAAAGGACATCAAAGGACCCAGAATCTCCATGGCATTTTTCACCATGGATCATCCCAGCGGTCCCCCGGTGGCCATGGTCGATATGTCACTGGAGATGCCAACCCATTTTCACAGCACCCACCCATTTTGAAGTGCCGGCGGCTGGATGGAAACATCAAATAAACAGACGCCACAAAAATAGAGTTCCAAAAGCCGATGAATGATGAAATACCCTGCGGCAATCAAACGTGGCTAGCTGCGAACCCCCCTATATATATATATACATATATATATATATACATCTAATGGGAGGATCAGTTATAAATGAAGAACATTAATAGCCTAATAGCTACTTTGTTTTTTGGAAATCAATAGCTGACTTTTGGGTTTTGGCAAACACGTCTTGGGGGTTCAATGTTGTTGAGATGATTCATGGTACAGAGGCGCCCTCAATCCACATGTTTTTTGCACCAAACTGGGACCCCCAAAAAGCAACGGTGGTGACTTTGGAACTTCGGTGTCTGGAACTTTGAGAAAGACGATGGGGTATGAGAAAGATTTGGATACCTAAAAATGGGATGACTGGGCTCAACGATGGACATCTGACCCAGACTTAAGAGTACGCATACTACAGACTGAAAACACTAAAAACATCCCAATCTTGAGACGTTTGACCCCCGTGACACAGGAGCACATGTCCACCGCCGGCGTCACATGCCTCTACGCAGAGATTGGCAGGAGTGGCACCGGAGGACGCCCGGGCTAGAGAAATGTTGAAGCATGTGTTATGTCTGGGAGATACGAGAGATACCCTCTGGTAAACGTTTACATAACTATACATAACTATGGAAAATCACCATTTTTAATGGGTAAATCAACTATAAATCACAATTTTTCAATAGCTATGTTAAGTTACCAGAGGGTAGATTAGATAATTCTAGATTTTTTTTTGAAACCACCAGCCGGGGAAAACGGTGGGTTCATGGGATAGGCAAATCATCTCAATTGGGGTTCATTAATTGTTGCTGGTTGGTGGTTGCAAAGATGTGTTCATCTTTACCTGGAACATGAACCTCGATTGGACATTTTAGGCACAACCCAATGGCCGTTTCAATGAAACATAATGAAAGATGATTACAAAAACGTGAGATTGCAGGGTGCTTCATTTGCATTCATTTGCATCATATAACGCTTTATGATGTTTTATGCCCATTTTGATTGGTCAAACCCTATCATCACCTCAATTAACAGCCTAAGAATTAGCCATTTTTAGTGGAACGTGGTCTTCCAACCCCCAACTGTACAACTCTTTGGAAGGACTGATCAATGGATCTTCCAGCTGGTGCCTTGCGGATTCCATCCCAAAAAAACCATCGGAATTACCCAATAATTGAAAGTTCACTCCCCCCTTTTCTGCTAGACCCCATCATTTTTCCTGGTGAAATCCTAATTTCTGCCGGGTAATCCGGACATTTTCTGGAGGATAAACTCAATTCCTGTTGCTTTGAGTGATTAAACGCACATTTCCCCTGGTTAAATCATGTCAAATCAAGTGGAATTCCAATTTCTGCTGGTTCAATCAGTTTTCTGCCTGGTTAAACCATGTTAAACCTACCCTTAGGTCATACATCGCCATCCAAGGTTTCACAGCCATGGCCAGGAGCTGCCTACAAGTCCAACAGTGAAGCCATGACCGCCTGCGCCGCCTTGAACGGCTCCCAGTTCGAGGGCGTCACGTTGCAGGTGGAGATGTGGGGCCGAAAGGCATGAAGCGAACGCGACGGAGGTCACTTGGTGAACTGAGCGTTGTGGCTGCTAAACTCCTGGTTGATCATCCAAATACGTTGGGGATCATCATCCTCCATGAGCTGGGAATACCTGTGAACACTCGATTCTTCAAGTTTGGACTCAAGATGATTCAGCCAACCCGATGGTGCTCGCACCCGATAATCAGGGTCCAATAAGGGTTAATTTTGACCAACAGCCACTGATACTAATAATGGCTGGCTACATGGGGGTCCCCTATGCAAGCTCTTCATCCAAGCGGTGACCCGTTTAGTTCGATGATTTACATGTTCTCAACACGGTATGTTTTTCAGTTTTTCATTGATTTTCTATAGACAAATGTTGAAGTACTTGAGGATCTCGAGTCGAGGGTAGGTGTGAACCAGCTCAAGGAACTACTTTGAGAATCATCCAAGGAACAATAACTGGTTAGTAACATTCTGTCTGTGAAAACCCACGAAATCCTGGACAAAAAAATCACCACGGTTACTATCACCAGTTACTAAGTGGGAGGATCCTTCAAGAAGTGAATTTCGCGGTCAGCTTTTTTCACCAATCATTCCATCGGGGTGGCCCAGACCAAGCAGTTTTTTCCTCACAAGCCTCCACCATGTTCAAATGGGGTCGTCGCAACTTGACCAGTGGAGCTACTATACATGAGATCAGTTATGGGGTTTGTCTGAAAATAGGGTCCTCCATGGTACTCCCAAAATTGATGGATTCCCATCACATCGCCCCTTAAAATGCCATAGATTCGCAGAGTTATAGCCTATTTTCAGACACATCCTGCCGGTTCTGCCTGGTTTGTTTGATGGTCATCCCTGCGAATCTTCCCAGGCACAAAGCCATGAGCAGAGTTGAGAAACCCAATCCATTCAATCCAGGTAACTCAGCTGCCGTTTCTGGAGGCTTGACCAGATCCAGGGCAAGCGAAACCGTGGAAGGTATTGGTTAAAATAAATGAACATAATGGAACATGAAGTGTGTTATTGATGTTATTTGTTGGTGTTTTTGTTTTTTTTGCAATGGTGAATGGGTCGTGGCCATATTGGCATGTCTTGTTGGGGATGACCCGCAATTCATCATGGGACACCGAACCTCGGACATCCTCGGACTATCATTCACCTGGCAATGGAAATTGTCCGACTGAGCAATGGTGGCGAGACACCCCTCTTGGTTGATCATGCTACCCTTTGTATATGTGTGTATTTATATATATATATATATATGTGTGTGTGTGCGTGTGTGTGTGTGTAACACGCATATATATATATATGTATATATTATATATAATGTATATTATATATATATACATAAGTATATTGAGTTATCGATCCATCCATCAATCCATCCGTCCATCCATCCATCTATCCATGTATCTATCTATCTAACCCAATTTTGATACGTGTCCATATATCCTTACCCCTGCCGCCGCATCTTGAGGTTCTATGAACGGAAGCATCAGCCCGGAGTGGCTGGTAGCCAGGCAACGCCACAACGCCTGACACTTTGAACTCACAACGCGCAGCAAGTTGCGGTTGAAAAAATGGAGGCAGCCTTTGGAGGATACCCTCTGGTAATTTAGCATAGCTATTGAAAATGGTGATTTATAGTTGATTTGCCTATTAGAATGGGTGATTTTCTCATGGCTACCAGAGGGTACGGCGGTGGCCAAAACGGGGGAAACACACCAAAAATCACTCAAAAAATTGGGAAAATCATGCCAAACCATCAAAGTCGGGGTATCCCATTGTCACACAAAGCCAATACTTGGATAGGAATATGTGGGGTCCTGGTTATTCTGCCAGAAGTTCTCAGATAGACCAGGTATACCAGGTGTTTCCTACTTGGATGCTGAAGTTAGGATCCAATGGGATATGGCTTGGGGCCTCAGGTTTGCCCTGTGAATAGCGCACTTATATCCCATCATAATTCCACGATTTGTCCAAACGAAGTCCCCTAAAATCCATACCCACATTTCTAAACATATATCTTGTTCATATATAAAGATGCTATAGGTACCCTCTGGTAAACTAACATAACTATGGAAAATCCCCATTTTCAATGGGTAAATCCACTATAAATCACCATTTTCAATAGCTATTTTGACATAACCAGAGGGTAGATTATACACAGATGATTCGGGATCACACGGATTTATCATTTCACAATCCGATCCCCGAGGCTCGGAAACGCTGGGTGCCAAGTTGTCCATTGCCGAAGCAGAGACTCGGCGAGCCGCTGACCGGCGGACGGATTATGTCTTGGTAAATTGAGTTAATTGAGTATAGTATAGCATATAGCATAGTCTAGTCTAGTATAGCATAGTATAGTGTGGTATATATATAATAATGATATTTTGCCAGCTGATGCATTTACCTAGACCCTCCAAATGTATCCATAAAATGTGTGCTTACCCCATGATTTTAGTACCTTTATGTCAATGTGTAAGCGGAGGGTCTAGGTATTAAACGAACCGGCTAGTTTTCGATTCAGCAGGGGTGTCAAAGATTGGCCGTGATATTTTTTGGTTGGTGGTTTCAATTTGTTGTTTCTCCTCTGCTCCATGAGAGTTGAAACCACCAACCAGCTATGAGCAACCAACGAACATGGGTATTTGACTGTTACTGTACTTGTACGATGGTTTCAAGTCATTAGTTCTTGGCAAATTTAGCGAGTCCGAAGTTTGACCAACGAGTGTGGCTACCGGATGCTCATTTGGTAATTTTCTCCAGATCCAAAAGGACAGAAGTAAGCAATGTGGTAACCCAAGAATGGGTCGGATTGAAACCCCCTTAGCAGTTTGAAATGCCTGTGGTCCTGTGGTTTGGTTCGACATTTGGCACCAGCTGCCGCAAGGACAAGTCTGCGTTGGAAAAGGACAGGCCCATGACATTGTCGCATTCGAGGGGTCGCGAGTAAGAAGCGTATAGCAACCCCATTTTGTGGAAACCTGGAAAATTTGGAGGACGCATCAACCATCATCATCCACAACTGACCACGGGAATAAATGGTTGATAGCCATTGGCTATTGGCGTGACCCAAATACCCCCTGCATCCCCTGCTCCGGGACTTGCCAACCGTACGTACTAAGAGGGACTAAGTACATCTGCGTGCTATGGTGCTGCGAAGTGTCCGAGATGCCTCATTGAGATCCAACCAAAGCCGAAGAAACATCAAATAATGAGCCATAACGAGGAACATTTAGCTGCTGAAGGCACTCCGAATAGTGGGCATGTCCGTGTGGGCCACTCCGCATCAGCTCCTTCTCAACCTCCGAGAGAGAACAGAAGAGGCGTTAGGGGAGGCAAACACAAGAGAACAGGCGAGCTCAAAAAAGGCAGTGGCAGAAGGACTTCGACGTGTTTGCCAAGCCCGACACTGCCATGTTGATCAACCGCCATGGGTGATCTTTGGATGACCTTCTAGCAGATTACACCAGCTGGGTTTGCCTGAAAATTGTGGTATACCCCTAAAACAGCAATGTTAAATGATTTTAATGGAGCAGATTATGATAAACCATCAAATTTGAAGGCCTCTCCCCCCAAAAATCAGACAAACACATGTATGCTGTATGAATATATATGACATGAGGCATGAAAATCATTGAAAGTTCCTCAATTCACAACCGGTTTTGGAAAGAGCTCGACAATAAGATTTTGCTGCTACAACCTGCCCAGAATGGTCTTGAATGATCATGAGTGAAGGAAGAGTTTATGAGAAATAATATGAATATTTGTCGTACAAACACGGAGATGCAGTAAGATAAAACTGGAAAGTGTCGACACCAGCACACTCACTTTGGTACAGAGAGCTCATGTTGGGCATTCCTTTCAAGGAGCACTTTGGGGGCATTCAATATCCTTCACCATCAAAGTCTGCACTTAATTAATTACTGTACATGCTGATGGGTTTGCAACTTCAAACATCATAACGCTACAGCTACGGAAATTCTACCAAAAGCCTACTTAAAGGTTCATCAGTCTATTTGGATGGCAGAAGCTTCAACTGATCCTTGGATGACAGTGCGGTCCACCTTCGCAGCTTCGCACTGCAAAAAGTCCAAACTTCTCCCAAGTCCAAAAATCCAAAACAACCATCAATTTTTCCATTTTTCCATTTTTCTCCATGTCTTACATTTTTTCTCCGTCAGACCATGTCTGTTTTTTCCACTTGAAACATTCCCCCAAAAATCGTGGCAGTGGTGGAGGAGAAGGACCAGTTGGAGGCTGAGCTGGCCAAGTTGAACGCCCAAATTGCGGCGCGGCAGGTGGAAGTGGAGGCCGCCCCGAGCCGCGCCGCAAATGCAAAAAAAGGGGGGACTGGTAAAATATGGAGAACTATGTGGGATATTAGGGTTAATAATGGGTGAATAATGGGTGAATAATCATCTAAGAGACTGTTCCATCTTTTTGTGGGCCACGATTTGATGTGTTGGCTGATCCATAGCCATTTTGTCCAATAGCCGTGGTTTGTGTATCCATTTCCAGGGATGGGTCACACTGTTTTTATGGCGTCCTTTTCACAAAGGATTTGGTCATTGGATCAGGGACTCTCCCGAAATGGGTTGAAGGAAAAACCATGAAGCACTGGATGGATTAGATCGCTAGACACATCTAGACACTTGGAGAGCTTGGAGTTGTCCTTTCTGCTTGTTGATGCATGTTAATAACCCACATCAGAGCTACCAAACGGTGAAACTCCGGGGATGAAAACAAACCATCCAGATTCTCATCCAGCTATCCAGTCAATCATACTCAATCCAATCACTCTGAAGGGATCTATATCTACAATGAACCCATCAATATCCATTAATATCCATTAGTATCCATGAATATCCATTAATATCCATCAATATCCATGAATATCCATGAATATCCATGAATATCCATGAATAGCCATTAATATCCATAACATTCCATGAATTCCATTAATATCTATCTATATCCATTAATACCCATTAATATCCATTAATGTGCATTATTATCCAATACTATCCATTAATATCCATGAATAACCATTAATATCCATGAATATCCATTAATATCCATCAATATCCACCAATATCCATTTATATCCATTGATATCCATTAATATCCATTAATATCCACCAATATCCATTAATACCCATGAATATCCATTAATATCCATGAATATCCATGAATATCCATGAATATCCATCAATATTCATTAATACCCATTAATATCAATTAATACCTATTAATATCCATGAATATCCATGAATATCCACCCATATCCATTAATATCCATGAATATCCATGAATATCCATGAATATCCATCAATATTCATTAATACCCATTAATATCAATTAATATCTATTAATATCCATGAATATCCATGAATATCCACCCATATCCATTAATATCCATTAATATCCACCAATACCCATTAATATCCATTAATATCCACCAATATCCATTAATATCCATGAATATCCATTAATACCCATTAATATGAATTAATATCAATTAATATCCATGAATATCCATTAATATCCACCAATATCCATTAATATCCATTAATATCCACCAATATCCATTAATATCCATTAATATCCACCAATATCCATTAATATCCATTAATATCCACCAATATCCATTAATATCCATTAATACCCATTAATATGAATTAATATCAATTAATATCTTTTAATATCCATGAATATCCATTAATATCCACCAATATCCATTAATATCCATTAATATCCACCAATATCCATTAATATCCATTAATATCCACCAATATCCATTAATATCCATGAATATCCATGATATCTACCATTGATTTCCATTGATCTCGCTCCCGTTCGGAATCCACAGAAAGCTTTCTCCGTTGAGGCCATCCAAACCCAAGCGGATGCGGCCAAAGCCTCCGGCGCGGATGCGGCGTCATGGGTGGGAAATACATGGCATCGTTTTTTAAACCCACATAAAACTAATATAGTTTATAGACGAATATATATGTGTATATATATATATGATGTTGGCAGATTATATAATTAATCGTTTTATCCACATTACTAATTGGGGTTTCTCCCTATTATATTGTATAATTATATATATATATATATATTTATATACATGTAAATTCCACCAAGAGTTTAGCTCCAAACTCGCACATTCCAAGGCTAAGAATGGTTCAATCCCACTCCCCATGTCCACTGGATGACGAGAAAACTTACCGGAATACCCTTTCTGTAGCCAATGCCAATGCCAATATATAACAACCACTACTAGCCAACGATAGCTGTGAAGAGCCATTTTGAGAAGCATCCAGATGCGTGCATGGTAGAGTCATTCTTGGGGGTGCATCCCACTTAGCAAGTGATTAACAAGGCAACCGGTTGACTCGATGCCCTTGTAAGGGTGACGAATTTGAAATTCCGATTTTTGAGGGTAAGAGACAAAATGCTGGGATTTGCAGGAGTCGCCAAAAAAATGTTTGCAACATGGACATTCATTTCGATTGGCAGGCGTGTGACTCAAGAGTCAAAATGTGCGTTTCGCCTCCGCAGTGACTCGATTTTGCTCTTCAAGGGTCAAAAAAAAACATCAGAAATCTATGATTTTCAATCATCCGAATCATATCAGGGCGGCATTCACTCTTCCAGTTTTTTTCGTCTTCTCGACGCTAGCGGTGCCAGAGCGCTTGTGGCAAAGCAGAAGCCACAGTCTGCAACAAGGCAGCATCTTCCGTAACGTAAAGGAAGTGCTCGTCAAGAACGTTAATACACCCCCCCCCCTGATGATCATACGACAGCATGTGCAACGTGTGCATCTTCCGTAACGTAAATGAAGTGCTCGTCAAGAACGTTAATACACCCCCGCACCCCCCACCCCCATGCACCCCACCGATGATCATACGACAGCATGTGCAATGTGTGCATCTTCCGCAACGTAAAGGAAGTGTTCGTCAAGAACGTTAATACACCCCCCCGCGCCCCCCCGCACCCACCCTGATGATCATACGACACCATGCGCAACATGTTAAAGACTAAAAAAAAACAAATCCTATACCCCCATTTGCGCAAGCCTCATTTTTGAAATTTGCAACCCTTCCAAGGGATCGTAAATGGCACATCTCAAAATTGACAACCCTTCCAAGGGCGCCGTATCAGTCGCATGCCATTAACAACCATGGTATATACTAGTGTTTTCTGTATATATTGAATACGGAACATCGCCAGCTATAATGTTGCTTGGCTCCCGCACATCCATTGAGACTCCTTATCCTGTATCAGTCCATATTTATGCACACAATTAATGACCCATGAAGAACCCCACCACCATTCAAAACCAATCATGGGCATCAATCATTAAACCATTAAAACAAACACTTTCAATAAACCTAGATGACCACTGTTAACATCTCATATATTTATATCATCTTATAAGTCCTAAGAAACTAATATATATATATATAGAAACATATCGATTTTCCAATGTTTCCCATCAACCAGGTCGACCTTTCGAGCCAGCGCCACCAGGTGTCCTGGATCCCATGGGTTTTCAGACCGGCGTCAAAGCTTTGGAAGCGGCGGATGTGGAGGTCGACCTGTCGGAGGGGCTCGGATTGGTTTAGGGGACAATTTTAACCGGAAAACCCACTATTTAATGGTAAAAACCCATGGGTTTCCTGTTCAAATTTTCCCTTAAACCAAAATATGGGAACTGGGGAGTGGTTGAAGGATGTTGTGATGGAATGTATAGTCATTGTTAAGGACAATTTGTTGTGACAACTAGACTATAAATAGAGTTTTTTTTTAAAATTTATCACTTTATTGATGAGATATCACGAACTGATTTTTTTTTCACCATTGTGGACCCAGAAACATTGAGAGAACATAGCATATTGCCACTTTTCTGGCATCTTTAAGCCAACTTTTTGGAGTTTTGCTGGGGCAACTTCGAAATGTTGGCCCAGACACCAGGATGGAACGGCGCATGCCCAAATGAGTATGGTGTTGCCTGATAGGGAAGGTGGAACCTGGAACAAATGATTATTTGAACCGAGAAAAACGCGGGAAACATGTACATGTTTTATCTCACAATGATGTTGAGTGTTTATCCTATCCTACTTGCAGGATCATCCCATAAATTTGATCATCCACTTACAGTAATGTGGGTAAAACAATGTCATAAACCATCCCCCAGTCATCACCATAAATAGGTGGTATAAACTCACTATTCCCAGTCATGGATGGTTTACGGCATTGTTTTACCCACTTTTTGGGAGACTTCCGAAGCACCGAAAAATTGACTTACGATGACCGCTTCGTGAAGGCCCTGGGTGAGAAGTGGAAGGTGCCTGGGAATCACGGCGCGGTGAGCGAAAGGAATGACCGGGCCTAGGAATCTAAGAGTCTGCAATGGAAAAATAACATTTTTGGAAGGTTTATACCACCCATTTGGGAATGGTTTATACCACCTATTTATGGCATTTTATGGCAATATTTATGGTGATTGGTACAGGATGGAGCCCCCCAGTGATGTTTGCTGGTTTATAAACCCCAGGAATGCTATAGGCTATAGTTATATCTCCCATAAACCATATTCAAGCCACGTATATCCCAACTGAACGCTATCTTGGGGGCCCCATCCTGTAGATCATGGTACATCAGCTATGCATGGGCAATTTATTTTTGCCATGTTAATTCATGTTAAATGACCAGGGAGTACGACCAGTTACTTTGATTGCACTCTTTGGAGAGCACATGAGAATTTGGAGCCCATTTTAAGCCATTACTTAGAAGTAAGTTTTTTTTGTTTGCGGCCCAATTGTTCAGGTTCCACATTTAAAATAGCTATTTTTTTGGGGAGATGACAGATGATATGGGGATTTTACCCGCAGAAAGCAGTACTGTATCTCATTGGTGAAGTTGATGTTGCGCGACGAATTCTCCATGGCATTTTAGATGATTTCACCAGCACAAACGATGGCGATCTTTGTTTCTCACCTTTGGTAGCTGATTCCCATTGGGCTTGCAGAGGCTTTCTGGCCCCCCGTGCTAGGTTATGTATTTGGCTTTTGCACACTAAACTTTGCAGCGCATGAGCACAGTCTAATTCCATCTAATTCCTACTTCTTTGTATAGTACCCCTGCCTCCTGTAGGAGAAGGACAGGTTCAGATCCCTGCTTGATTAGAATTCAGGATGATGAGGATGGTCTGATCAACCTCGCTCCAGCTATGGTCCAAATGCTGACCATTTTTTTCCTTAGCCATATCCGAGTCAATGGTTTATTCAGGTGGTGGGTCATGCACAGCAACGTCCAAAGAAAATTAAAACATGCATCACAATTATTCTAATAGTGATAACACCTTGTCTATCAATGTGCAAGGTAAAAGGCATATATGATCATATAGTGAATCATGTATATGTCCATAGGTATATGATGGTATATCCCGTAAATCGGCGCCTGAAACCCACCGATTTTCCCCGCCGGAAGCTTCCAGTGTATGCCATGTTTGTTGATTAATCCCATCGCCCTAATATTACAGTAAACACCCCCTAAATGGTCCTAAAGATGTCGTAAATCCCCTACTAAAACTATGGTTTCTGGCGGGGGAAGCGATTGGTTGACTGACAGGTTTTTGTTTGGATGGGTTAAGTCCAACCCAGTTAATCTTGTAGATTCTGTCATGGATTGTTGATCCTTAGTCAAATCATCTTACCCTCTGGTAATTTAACATAGCTATTGAAAATGGTGATTTATAGTGGATTTACCCATTAAAAATCGTGATTTTCCATAGTTTTTTGTAAACGTTTACCAGGCCGAGTAGTGACCAGTGGTTACTTCTGCCGAACCAGGTGAAATCCCAGTGGAATTTCCCAGGTGAATTCATGCTTGGCTGATGATTTGTTAATCTACTTTCTCTATAAAAGTAGCTGGAATTCAATATTTCATCGAATGCAAAAAGAAAACATGGCAACCTCTGGTATATAACTTTTATATCATGATATGCCATGGTATATCTGCCATTGGATAGCCTATATCATGGTCCTGTTATATTGGCAATTGCTTCAAAAATATCTCAAACATCTACCATTGCCATAGCCATAGCCATTCCAAGTGTTTTATGCCAGGAACAGGGGCACAAGGCCGTGGAAGATGCGCAGGAGCGTTTCGGCGTTCGGGGGTGTCGACTGGCATGGGTAGGGACGCTGATCCTTTAAACGTTTGCGACTTCAATGGGGATATCTACTGGCTAACACATGTATAGTTTTGTTGGTGCAAGGTATCCGAGATTGGCAATGGTTTTGGAAAATTAAATGTTCCATACATGGTTTGGTTTGGTAAAGCTATTTGTTTTTTTGGTTGCATTTTGAAAGGGAGAATGGACTAAGCCAAGATATGTTCTTTTTGCAGCAGGCAAGCTGCAAGTCGGCCAGCTTGACCATCCATCTTTAATTTCGTCAACATTGGTGATTGGCTAAAGTTGTTTTTTTTCGCCCATAATATCTTGAACATCTAGATTTGCTCAAGGTTACTTGTTATTTTCCCAAGAGGAAGCCCACTATGGGAATCGATTGAGGGTATATGTTTTTTGTGGGGTTCCTTAGGAGAATTGGGTGAACATACTATCTTTCTGCAACATATTATTTGTGTTGGGCGGGTGACAGCAATCATGCGCCTCTACCACCACCATTTCCACAAGTGCGGTGGAGATGCATTATTGTAGAAACCTAATAGGGCCATATAGGGCCCATGTGCCAATTAAATTCTGTGTAGTAACCCCCAAAAAGATGTCGAACAGGTTTAATTGATCACTATTTTGGTAGAATTTTACTGTGGTACGGTAATGTAACATGGTTATGGAAATGGCCCGTTTAGTTCCATGATTTTACCTATCAGAAAGGGTGATTTTCCATAGCTATGTTGAAGTACCAGACGGTAATAGATGTGTAAATAGATGAGTAAATAGCCTTATGCCGACGTATGCTCACTGGTCTCCTCCATTAAGTATAGGAGACCCCCAATGGAGCAAGAAATTTCAAACCTGGTTGAAAGACAAAGACACCAGGATCCTTAACTATCACTATTTCAGAAAAATCAGTGGAAACCCACGTGGTAACCATTGGTGGCTTTTCTGCAATTAATCATCCAAGCAATACAATCAACTACCAACCCTGTCAAAGGCGACCCCCCGATAATACATGGTTAGTAAGTAAGCCATTAGTAGTTGTTGGCGGTTTGGATTTACTCTCAACAAACTCTGATTCACCTGCAATAAACTCTCATTATCTTCATGTTCCTACTTGAATCCGGCAAAACCACCATTTCTGATGGTAAAACCACCATTTCTAATTGCAAAACCACCATTTCCGGAGCTGCTGAACTCCCCACGAAATTCCTCCACCAATGGTCCAAAGCGTTTACCTGCCCGTCTCACGCCACAGGCTCGCGCAGCCGCAGTGACACAGAAAACCACTGAGGAGACAGGGGGGCTGCAGGATCCATGAATGGGAAGTGGATTATAACTTACACACATGTATGTGTATATATATATATATATGGATGTGTGTGTGTATGACATGATGACTGGGTTTTACTCTCTGATTAGTGGATATGAGACCGTATGATTATATGCTGTTCTTCTTACCACCTCGCGAGCCCTGGGTCCTGCCTGATCCAGCTTTGGTGCGTGAGTGCCCTTGGGTCCAACTGTATAGTGACCATGGTTTCCCTGCAATTTTCCTTAGAATCAACCAAGGATCGAATAGAGATTTTGTTGTAGTCTAGGCGGCGGCCCTACCACATATTATTTCACTGAAATTCAACCTTGTGCCTTCAGCTAATCAGAACATCAAGTCTTGTTACTGAAATCCACATTGTTTCCGTTTATGTCCAAATATTTGGATGGTAATGATCCTGGTAATGGTTTATAAAGTTTAATACTACACAATTTCTTGGTCGCTTCCTTATCCAGATGGTCGGAAGGTCGGAACACAGACATGCATTGGTCAAATCCTGGGGTCGTTACAATGCGGAGGAGCTGGACCGTTTGTTGTCGCGCTTCATGGAGTTAGTGCAGCAAGTGCAGGATTCGGAGGCACTGATCATCACTGATCCAAAGGATCCTCGGGGAAGGTTCAGCTCAGCATGGTGAAATGTTTTTCAGCCATGATGGGATCCGGGAAAAAAAAATGCCATCCAGATCATCCAAACATGGGAATTTCATGGAATTTCGCAAACCGGCATGGTGACCCAAAATGGTAATCAGAGACAGCTTTTGTGGAAGTTTCCCCCCAAAAAGGTGCCATTTTTGTTCGAAGGATTTTCCCATAGCCTCAATGGGACGATCGTGGCTTCACCATGAATCATGAAGCGCTTACCAACCTGGCGCCCCCAAAATAGCTATATAAGTTGGTTTATAATTATACTATAAACTATAGGGTTTATGAGGGATATATCATTATATATATATATATCACTATATATATATATATACAATTGGATTGGGCTAGGTTATAAATCTACTTATAACATTCTTATAACTGGGGTCTCCACTACTGCTATGTACAAAACAGTTTCCCACCTTTTCGATTAAGACACCCCTGGCACTGGCTACGTCCCGTCGCGTAGGCGTTCCAATCAGCGTCCAGCCAGCTGCAAAGCGCCACAGAGCAGGGCATGGCTACGGCATCCTCCGCCCTAGCGCAGGTGGGGTGGGGCAGAGCGGAAGATGTGTGTTTAGCCATGTGGGTGTGTCTGAAAATAGTGTACCCCTAAACCCAATGGTTTTGCTGATTACTATCCCTATTAAATGGCTATTTGTTTGGGAATATACCCTATTTTCAGACAAACCCATGTAGAAACCAGAAGTGGATGTTTCCTCAGCAAACATGGAGGTTGAACTCGGTTTAACCAAGCAAAATGGATGGGGAACTGCAGCAAAGATCTGGTCAAGATTGGATGGGTAGTTTCAAACTTGTTCTGCGCGTTTCTTGTGTGATTAACAGAAGTGGATGTTTTATTTTTTTGATGTTTTTACCAGCTAAAAAATGTTGGCCGCGGGGTGCCTAATATTGGCTATGACGTTTAGCAGCAAACACTGTAGTTCATCAACAAGTATGCCGTTTTGATCACCACCAGATGCAATTTTAGCCAACAAATTAAATCACATGATTACCATGTTTTGCCTACAACGATGGGGATTTTAACAACCAAGAAAAGGAACAACATTGGATGTTTGTTAACCAACATCCCGGGGTCAAGCTTACTTTGCCCCCTAGAACATCCTAGGCTGTGGTACATATGCCACTACTTTCCATTACCCCGAGAGAGGGAAGTACCCGCTTCCCTCACACAACAAGCAAGAGTTTCCAGAATCCGACCATTATCACATGGGTTTCTTGTACTTTTTCTCTTCATCTCCCTCGGGAAGCTGGGAGATACAATATCTCCGCCGATGTTTTGGTCTTTTCTGGGGCACCTTTGCCGACAGTTTCGGAGCATTCATCCAGCTAAATCGCTCACAGTCTGGTAAGGAAGTTTTGCTGTGCCATGGAGCCCGAGGGGGACTACATCCATGTTGCTACTGATCGTGATGTTTGGAAGTCTTTGTCTGAAAGTTTTTTGCAATGGCATGGGTTTACAAGGACCCACAACAACGTAGAAATGCTTGAGCAAAACCCGTGGGACAAGCCAAAACGCCTCCTCCACATACCCGTTGCTTGGATTCACCTGGTGTTTGTTGGTATAGCGGCTGGGGTTTTCACTGCGGTATGGCTGGATACAGTTGCCGGGTTTTCAGTTTGGGCACGCAGTGAAATACTGCAGGGATATGAAGCCAACATTACAAGCGGCTTCCGACGGTTATGCTGCCATTTGAATATGCTTGGTGGGCCTTTCCTCCTGCAAATCGCTGTGCCAAATGCATAAGTGTGGCGCGCCATACAAAACCACGCAACTTCAATACAGCAGACATTGCAACAATTCCCACCATGCATCGTGGTACCAATTGTTTCCGCTGACAGCGAGTGAGTGCCAACACCGTAGTCTCCGACATTGTCTCACATACGTGACATAATTTTGGACACTATATAGACAACCATTAATTACTCCATATTACTCCAGCATTGTGTTTACATTTGGGTTACTCAGGTTACCCTCTGGTAAACTAACATAATTATTGAAAATGGCCATAGAAATAGTTAGATAGCTGATTTACCCATTAAAAATTGTGATTTTCCATAGCGGCATTTTGTATGTTTACCCAAGGGTAACCATGATGATCCAGGCTGCATCCGCATCAAATGATGGGCCAGAAACCACCAGAGTCAGGCCTCCTCACAAGCCAACGCGGCGCTGCAGCAGGCGCCTGCTTTACCCTCCGGTAAACTAACATATGATCATATGGAAAATGACCTGGAAAATGACCAATTGATGGATCATTTACCTATTATAGATGGTGATGTTCCATTGCTATGTTAAATTACCAGAGTATTGTTATTACAATGGTTTCCTTAAGTATGTCCAGTTGAGTTTAGCTGCGACACGCTTTCTGTCAAAAGCAAACAATTATCTCCAAGTTACTCCATCTCACTGGCGGCAAAAAGTAAACGTGGTAAACAAATAGCCCAAAAAATCGTTTTTTTTGCCAAATACCCCATGGGTTTGCCAAATATGTGAACATGATCATCATCCTACTTAGGAGTGGGAGTTTGTTCAACAATAATTTGAGTAGAGCTTGGGATCTCTTTTTAGCTTGCGCTTGTTGAACCAGTAATTAATCAATTGTGTTATGTGCTGAAGCTCTAAAAGCGCAGTCTAACCCCAATGCTTGTTAGTTGACATCCCCATCTTCCAAGTGTTTTAGATCAAGAGTCTGCAGGCCGATTTGTGTTGGCTGATTCCCCACCAATGAAGTACCTCTATCTATTATCCCATATTTATCTATAGTTACCATTTGCATACCTGTATGTAGACAGACATGTATTGTAGATGCATTTGTGTGTGTGTGCATGTATGCGCCTTACATTCATTTTCACATGCAGTCATTGTCATAATTTTGTTACAAGGTCTCATCAAAATACACGTATGGTTATGGGTCAAAACCCTGGTACCCTACACCAAAGTCATAGCTGGTGAATGGATGGCGATTCCCCCATATGGTAATTTCATAGGTTTTGACCCATAACCCATCCCCATATACTTTATAGTAGATGAGAAATTCCACCCCTGAGGTGGTTCATATCCCCATACATTCCCGGCAATTCCCATCGTTATACCTCCTTTAAATTCCCATTGAGTGGTGTTCCATATAGGACACATATTATCCCATACAAAGACGTTGTGTCCCCGCGGCCACCGCGGCGCCGAAATCAGGGCATGACAACGGCCTCACAGGCAGCAGCACAGGTGGAAGTGACCGAGCCCATCCACGCGAGTTGATGTGCGATTTCATCAACAATATACATGGAATGATTAATGGAATGGTTAAAATGATTATGGTTAATAGATTATGGTTAATATGTTCATCAACTTTTAATCATTATGGTGAATGGAATGATTTATAATATGGGTGTATCGTGAATATGGGCAAAAAACAAGAACAACTGATTAATATGGATAATGGAATGATTGATATATGGGTGTATGGTGAAATTGGGCAATAAAAAAAAAACTGGAAGAAACGTGGTTAGATAATGTATGAATCGTATGTGCTTGATTGAACCAACCATCTATGGGATGTAATTAGTCAATGTTAGTGGGATAGATCCGCAAGAATGTGAAAATGTCACAATGTTGTGGGTATGGTGAACTAACCTGGCTATGGAAAGTGGTGCATTTATAGTTGATTTACCTATTAAGATGATTCTTTTCCATAGCATTTTGTATTTTTACCAGAGGTTAATGATTTGAGATCCATGGAAGTGTCAGCCAATCTTCATCCGATGCTCTACGTGTGGCTTATGTTTGAACATTTCAAATTTGCATAGATTTAGCCTCAAACGTGGCATGATAAAGTCTTGGTAAACGTGCCATAGATGGAGCTAGAGCATATGGGTATTATAATATATATGTAAGTGTATATATATATATATATATATGCACGTGCATACATTTACACCTTCATTTTGAGAGGTATTTTGTGGATATTCATGCAAACCCCCAGTACTACCAGTTTGCCGGGCCCGCACCATGCAAGGCCAGGGATGCCATGGAACAGCGCGGCTGAGTTCGCAGTTCGTGAAGCGAAGAAATGCGGCGTGTTGCGGTGCGTTGTGCGTTGTGCGAAGAAGTGACTTGTGATGAATCTGTTTCGTTGATTGGTCATGGAGGCATGGAGGTGGTTCAAATTTATTTTCCCCAGAAATGGACATTTGGACGATGTTGTTTTAATGTTGGCACCCCGCTTTGAATATGTCTGAGCCATACTGCTATACGCATAACTGGTTTGGAATGAGCTTGACAAAGGAGGCATAGTGGATTTTCATGGGTTTATGTTGGGCAGTTCTTATGGGTTTGACATATCAGTCAACGTGATCTGCTCAACAGGCTGTGAAAATCTGTGAAAGGTTAGTCAGGACCACAGGATCTGTGTGAAACCATTGCTACGGCCTGCTTGTCACACAGTACTCAACAAATCCAAATGTATCATATGGAACCCACATGAACCCAATGAAAGGCTAATGTGTTGCATCTTGCACAGAAGGCCATTTTCCTATCACGCTTCGTGGTCTGCCATTGGTTTCTTGGTTTCACCGAATATTGCTATGGAAAATGGTTCGTGTAGTTCCATGATTTACCTCATTGCAAATGATGATTTTCCTAGCTATGTTGCATTACCAGAGGGCAATATCCTTTGCTCCCTCATTTAAACTATGTTTGTTGCCTTGGGAACGTGGACACGGTCTTCAGTCTGACCTTCTGTCATGTAAAGTTCAGAGCTTCGTTTTTCGCGCTGTCAGTTTTCGACACGACTTCCTTCAAATGAGCGTACATTTCACCACTAACTGTGCTGCTGTTTGGTAATCACAAATGGGGAAAGAGACTATGCCACTCATTCCATGGTCGTTTTTCCATCGGAAGGTGGTCGCTCAATACTTCTTCTTTATACTTCACATAAATGGCTTCAATTCTAGATTATAAATGTTTTAAGCTGAACATGCACCCAAAACAGGCTGCGGGTACCTCTTACCTTCGTACACACACCAGGACATTTTGTCCGTTTGATGTGTTTGTTGTGTGATGGTCCATCCAGATCATTTTGTTGTCTTAGATCCGTGCAAGTCATTGCTGCGGCACCTGTCCTTGCTTGGGGTGGGGGGGGGCAGGGCGGCACAAAAAATCACCGCAACGCAGAGTGAGGAAAGGATTGCGACATGACATGGTTATGTTTTTTTTAGTTTGTTTTAATTTAATTTTGTTTTGTTTTGTCAGTTTGTGGCAAGCAAAATGACGATACCAATTCTCACATGCAATGCTGGAGGTTTCAATGTGGTACTCACTCAGGGTGTATGTATGTAATGCACAACATGCACCTTGTGAACATGTAGTAAGAGGCCTTACATTGTAGGCTTTGACAGTATAGCCCATCAAATGATGGGATCACGGATTTGTACACGTGAGTAATCTTGATATCTTGAGTAAGAGGTCTAAATAGTTTCGTTGGATATTACATTGCAAACGGCGCAAATGATCTGAACACCACATATTCACATGGAAAAAAACTGCAGCCTGATATTGAGTTATTTGATCAACAGGACTTAGTGTACGGCGTGGTGTTTTATTGAATCACGACTCAGGTTGTTTACCTGTGGAACTTATGCATTGTTACTTGCGGTAGCTTTGACATATTGTGTGCGACAACTCTGACATTGCTGAACACAAATCAACTCACGTAGATATACCAGATTCAACAAGTGTCCTGAAATATGTTTTCAGACATAAACAAGAACTAGTTAGGACACTTGATGTTGAAAAATGTTGTAATTTCTCTCACACAAACATGCGTATAAATTTAAAGGTAAACTTCTGACTGCTACGCAACCATTGTGAAAGACAAATCAAACAAACATAGTTAGAGAGCACAGTTCAACAAGTGTCTTGAAATATGGTTTTAAAAATTTTAGGAACAAAAAGTAGTTAGACACTTGTTGAAAACAGGTCTCGATTCCTCTCACAACAGCATGCACAAAAACTCACATACTATAAAATATGTCTGTAGCTTCTGTGCAGTTTACATGTAATTTATATGCAATGAATTATATGAAATGTTATATGTTTTCTGCAAACTACAATACCAAAGCCCAACAAAAGTGAAACCAACAGCCAAAAACCCAAAACCCAAAACCAAGTGAAACCAAAGCCACAGGCCAACAAAAGCCAGCAAAAACCAAAAAACAAAAACCAAAAACCAAGTGAAACCAAAGCCACAAGCCAACAAAAACCAACAAAAACCAACAAAAACCAAAAACCAATAAAAACCAAAAGCCAAAAGCCAAGAGCCAAGTGAAGCCAAAACCAAAAGCCAAAAGCCAAAAGCGAAGCTCTAAAAAACCAGCAAATAGCACGCAAATCAGAGATTTTAGCTTCAAAATGCATCAAATAGCAAGGAAAGCTGCCCCAGGCTGAAAAAACATCTTAAAAAATCCTAAAAAATACAAAACAACACAAAAACATACAAAAACAAACTACCCTTCCGATTCAAATGAAAGGGGATGATATGGATGTGACTCAAACATTGGACCATATTAGACCCACAAAAGGCTGCACCATACCCAGATACGCATCCCATCTCCCAAGGGACTCACTGAAGTCGACGGTGCACATGTTTTATTGAAATCAAAAATTTCGGTATCCTACAGTTCACCAGTTCGCATAGTTGGTAATTACGGATGTAAATATTGATCTCTCCCATTCAGATAGGAACATCATGGTGTTTCACCACGTCCTCACATTTTTCATGTACCAACATCCAGCGATGCTCCCTTCTAGGTCGTTTCCATGGCAATGCCGGCCATGCCATCAGCCTACATTGGATCTACATTGGCTGGGTCTGCAGTTGTGGTTAAAAGTGCCGGGTGTGGCAAGCAAAATCGGTCGAACTTGGGGGAAATGAACTGCCGCCCCCCCAAATCTTTCAAGACAAGAGTTGCATTGGAAGGTTACCAAATGGTGAGCTACATAGTTGCCTCAAAATTGAGACAACATCAACAACACTAATTTTTTGTTTGATTGTTTTTTAGTTGTTGCATGTTATTTGCTGCTAACACACAGGCATATAGAAAGCAGTTCGGAACTGGACATATCCAACAAACATATATGTGTTTCAATCATGGTTCCGGAAATTCACAGAACCCCCCCCAACACTTCGGACACCTGTCTATATGTATGGATTCCAACAAAATCAAAAAACAAATCTGGAAAATGACTCTGTTTTGGGTACACATCTATTTCGGGTTTGGGCATTCGAACGGCACCCGCTTTTTGGCGCAATGGCAAATCTGCTGCCAATGTCTGAGGTGCGGTGAAACTGTGAAACTGGAAGTCCTGAGTGTATGATCATCACGTCATGCCTTGGGGCCATTGATCAGAAAAAATGGGGACTGAAACTGGTATTTCTTATCAAAGATGGGGAAACTGTAATGTATGGACAATGTATGAACATGTGGAGGTTTCCATAAATGGTGATACCCTAAATGGATGGTTTATAATAGAACATCCAATCAAAATGGATGATTTGTGATTTGGGGGTACCCCCATTTCAGGAAACCCTCATGTATGAAGATCTTCCAAACAAATTTGGATTGTAGCAGGCCATGGTCATGTGTCGATTCAGATGTCATTCCGCCTTCCTGTTTCAAATGGTTTCTGGGGTCACATCTGAATAACAGAAGAATTGAAACGTGAACATGTTGACATGTTTAGATAGAACAGTGTTGATTTGTCTAAAAATGGGATATTAGCGTCCCAAATGGGTACCAAATGGGAACGGGAAAGTCGGGAAAAATGTTCGGCCGAACCGATGGATGGAATGGGGTGCCCTATTGTGATTTTCTCACCTATTTTGTTTGTTTTTGGGACATTCCTTGCAATGGTGAACAATGGCGAGGTTCCTAGTCTTGTGGCCGAAGCCAGTTGCTTTGGCTATAGGAGTTTGGTTCTGTTTTGTGCAGTCCCAGTGCTAGCAAGATCCCATTTCATCCCATATTTTTACATCTGTTTGGTGTTGGTGAATGTTCAATATTCTAGGTTTTGATTGGATTCTTTGATTCTGAGCCCATGTCATCATTATTGATTTGTTTACATGGTTTAATTCCACATTACATGTCTTAAATCCACGTTTGTTCTGTTGCTTACATAGATAATATTTCTTGGCTAGTATGGGTTCTCTTCGTTGTTCAGAACCATATGTTTTGAATTACTAGAAGTTTCAAATCCACCTTGTTGGTTCAATTCCCATACTTGTTCCATCCCACATTTCTCGGGAAAAATGGCAATTTCTTAACCGCTGTCGATCTGTTGATCACCGATCCCAGGGGTGGAAACCACCCCGGGATTCACCGTTCATGGGAAAAATGTAGAAACATGTGGCAAATTTTACAGTTTCAAACTGGTATCTATTGTGGCTGCCCATTGTCATCCAGGAGTTGGTGAATAGATTTAAGGTGAATCTACCCTCGCAAGTCATGAGCGATGTGTCGGAATGCGATGCTACGCGCAGGTTGAGATGTATCCACTCCTTAAGGCTCCGAATGTGGGCGAGTCCAGTCGGCCAGGGCGACATTTTCTAACTGTAGATGGCTTATGATGATTTGTCTTGAAGTCAATCAGGAAACATGTTTGAATAATGCTGCTTTGACACCAATCCCTTCCACACATATTCTCAGATTCATCATTGCTGTGTTTGTACTATTCATGATTCCTCCAAACATATTTCTGCCATTGACACCAAAGTCAGTAGTCGTTCTTACGAGACTTACCCCACGAAGCGACTGTGTGGTCTCATAAGATTGTAAGACGATGGCAACTGGGAGATTGTTGGGGGATTATAAAAGAATGTAAGTGTCATGTACACGTAAGTACATCATAAGATCACATAAGTAACATAACTATATACATAACATACATAGACATTATGGATGGATATATTTCCCATACATTTCCCATACATGTCCACATGGCAACCATTCATGGCCACCATTCATGGCCACAGTCATGGCCACCAGGTGTCACCTCCCATCCCCGTGGGACGCCTGGCCGGCCGCTTCAAGCTGCAACTCTGGCGCGCCAGCAGCGACTTTCAGTTGAAACTCCCATTGGCCTCGCAACGAGGTCCGAGTCCCGGAAACGGGGACCGGAAACCGAAACATCAACCGTCAGGATAGAAGGAAAAATTGAAGGACTACTGGAGAAAGATATAGATGAATTGATGGTGATAGGTTTTTCACAGGTCAGTTGAGAGGTGAAGTCTTGTTTGCAAACTTCTTATGAGATAAGAAAAACAAGACCAATTTGAAGGCCAGTTTGTTATTTTACCAAGCGGAGGATCGGGCTCGTTGAGGTGTTGATTGCCAGAGCCAACACAAAATCATACTTTTTACATGATATTATATCACGTCACGTTCTCATCACGCAATGTTTTTACAGAAGGGAAGTTGAACTGAGATGATCGAGATATGCAAGCCATTGTTGAGATTTGAAGATGATCAAAAGAACCATCCATAAGTCCCAAGTCAAGCCACTGGGTTTCTGCTGGCTGCTGGCCACCCTTTCTTCGCTAATGGCCGTGTCTCACCTCGGAAGATGTTGTATCACCCACAAATAGACAAGAGGAACATTTAGCAAAATTTCATTGGGTCAACCTTGGTTGGATACGAGTATATACGGAAAAATCTTTTGCTATCAAAGGCAGGTTACGGTTTTTGTTGTGTACCAGCTCAACCAGCAAAATAAAATAGTTGTTTTGATTTTTGGCAGTTATCTAAGTTATCTAAGGTTCACCATGATAATTGGATTTGTTTCTGGAATTCTGATTGGAACAGGCCGATGTTGAATCCAACAGGCCGAAAAATCATCGTCTTTTTGTGTTGGTTCCCAGTTTGACCATCACGTGGTCCTCCAGTTTGGAATCGCTAAGTTGGTGAAGATATAACTCCCATACGCTGACAACTGTTGGCTTTAAGGTAGTTCTATCCATCTATAGTTCATGTGCCTTACAATGCACATAACTGGGGCATCAGATTGTACTGACACCAGAGCAAGTTGGTGTAGGAGGGTTCTCGTGACCAATGTACATTGCAAGTTTAATTGGCCAACTAAAAAAACACATGGTTACATATATTTTTTTAATATGATTACTGCATAATAATGTATCGTAGAGTACAGAATTTAATTGACCAAATTTATGTTCTATCTTTGTCATTTAATTGACCAAATTTATGGTATGTACAATATTGACCCAATTTATGTCCATGGTAAATCCCAAATTTATGTATTAACAATATAGTTCATGGTATATTGAATATATTATAATATATTGTTCTATCTTTGGCCAATCCCAAGTCTCGATCCTCGAATCGATTCTCGCTGCCAGGGGAGGTCACGGTGGTAGGTGATGCGTGTCATTTAGGCATTCACCAAGGCGCCCGTGTTGGTGATTTTTGCTTTGGGAATGGTTGACATGCCTATAAATCATAAATGTATGGTATGTCATGGTGATTTTGATGGTAGGGGATGTAGCATGTTGAATCATTTTGACATTTATGATTTGAGTTTGAGTTTTTGGTTTGTTTTTTATTGTTTTGTTTGATAAGTCTTGAGTTGATGCAACTAGTTCTGCTTTTGGCTTGATGAGTTGGATTTGTTTGGGCCATCCGGAGCCGCAGACAACTTGAGGGATGGTCGAGACCAATTCCAACTTCCCATATCGATGGCTTTTGAATAACGATCCAAAGCAGAAAACCCTGATGTTTCACAATTGTATGGATGATGGGATGTATCATTATCGGAACCCCAACTTTTGATTTTGAATAACCATCCAAAACCATCCAGAAATCCCTGGATATATATATATATATACATATATCCTATACATATATATATACATATACAGTACTTGATTTGCATGGATTAATCAAACTATATCCAAGTTATGATACAAAAAGTGAAAGTTGTGGGCAATTGTGCTTGAGATCCCCCTTGATTCCCGCAGACTTTCAAGATTTCCGAAGGTACCAAGCTAGTAGTATTGAGCTTTGAAATCCATGTGTTCCAAAACAACTCTATACAGGTTTCCATAGTCATGGGGGATCCCCAAAATGAATGATTTATAATGGAAGGACCTATTAGACATTAGAATGGATGACAATTTACGGAGTACCCCCACTGTAGGAAACCCCATATACAAAGTGGTGACCCCCCAGTGGTTTATGTTGCCCTGTTACCCCCATTGCAGGAACTAGTTACTATTACTATAGTTACTAGTTCGATGTATCTCCATAAACCCAACAGAATTTGCCTCGTGGTGTGACATACAGCCCATTATATGCCACTCATCTCCAATAATTGCCATTCATGTCCCATGATAATCCCATTTTTTGCTTGAATCAATTCCATTCAATTCCCATATCATTGCCACTCATATCCCATTTCATCCCATCAAACATAATCCCATCAACAAAAGTTCCGTTGTTGAGTTTGCCAATTTGACGTTAAGTTTTTGGTGAATTTCACCAGGAGATGAAGTGTTAAGCATCAATGATGTGGCAATACAAGTTCCTTGGCGCCAGTGGCCAACGCCCCGGGGATGGTCCAATGGGAATGAACTCGTTGTCTACAGACTTTGGCTGGGGTTTTAGGCTCCACATTGGCTGGAGATGTTCAGAAAAACATGTGGGAACTTGATCGTATATATACATATATATATATAGCAGACAGCTTGAAGTAATATACATGACTTGGTTGATATTTAACCGCATACCTGGTAGTTACGCATGGTCATCCCTAATCATTCCTCTATGCACATGGAAAATTAACGTTTTTGACTCATCGCCACTTGTTTCGAGCACACTATCATTCCGTTTGTTCCTTGATGAAATATCAATTGTTTGTCAATTCAGAAACATCATTCATCAACGTGAATTGTAAGGGCACATCAGAAGGGCGCCAGGCTAGAAATGATGCAAATTTATATATGTAGCTATCGCAAAATTTGAAATGGTTGAACTATTTATATGGTCTTTTCAGGTTGGTGAACTATTGTAATTTACCCAGATAAACATGATAGATCTTAAATTATAACGACCTCACGTTGTGACGTCACTAGAATGATGGTGAATGCAAGGGATACCTATCCGAAAACAGCCAAACCCTTCATCAATGAATGATTATAATTTATCCAAATAGATGTACCATGCTAGTTGACTGTATGATATTCACTACAATACAATCATAATATGTATATATATAATATAATATAATATAATAATATATATATATACATATGATATAATATAATATAGTATAATATAATATAATATAGTATAATATAATATAATATAGTATAATATAATAATATATATATAATTTAATTTAATATAACATAATATAGTATAATATAATATAATATAATATAATCTAAATAATATAATATAATATAATATAATATACATAATATAATATAATATAATATAATATATATATATAATATAATATAACATAATATAATATAATATAATATAAATAATATAATATAATATAATATAATATACACATAATATATAATATATATACATAATTATATATATATATAGACCCAGTATGACCCAGTATATCTATCCAGATGATCAATGACTGTTGGTGACGGACATTTTCATTCAGCCTCTCAGGATCTGACTCACGCTGCCGAAGTCTTAGAGCAGAGCGGGCAGGAGGCGTTTCTGGTGGGCGCATGGCATGTAAACAAACATAGCTATGGACAATGGCCCATTTATAGTGAGTTTTCCCATTAAAAATGGTGATTTTCCATAGTTATGTTAGTTTACCAGAGGGTAGGAAGAGTATGCAATTACATATCTCACAAAAAACATGTAGACATTATCAACCAACACTATGTATGTATATATTGTATATTATATATATATGTATATTATATGTTGTATAGTGTGGTATGTATACATATGCGTTTCGCTAACGACACTTAAATATGTGGAGGGCGGGGCAGACCACCAGTTCCATCTGTAAATTCAAATGTTTAAATAATTGGATTCCGTATGTTTAAATGGCCGGGCAGGCCAAGGAAAAAAAAAACAGTTCGTATATTTAACGCCAGTTCGTATATTAAAAAATCTGTATATTTCGATGTACTTACCGTATATATATATATACATATTATGTCTAATTATTTGCTAATTTGAACAAAGAGACTCCGTTTTCAACATATTTGAGATGAATAAGCTATGAACCGGTGCATGCGTCGAAATTTGCTTAATTTTGGTCTGGAAGAGGACTTCCTCTTGAAGGGGTTGGATAAGCCAATCGAGAGGTGACGAGTAATCTTGACCCATAATTGGGAATCTCTGAGATACCTTTGGTACATACCTGAAACGAACAGAAACTAGATAGAATCCCAGGTTTTGGGGAGCTAACGTGGAACAAGTACTGTTTGGCCTGTTGTTTTATGGAGGAAAATCATAGAAACATGCCTCAAAGACCAACTTGATTTGTTCCCATTTCACTTAAACAAGTCGTGCTACAAAAACTCAACAAAACGATGGTTGCTTGAGAGTGATGCTGGGGATTCTTTCATTAAGGCGCCTAGAAACAAAACGGTTGGACTTCCGAATCGTCGCCAGGTGGAGATCCACTTTTACCACAAGGTGGGAGATGCAGTGATCACTCGGTGGGGTTTTCGAAATCGCGGCTGCAACGGCCGAATCGGTTGGAATTTGTTGATATTTGTTGGGTATAAGGATGTATAAGGTATGAACTTGCCATTTGTTGGTTCAATTATGGTTCAATGCTCCTTTGTTCCCAGTTGTGACAACGAAATGATCATGTCATAAATTATGGTGAAAAATGCCCATGTTTGTTGCTGAAACCTCTCATCATTGGTTGTAGTTTAATCTCCATGATTGTTGGAAAACCCCATGGCCGTGGGTGCAAAATCTCTAGATCAGTTGTAAACCTTGGAGGCGAGAAACCCCAAGAATTATTATATGCCCACTGGACATGGAACTAAAGAGCCCAGTTGTATATTCTTCCAAAATCAGTGGGAAGTTGATGATTCAACTTATTTGATTGGGACTGATGACTTTTTGCTCTAGATTCGGATTTCACTTTTCTATTTTTTTTGGGTCACTAGATTTAGATTCAGATTGTCCTTTTCTTTCTTTTTGTGGGGGGTGCTATAAACATCACCAACCAACTGCATGGCTAGTGGAAAATCCTTTAGTTTTTTGCTATGGTAAATATCCATCACCAGCAAAAAATGATATATTTTTTTTCCGTGGACTATCAGAGATTGACCATGAGAAGGTACTTAAATATGACTGAACCTCCATCGATACACTTCTGAATATCCTATGTTTAAAATGGTGATGAATATCCTAACAATTCTCTGACTTCACATCCCAGAAAAAATATAAAAAACAAACTCATTCATACTCATTCAAACTATTCAGACATATTTTTGAAGCTGTTGGAGAGTCAGAGTCGTCCTCAAAACATCTCCCCTTCGCAGGAATCCGAACTGTTAGAGGAGAGTCCGAGGGGTCCGCTGGGACCACGACGGGATTTTTCATGGGATAAACTGGCATGTTAGTAGGATTTTTCCATGGGAATTCAATATATTTAATATGATTTAATGGTACTTATAGTGGGATAAGAATGGGATATAACATGGATTAAAAAAGGATTGAAGATCCATTTTTTATCAACTATCATGGGAGAATATTGGGATTCAATGGGATATCGATATACTGTATACAGTATGGATTTTATGAGCGTCAATGGGATGTAACGGGACAATAATGGGAACCCATGTTAGGGAAACCTATCAACCAACTAGTGTAATGAGATGAGATCGGGATATGTTTCATGGCTCAGTTTCTGTCATTGGATTCAACAGGCATGTCATCAACTATCATGGGGATCTTTCGCCCAAGGCATCGTTTTTTTCGCTTAGTCATTTCACCCTGCTCATGCAAGGTTTAACCAACTCAGCAGGGAATCGACCACCTGGCAATATTCGATGGTGGCAGTTGGAAAGTGGTAAAATGACAGTACCCTCTGGTAAACTAACAGTTTGCTATTGAAAATTGCCATAGAAATAGTGGATTTACCCATTGAAAATGGTGATTTTCCATAGTTATGTTAGTTTACCAGAGGGTAACTTCGGCCCGCAACTTGGAATCTCTTTCTTCCGGCGCAGGACGAAAATCTGACGTACGAGACGGTGTGTTGTGCTCCAGCACTTTGCACGTACCGCACGATGCCTGTGTCCCTGGGCGAAGGTTTTTATGTAGTTAACATAGCTATGGAAAATCACCATTTTTAATGGGAAAATCCACTATAAATGGCCATGTTCAATAGCTTTTTGTATGTTTACCAGAGGGTATTTGATGATATTTGGGTACAGAAACTGCTGAAGGATGCTGAAGGCTAGGGCCCAACGACTTGGCGACTTAGATAGCTTTGTTATAAGATGATGTGATCCTCTGGTAAACTAGCACTTTGCCAAGGAACAACATCATGTTTTTATAGGCAAATCATCTACACAAGGCAATTTTCCATAGCTATGTTAGTTTTCTGTCCTTTTTAGGATCAATTTGTGTCTTGTGATGCAGCTGTGCAAGGAGAGAGGGCTAAAGGTAGCTGTTTCTTCCTCTACCATTTGGGCATTTTCGCAATAAAGTCCGAAGCAATGCAGGAAGACATGTTACAGAAGGACGAGTTCTAGCGGATCTATCTTGAACTTGGTGGAAACAACCACCGAAACGATGCGTTTGGTGGTTTTGCAGCCATGTGAAGTGAGCTGCAAACTCTGCCTTCCCATGTTGTGGTGAGGCATTGTGAAACAGCAGTCAGGTTTCTATCTTTTGTGCCAAGGTTTGTCTTTTGTGCGTTTCAGCCGTGTTTTCAACGTACTCTCATATTGGAGCAATCACAACTGAAGATGCTCCAATCCACAAAGCTTGGCATAAAGAACGTACTAGGGCCAGAATTGATATGTGGGTCTAATAAAGGGACAACATGCATTGGCCCCCTCACTTTTCTACATAGGGTCTTTGCAGTTTTTCCATGTTATTTTTCCGCCTCAAAATCCCAGAGTGACTCATGATTTTGGTAAAAGTTTGAGAGTAAACCCCAAAGATTGCCATTATGTTACTTCAATATGTTCTTAAACATGTATAAAACCAGTACATTTCACCATTACCACTATATATGTGATAGGTGTTGCCCTTTCAAAGAACCAGAACCGATGTTTTCTTCCCAAAACACACAGTAAAGCCCGAGGTGGTGCGATTTTTTCTACAACCCACCGGAGCCCAGGTGGGTTTGACAAAAAAAGGGGGAAGTGGCCGAATTACTGTGTTTTGAAGTTGATTGAATCCCCAAGATGTGCGGTTTTTCACCATGCTAAACCGTTTGTATGGAGGGAATGTGTGATTGAATACAACCAAATTCGTTGGATGTTTTGTAGGTGCTGGAGATGTGAATTGCTCTGAGAGAAGAGAATGATGTCTCGGATCTATGATCGCAACAAGCCAGGGATGACAGGGATGTTTATCATACTGATCCTGCCTTCATGGTAGACCCTTGACTTGTGTGGCTGTTGAATGCTATTGAGATCAACATTAGTATGAACATTCAAAGTTCAACTTAACATAGGAATTCATAGGAATAGTTAAGTTCAAAGATGTTCAAACCGAAGTATCTTAAGTGACTGTCCCAGAGGGTACTTGCCGCGGTACCCCCGCGAGATATGTACCCACCAGGTGTCGTGCAGAAACTTGGCAACTTCGAGAGGTGGGGCGTTACAACAGTCTGGATGGTTTCAAGATTATATATTTTCCCAATGGCGAATCCACTCGAAAAACTCCAAATGGGGAATCGGTTCAGATTATATATTTTCTTTTGGGTGGTTCCTGGAAAGCAAATCCAATGCTTGGGCTGTGGTTTAGCTGCTTTAAGCCCATTTTCTCAGCAGACTTTGACCATCGACTTTGGCCATCATAAAGCATCATAAATCGTCATACATCGTCATACTGTGGATGGAAGAAAAATCCTGTACCACCTTGGATGGTTGAAACATGTTGAAACCCTATAGATAATGGGATAAATAATAAAACACCTATGAACTTATGCAGGGTTTCTTCTACTCACTGTATCAAGTGTAGTGTTTGGGTGAGACTTTGGATGCGAAAATCTGGCATTTGTTTCATCTAGTTGATGTTAAGAAAACAGCAAGATGATGTTTAGCTGCGAAAACTGAAGTGTTTAAGCAAGGAACAACTGTGAATTCGGGAATTTGACCGTTAGTCAAAACGGTTTGAACACCACAATTTTGTTTGATTCAAGCCCAATCTTTGTTAAACCGCAGCAGTTCTATGTATAGATGCGTTGAACTTTGACGTATGAAGTCGTGGTTTCTCTCCATCAATGGGAGCTTTCCAGTTGAAGATTTTTCCAGCCAATCATGGGATTCTGCAATGTAAACATAACTTGGTAAATTCTAGGGATTATGATATGATATATCTATAGTTTATATGATTTGATATGAATTGATATGAATTGATATTATATATATAGTTTATATGACATATCATGGGATTCTAGGGATTATGGTTGACATGAATAGATAATTGATATGAATTGATCTGAAGTTTATGGGTGTTATAAACCAACAAACATCATATGAATCAAATCCTTGGTTATATATGCCATTCTATCCCCAGTATATCCCCGTGAATTCCCATTATTTATCAATCAACCAGCATTTATCTAATGATACATCCCCACATGTTAGTTAAAGCCCCAAAAAAATCATGTGTGGATCAATATATCCCCAAATGATTGATGCAAAAAACAAAAACTAATCAAACCACCACTGTATGATTGTGAAAGCTACAGTGAAATTACTAAACAAAACCATGTATATAAGTGTATATAATATATATATATATATATAATATATATATATAATATATATATAATATATATATATATATAATATATATATAATTCATGGTGAATTCACCATTAAACTAAGGCCTTGGAGCTAATTCACCACCATTTTTCCCACTAAAACCTGATGGCAACCAGGTCTTGGCAACCTCCAAAGTCATCGAATTGCCAGGTTACCGACGTCGTACCGACTGGATGGGAATTTTCCAAAAAACTGTGCCATGTGGGATTTGTCTATTTGCCAATGTGGGATGATATTTGTATATATTTGTAGGATTCTATGCTTTCCACACTTGGTTCCTTTAATTGAACTTAAGAATTTCTGGAACATTCCCATCACTTACAAGATTCTGGATCGGTCCTGGGGGTTGTTGATCATTCTGATGTGGAGCTAAGGACTGAGATTTTGTCGAAGGGCAGCTGGGTTGAAGAATTGTTATAGCCAGTTTTTTTTTATCAACCAACCATCTCTCTATGGTTTGTGTCTATGTTTTTTTTTAATGTTGGTGATTGAATGCCTGTACACATCAGTACATAAGGGATTTGTCATACTCAATTATTATTGTGGGTGATACCTCCGGGTTTATTAGGGAGTGTTATAACCTACCCTCTGGTAAACTAACAGTTTGCTATTGAAAATGGCCATTGAAATAGTTGATTTACCCATTAAAAATTGTGATTTTCCATAGTTTGTTGTAGGTTTACCAGGCCGGGTACAACATGATTTTCCATGTCAACCAATGAGTACGATGGGACGGGATTGAGCTGCTGGGATCTACAGTAATATGTTTGTGTCGTTTTTCATATCTGAAACTCAGAAACAATCCAGTGATGTTTCATTGGATTCTATAATCTAATATAATCAATCAATCAATAATGTCAATTGGAATATTGTTGTTTATAATACTATTGTTATCATTGGATTTTATTATGAATCCAATTTATTGTGATTCTATAATTTGATCATGTTGGATTGATCTATGTCTATATATTACCAGACAAGAAGAAAATCCATGGCATTATGACAAACATGAGCAGCTTGCAACAAGATGCACTTGAGTTTGTGGTATATTGCCATGTCAATCAGTGACCTCAGTTTAAACATGGTCACTTCGGGCATCTTTGGAGCATACATCACCTTCTCTCACTTTGTCCTTACATGTCTTAGCATCAGTTACCCAGTCCCCAAGAGTTCCTAAACACTCTTTGGTTTATCTTTACTTTGCAACATATCACTGACTACTTCAGCAGGGGAGGTGACCAGTCACATCACCATGGTATCAAGACCCCAAAAAATGGGGGCATCCGTGGTGGGTGCCATCACCATGGGCATGTGACATTTTGGAATTCCACTTGATCCATGGAACTATGAAACTCTGAGAAATCGTAAGGAAATAGTAGGATTAATAGAACCTGAGGATTTAGAATTTAGGTCCTGGGTTTGCGGTTGAATATGGACCCTGAAAAGAGTTCACTGGTTTCACAGGTTCTGCAAGTACTGTTGGTGAACTCAGCTTGGCCAGAGCAATCGCAACGCTGTCATAACAGAGGGCACCATTTGCCGTATCATCCAAGGCTTCGTGATGCGAATCTGCAAAATCATCCTTCAACCCCTGAAGGGCAAGTTGCATCTTAGAAATCATGGGGCTCAATCATCCCATTATAATTATATCCCATTATGTCCCATTATCATTACTCATTCTGACCGTTGACCATATTAGCCCCATTATTATCATTACTCACTCATTTACCATTGTTGACATTTGTTGTCACGGAACTTGAGAGAACATGAGAGAACTATCCAAAACTATCAAGAACTATTCAAAAACTGGGCGGCTTCCAGACACGGAACTTGAGAGGCAACATGTGGCGCTTGCATTTGCAGCGGTTCTCGATGAAGTCCCGAAGTCAGAATTTTCTGGGCTGCACTGGGAAGACTTTTTTACACCTCTACAATATTTAGAAACAGGAATACCCTCTGGTAATTTAACATAGCTATTGAAAATGACCATTGAAATAGTGGATTTTCCCATTAAAAATGGCCAATCTTTCCATTGCAAACTGTTAGTTCACCAGAGGGTAGTGGTTAAAAGATGGGTTAAAAGATGTTCCCATCAAACATGGGGATTCCTCCGGAGGAACATGGTCATATTGGTGATGTCCTGATTCTTCTAAGAGAAAGAGGGTGGAGTTGAATATCCAAGCAATGAATGAGAATTTTAGGCAGCAAACTTGAGATTTTAGGGAACAGGAATTTAGAGAAGACATCATATGGAGGAGGCCAACAAGAAGAGCATCAACGATTTGGGGCTACAGCGACTCCCAACAAAGGAATCATGTTCATTTCGGATCTTGTCAGTGTCCATCGGATATTCACTCGTCCAGTCTGTCCAGTTGTCCAGAGAAGCGGTTTAGATCCTGCAACTTGTCATTGCCCCTTCGGCCCCTTCTTGTTGGGTGAACATCATCATGTTCCTAAGATTATTGAGACTGTCCAAACATCATGTCTAGGTCTTGTCCCCGTTTGGGTAGACAGGGTAGTCACGAATCATTGGAGGTCAAATCTGCCATTATGTTGGTCTTGAAAGCAACAGTCGTGTTGGTTACACCAACATTCCTTTGTGTGCTGAAACCTCATCCCGGTCTTGCTCCAACACCCATTTTTTCTCGCCCGACTTCCTACCATTTCCATAAGATCGCAGTTGGAATAAACTTACATCGTCATTCTTATGATGCGAACTGTTCAATTAGTTTTAGAAGCTGAAATGCCAACTGTCTCTTGCTTTAAACTCCAAAATCACAGCATGTTGTTTTGAAAACAGAGTGAAGTCATTTACCTCGATTTGCTGACGAATCTGAAGACAATTTTTTGTGCTCCCAATGGGAAATCCACTAGAAAGGGCGAATCTATCAGGGCAAAAATCGTTGGGAAACTAAATTGATATATGGAACTGTATTCCCGATAAAGTTCCCTATCAGAACTTTCATGTCCCATTTGAACGTTCTAGTAGGGAATTATATTTATAGGAAAAAAGTTGAGTTCAAAGTTGAAGATATATCAAAATCAAAAAACTTAATACATCTTTATATATATATATATATTATGTATATATATATATATCCCGCAATTCCCTAAATGTTCTTCCTTCCCTTTCAATGCGTTAAAGGCAAAGCTTCGCCTTGCCGCTGGGCCTGGTGAGCGAAAACGACGAGCCCTCGGAGATGTCGAACTTGGCCTCGGAGGCGGTTCCAGGGCTCCTGGGATGGTTATGATTAATCTATGGTTAATAATTGTTAATAATTAATAGGTGAATAATGGTTAATAGATTAATCATAACCATCCCAGGTTAATAATCTATGGTCTATGGTTAATAAGAATGGTTGATATACTAATAGGTGAATCATATTAACATATATGATTAGTTTATGGTTAATTATGATTAATCTATGGTGTAGTAGGTGAATAATGGTTCTTTTCAGGGTCTATGTTAATTTACCAGAGGGTAGTATATGGTTAATCTATGGTGGAATATGGTTAATCTATGGTGAATGATGATTCATGATGGTTAATGATGGCTAATAATGGTTAATATAACAGTGGTTCTAGTGATGGTTAATCATGGTTAATAATGGTTTATAAATGATGGTTTATAATTGTTAATAATGGATGGTTAATATTTTGCTAATCTATGATATATATATATATATCGGGATATAGTTATACTATGGGAATATATAACGGCTATAGTTATATAATGATATATGTGGTGGTTTATATAATGATCCCATTTTTAATGGTTTAGACCACCCATTTATGGATATATGGTTGATATATGGATGATATTGGGATATAATATAATATAGTCATGTAATATATAAGTTGTATATTGGGATAATAACTATACGACCGTCATCAACCATCATTAATCATTATTAAGTATAATGTGGTTAAAAGAATAAGAAACCCCCAAGTATAGTGATAAGAGGTTTTGACCCATACCCAAATAAAGGATTATATTGGGATATAGTAATAGTTTTACTATACTTATTTCCCAACTGCTGGGGATTTGTATATATAACTATAGCCAATACTTGATGGATTATACATATATGGGGAACATAGTGGCTATTGAGGCTAATGATGATATAATTATATATACATATATGGCTATATCAATGGTGAATAGTGGTGATTATGGTGAACAACTGGTTGTTAATGACCATATATTAATATATAGATAGTCCCATCATTGAATGGGTGTGTAAAACATCCAATATATATAAGAGTCCCATTATACAGCCAATCATGGCGATCATGTGTATATGGGGAATATAGCGGCTAATTATATTTCATATATGATATGATATATATAATTTATATAATAAAATGATATAATGTATATGTAGTGGCTAATGATATATAGCCAATGATAGCCCATTTAGGAATATGGAGCGATAGCGATTGTATATATAATATAATATAATATAACATAATATGATATAACATAATATAACATAATATAATATAATACAATATTATACTATGTTATATTAAAATATATTATATTGGCTATAGTTATATAATGATAAATGTAATGGCTGTTATGATTTCATCAAGCTATTGGTTATCGCATTTTTTTTGTCCAGGTAGCATGACTATTGATATCATTTAACCAACGTTGGCTGATTATTAGCTGATGATTATATATAATACTTGATATGAGTTTTATCATTTATAGGTTTTTTGGCATTTTTTTTTATGGCTAGTTCGCTACAAGCTGTAGTTGCTAACACTGAACTATCAAGTTGCGAAATTAGCAAGTTTATATCAGATTCCAACTGTCAAGATGATGATTTACCTTCTGGCAAATAAACATAGACCCTGAAAATCACCAGTTTTTAATGGAAACTAGTCTTCCAACCCCTATCTGCCGGGTCTATGTTAATTTACCAGAGGGTATATGTTGGATATGTTCTTAAGTCACATGAACTCACCATCGCCACCATGGCGAAGTCACCGTGTTTTTGCCGTGTTTTTTGCCGCCAGGACGGGCTGTTGCCATCGCCCAAGACGAAGGTCACGGCGCTGCAGCTCTGCGAGAGCTTCAGCTCGCTGCCCAGCGAGGCCGATGTCGAGATTTTCCATGGTTAGTTCATGGTGAATCTATGGGATTTAATGGGATCCACCATATTTTCTATGGTTTATTATATTTAATGGGATTTAATGGACTTTAATAGGATTTTAATGATGGTTAATGATGGTTATCAATGGTTTAATGGGCTATCATTGGATTTAATGGACTTTAATGGAAAATGGCCATAGCTATTGGACTAATGGATCTTAATGGATTTTAATGGGATTTAGCCTCTGGTAAACTAAAAGTTTGCTATTGAAAATGGCCCAATCGAAATAGTGAGTTTTCCCATTGATAGCATATGTAAACGTTTACCAGAGGGTACGGGTAGTGGTTACGGATTTAGTGATGGTTGATGGTAATTACCCTCTGGGAAACGTTTACATAACGAACTGGAAAGATCCACCATTTTATAGCTGGGTAAATCAACTATTTCTATGGCCATTTTCAATAATGGTGATGGTTGATGGTGAATTATAGTTATTGATGCTTAATATTGGTTAATGAATGATGGTTCATGATTGCTATAGTGATGGTTGATAGATATAGCCTTTAAACAGTTCGCAATGGAGATGTCTCAACCATCGACGGATACTTAGTGATGGTGAATGATGATAAATGATCAATGGGGACTTTACAATGGTTGATGGTTAATGATGGTGATACATGGTGAGTACATAATGGTATATGGTGATGAATGGTTAATAGTGGGGGGCTTCACAGGGGTTTAATGATGGTAAACGATGGTGATTCATGGTGGTGCTTAATGATTAATAATTGTCCTGAATGGAATTATGATTGGGAACATTTAAGTTGGGAAATAACAATTAATTAATGATGACTTAATTCTTTAAACAGTTTATTCATTTAATAAGTCATAGTTAAGTTTAGAATTCCCATGATGGCTCCTGGAGATGTTATTAAACCATAACAATGGAGACTTCACAATGCTCAATGATTGTTAATGATGCTGATTGGATGGTCATGTGAATCTGGACCGCATCTGGAATTGTTAATACTGGTTTTCATGATGATGATGACTGGCGTTGAAGAGTTTTTCATGTTTAATGATTGTGATAAATGGTGATTAATGGTTAGCAATGATTTTATTTATGGAACTAGCCTTTAGTATGTTTAAGGCGACTTGTTTTTAGTTTCCCAATGGACAATCCACAATTGAATCTATAGGGATTTATTTTGAGGGGGACCCTTTCAGCAAATCCAGGTTGTTTAAGTTGGTTTACATCTACGTCGTATAACTAGTTTTTTTTTTCCGGACTTTTAACTATGGTATCATGGGAATGTAACAATTGTAAGGGAAATCAATGGGAATTACTGGGGAATTGACAATCTGGACTATGATGAGATTATAAGATATCAAAAGACATTCATACCAAAGAGATAAATGGGATGTAGCTAGCAATAATTGGGAGTATAATTGTGATATATTGTGATATATTGTTATATTGTGATTGTCTGGGAGATGAATATCAAGCTTCTATCTGGACCCAAGGCATAGACAGTTAAATGAAGAATTTGCCTCCCCGAACTTATTAACAGTTCGACCCTGCCATCAGTCATGGGTTGGGAGATTAGTTTCACACTAAAATTGACTATTTTCAGGGGTCTATGTTTATTTGGGGTAGGATAATTAATGATTGAGATGATTATTGGAATATGCTGTATTGAAATACACTATTTTGGGAGGTGTTACCCGGTCCCCAGAAGTTAATAGCCAGGGTTTACTCATCAAGGGTTGAAATTGATGGCTAAGTTGGTTTGTAACTCCACTAACTAGGGTTTATGGTACAGTAGATATAGCGAACAGGTTAATGGGGGCTTATAGACCAACTATGTTTACCGGGCACCACACTCTATGGCTTGAAATCTTTTGGTACCATGGTTTCTACATCATACAGAAGTTGATTTTGTTCATTTTTTTGGTTGGATACACAGCACCATGTATAACCCATTCAACCTGAATCTTCTAGCAGGGGATCCGCAAACCCTCAAGAAAAACATCTGCGTGGTAAATGGATATTGATCCCCATGACATGATAGATCTGATAGGTTTTAAATCATGCCACATAATAATAACGGTATGTTTGACGCGTGTTTTGAAGCACGTTGTGAGAACAAAACCTGCCTTAAAAAAATGTTTGAAGCTGTTTGAATCAGATTCTGAAACCGTTTTCTATCACCCAGACATATACGTAGCAAGGATTGGTGGAAGTTTCAGCAGCAGAAACGAGATTTCACCAAATGGTGAGTTTAATCATTTTTTTTCCATAGACAATGTGATTTCACCAGCAAACATGGCAAGGCTGGGGGAGAGTTTAAAGCAGCAAGCATCCCCTTTGTTGGCTGTAAATATTGAACTTCAACCAGCAAACATGGGGCAGTTTTACAGCGCCAAATCTGGGAAGCTTAGCCAGAAAGTGATGAGTTGATTTTATAGTTTTACCACCAAACCATTTCGGCAGTAAAACATGTGATTCACCAACAGTACGTAATTACAAGATATTGTAAGCATGGTCTTTCAACCACCAACAAGGGTGATTGTTTAAAATGACTTTCCTGAATTTCTGGCTGAATATAAAATGAACGGAGGAATGGATGGAAGGTTAGAGTTTGGCGGATGAAACCAGTGAAACTCGACAGGGGGGGCAGGTCGGACCATAAAAATAGTTACCCTCTGGTTATTTAACATAGCCATGGTATAGATGGCCCATTTATAGAGGATTTTCCCATTAAAACCTCGATTTATAAGGGATTTTCCATGGCTATGTTAAATAACCAGAGGGTAGATGAAATAGACATCATTGTTTGATTTTGTACATTACTTTCATATTATGTGATTTTGTTTGAACTATGCCCAGTTTTGCAGTGCAGTACTTGCTTCTGAAGAACATCTTCAGTCCTTGAATTTACCATTTCATGATTAGCTAGTTTACCTCATTATATCACCATTCAATCACCCTTATATTCCCATTAGATCACCTATCTTTGTTGGTTAACTTCCCGAATTTGATGCAGCAAAAAAAAGGTCTGACTTGGAAGATCTTGGAACACTGGTCAGGCAAGGATGCAGAGAACGCTTTTTGCAACACATCACCCCAAGTGCTAAGAGGAAAGCAATGGTCAGACCGAGGGTGTCCCACGATGATTGCTGAGACGTGGGGCTCAGTCGTCTCCTCCATAAGCTGTTCATCACCACACCTTCGAAGGAAGACAGGTTGATCATGTCATTGCTTAGTAACTGATTTACAAGGGGTTACACTCAACTCATAGGATAACTCCAGAAATGGGGACTTGACAACCAGGGTTGCTAGCAATTTGCTCAGAAGAATAACCCAAGGAGGTATAATCTCACTGGTCTTATGACAAAGCAACTTGACATCTTGCAAGTGGATTAAGTATACCTGGATAAGGCTTGTTGAATGTCAACTTCTCTGTTTTCTTGCTGTTCCTCATGCGTATGGATCCAATTTGATTGCCCAGAAAACCGCAGGGCTTCAAATTCTAGTGTCTTGTTCGCTCTCTTGATTGACTTTCCAGTGGAGTTTATATTAAGATAGCAACATATAGCAACCAATTTAGTTTTTTTGGGGTTAACCGATCCATTCATCCTCCATTCATCCTCCATTTATACATGTTTTTTCCATCATTCCCATGGCAATGTCCAAGCCAATCCCAGGCAAACGTTTGCGCGGAAATGTGTTTGTGATTTCTACTTCCCCCCAATCTATATATAGACGTTTAAGCTTAAGTTTGGGAAAAATCAATGTTTAAACCTTTGGAAGTTTTTTTCATGACCCCAATTTCCTCCACAAATCCAGTGATATTTGTCTGAAGTATTACGACCGCATCACAACGTCACTGTAAATCATGCTTAAACTGGAACCACATCACAAAAAATCGCCTTTTCTCAGGGTTGGTGAATAAAAATGCAGAGTTACAGCAACTGAGCTATTCATTTGGGGCCCACCTTATAAGGGACGGTGATTTTTGATGATCTCTGGGGGTCGGAGCTGTTTCTTGGGACTGGGGGAATGGGATGGAAAAAAAGTTACGGATTGGATCATTCATGATCATTCCAAACAAATGCCTAAGCACCGATCATATGATTACTGTAAAATTGTTTGCCTTTTTTTTTACTTTATAGTTTTTTGTTTAAAAAAAGAAACACAATTTCACCACATTCCTATTAAGGATTATTAAGTTCCTCCCTAAACAAGCCCAATTTGATGGCCTCTGCAGGGATCCCCCCTCACGGACACGATCGAGAAGGAACACTCTGAGGCGAGCGACCGGTGGGTCGAAACTGTGGCGACCTTTTGAAAAAAGCAGATCAAGCAACAGAAATATTGCTGCGACTCAAGTATCAAATGCAGGTCCTCATGGATGGTTTGTATCCTTTCCCATGACTTGCGGCCATGAACTGAAAACTGGCTTTGTTGACCTGAAAATTTGGGGGAAGCCACCCAAAATCCAATATTCTATCATAAAATTGTCCCAATGACAGATATGAAGACTATATAGTTATAGTTTTTTTCTCAAAGGAAACATGGCAACCAACTTTTTCAAAGATATAACGTCAACCCTGGATGAATTAAAATTTCTAGGTTGTTTGAGTGGTTGGACCCCATTGAAATGTCACGAGCTACGACCACTTTTTTGGACAACCCCATGGCACCATGGGTCGTCAGGTCACCCTCGAAGGAAGTCCGAAGAATCGCCGCTGGGCTGCGGCGACGCGGAAGATATATGGAAAAATAGTGGTACCCTCTGGCTATTTAACAGTTCGCCATGGTATAGATGGCCCATTTATAGTGGATTTTCCCATAAAAAATGGTGGATCTTTCCATGGCTATGTTAGTTTACCAGAGGGTAAATTTCATAGGAAACACAATAGATATATGGTTGAAACAACTAGATAGATGGAATGTATATGTGAAAAATGGGAATATTTCATGGGAATATGATGGATGGCGGGAGATCATTCTTCATCATGCTTCATCATGTTCATGTCCATCTATGTTTTTTTCAACCTGTAGTTTTCTGATTAATCATGATTAACAATTAATCAGAAGGGTGTTCCACATTGAAGAACCAATAGGTCAATGGTATCAACCTATGTATTTGTTGTCAAGATGGACAGTAATTACATCCCTAGCTGTGGTTCAAGCCTGGGAAGTCTAAAAAGACATACCGATTTTGTGTCATTCCTGGGTCAACCTTGGGCTCATAGAATATGTTTGAGTTCTTTTTTGCCTATTTCAATAGGAATGTCTACTAGCTAGCTAACAAGTTTTTTTTTTTGTGTATCTCAGATTGGCAATGATTTTCTCATGTCAACGATTCACCATTTGCTGCTGGTTGTTTTTTTTTGGGGGGGGAGGACGGTCCCCAACGACTAGTAGATTTTTCTGGGGGTTGAAACCACCAATCAGATCGATTTGGAATGTGTCTATGGTTTGATGGCTGTGTTTTTGTTGTAGACGATTTGCGCGGGATTTGGTATATACGGTATAATATGTCCACGCACATGTTTCTTTCTAACCATATAGTCTGGATGATATTTGACCCAATCTGAGCCATATTGCAGACACACTGTGTCCTGGTGGTCATAATTTTTCAGTGATCCTCGGACAACCAACATTTCCTCGGACTCCCCAGGTCCAAGTCACTTCTCAAGCCCCTGGGAGCCCCAAAAATGCTATGGATTTCGATCAGATCTGGAGTTCGAAGACTCTGAAATTGACCAAAAACAATCCTGGGTTTGATTTGACTCCCAAATTGCCTTGGCTTCAGGCTCAATTTCGGTCCGTAGCCATCATGGTTAACATTGATTACAGTATATTATCAATTATCATCACACCTACTCAAAACCGTGATTTTAAGGTAACCACATTTATACATACACCAGGTATTACCCTCTGGTTATTTAACATAGCTATGGAACATCATCCTGTGTTTTTTGTTTAATATAGATGAATCATCATGTTTATCAAAACATATTGTATATTTATTTGGTTCATCTATATAGATGGTCAATTTTTTTGGGTCCATATATATATATATATTTAAAAAAAAATATATTATATATATATACACAGTATATTGGTATGGACCATCCATACCATAGCAAGCTGTTAAGATTATGATCAAAGGCATCCAATTGCAAAGTGGAACATTAAAAAAATAACAGGATTATAATGATGGTTCTATAGTTATTATCCAATTATTATGGTATGTTAAATTACTAATGGCTCACCAAATTTCTATAGTTATTATCCAATTATCATCATATTAACCATATATAAGATATTATAAGTTCCATGTACCAATGGCTAACCAAGAATTCGATCACAGAAAACCCAACTGCGTACACCGAGTTGGCACTGTGGTGGTGCTCCAAGCCTTGCCGTTGCTGGGCCTTCAACGAGGAGACGAACTCTGCAGGCGGTGGCGATGCGTTGAATCAACGAAGCATGAAAAACATGTGGTGGAATGATGATTAAAATATGGGAATATATAGGGAAAATGATGATATGTGATATTAATTAATGATTTTAATGGGAAGATATAGGGAACATATAGGGGACATACAGGGAAACTGATAATAAATAACGTTATGTATATATATATGATATGAATTAATATTAATGGGAAAACACATTTATACCATCTTAATGAGATAATGTTTTTTTTTTTAATGGTGAAAAAACACTAACATAATAGCATGACATGAGAATATATGAGAACATTGTTGTTTTTCATTGGATATTACTGAGAATATGATGGAACATATCATCAATTACGCTCACTATATAATAAGCAGTTGCTGTAGATTGTATAGCCAATATTCGAGGATAGTGATCAAACCATGAATATAGAAATTTGGAGGTTTCCTGAAATAGGGGTACCTCCAAATCATCCATTTTAGATTGGGATTTTCCATTATAAACCATCCATTTTGAGGATACCCCATAAGCCATCCACGATGCTTTGACCCTAGCACAGATAGGGGTCACTGAAGACAGTGGATTTACCATCAATATCAATTTATGGGGAAAGCGTCAATATAATTGGGATAGGAGGTGAATACAACGGAATAACTATATCACCAACCTGGCAGATACATGGAATATTATGGACATGTAAAGCCACAGTTATTCGGATATACAAGCAACAAAATCCAACTTAAATGTGTTGGCTGTGTTTTATGGCTTGTTAGTTAACCATGGATTTCCAGTGCCCTTTCGGCACCGCCAGGGTCAATGGACATGAAATCAACAGCCTTCAGTCCTGGAAGGTGCGAGACCATTGGGGATCTCGGGAACGGAGCAATGGAAGACGGTGACTGATTGGTGCCCCGTTCGTGCCGTGAAGTCTGTTGGTGAAAATTCAACTGGCAAATGGACTATGTGACTATGGACTGTTGGGTTTATGGTAGATATTTTTCTTGGGCTAGTCAGGGCTGGATGTTAGTTATAATATGTTTGAGTGATCATCTCAATGGAGGTTGATAGTTTTGACCAATCCCCATGAAAGAAGTCTGCACATCATGGGGGGATTCAGCAACCCCCAGTTCGGTGAGCAAGGTCATGATCAATCCTATGTGAGTGTCACAAATCGGAGTTGGCTGATGATTACATGGGGTTATATAGAACTGTAACTGTATATAATATTGGGGTAATACTCAATTATTATAGGGGTAACGATTATTACCATGACTACCATTGCTACTCAGCCCAATGCATTGGGTCGATGCTGCTCATGCAGAAAGTAGATCATACCCTCAGGTGTATGCTGACCTGCACACTTCACCGTACGCATTCCCAAGCATCCACAAACTTTTGACATGTTACTGTTAATAAATAGTATGAAAACATCTCAATTGGTGTCTTGGCTAGCTGTGTTTGTTGGTTTTGTGTCATTGTCAAGATGCACCGGCAGCACCAAACGTGATGCAGGCTGCGACAAAGCACGTTATGAAGATCGCAATGGATTTTCGACGTCCCTCAGCAGTTGGCTCTTCTGAAGTGTGGTCCAGAGACATGGCATTTAAAAAATAACATCTCCATTGCAAAAGGACTTGGTGGGCATTCCTTCAACGGCTTGGACATGTTGCTTTCCGATTACAGGGGCAGACCCCCAAAAAAAGCAGATGGACCTTGTAAAAGGCTGGGTAGGCAATCCATTCTCATCAGATTTTCCATGATTTGGATTGCCATGGCCATAATTTGGCTAAAACTTAGGTTATCAATCCATTTAAAATAAGGGATTCACATGCCCATTGCTTTCCGGATTCTCGAAAACTTGGAAACAAAAATCCGAAAATGGATGATCTCGAATCCCTGGATCCTTTCAGGTAATGTGACCCAATGTCATGTTGACCATGTTGACCATCCCCAAATCACCATTCAAAATTCGGTGGTAAGTTCAACATCCCCAGTCATGGTTGATGGCAGCCAGGGTTTCCCACATTACCCTCTGGTGATTCAACATAGCTATTGAAAATCACCACTTCTAATGGGTAAATCAACTAGAACTGTGCCATTTTCCATAGTTATGTCAAATTACCAGAGGGTACATTCCATCACTCCACCATTACTAACTAAATTACTCACCATCATTAACCACTATTATATAATCACTATTAACCACTATTAACCATCATTCACCATCATTAATCATCAACGATGTGGCTAAAACAATGCCGCATTGGTCACCATCAATTGGTCACCGCCATAGGTCGTTGACACCGTTGATGATGATCCCCAAAAAAGACAGAGGCTATAGCTATCTAATCCTAGGGACTTAGGGGGAAGGGATTTCTTGAACATGGTTTGAATGATGATGCACATATGATGTATATATGATTTATATGATTTATATATGATGTATATATGATTTATATATGATGTATATATGATTATATATGATTTATATGATTGGTTCAAACAAAACCCTTGGTTGTATCCCGAAGATGGTCTATCCCTTTCCGATTTCGGAGATGGTCAATCCTCATCCCACTGGTCGTTGGCAGCTGGATGCCCAAGTCACCATAGGTATCAAGACTAAAAATGGTCTAAGCTTCGGTTGATTTGGGTGTAGTATTTGAGGAAACCTTGAATATAGAACACACATATATATATACACATATCATATGTTACTAATAATATTGTGGATAATTGTATTGGTACCAAATTATGTGTATATATATATATCCCATTGTATATCCTATTTTGAAATCACCATGCAAGTTCGATTTCGAGGTAAAACGGTGCCATTGGAGGTCTCAGCTGCTCGGCTGGTTCTGATTATGGGGATGTAATGGTTCTGCTTATTGTTGATGATCTTAATATATGCTTATCATTTATGTCAATTATGGGGATGTAATATATTGCTTATTGATCATAAGTTATCGTAGTGGTGTAACATGATTTCACCAACTTCACCAGCGGGTGTCGCGCAACTGGATTCACCGTCCTCACATTCAACCGTTCGTTGAGAGCTGAATTTATTCTACCAACAAAAGGTTCGCGCAGTGGAAGAGTCTTTTTTCTGTGGAAATCACCCCAGTGATAGCGATTGAATCGGTTGATGAATTGGGATATTCCTGTGGTGATGATCATATCCAATTATTAATTCCCATTGTCTTTGGTGAACATCTAGATATTTCATGATTTCTCATGATGTTTTCTCAGAAATTTACATCATTTTCCAATCATCGCAATAGCAATTGAGATCCCCTACCAATATATCATATATCCCTGATTGGTACCCCTATCAATATAGATCCCCTACATTAAAGCGTTAAGAACGCTAAAAACATTAAAACTAGTCCTAACAAAATGGTACCTAAAGGTCTCTCTTACATGTTATTACATGTGTATATATATATATATGTATATATCCCTGATAGGGGATGGTCTGGCACTCTAAATCCCACAGAATTTTTCCATTATATCCCACAGTATATCCCTAATTCACCCATGATTGTATCCCGTAATTGGATTCACCATTGGTGAAAAAGGGTGAAAAAGGGTGAAACATGGTGAAGCCGTATATACCCTTTGGTAAACAAACATAGCTATTGAAAATGGTCATTTATAGTTGAATTACCCATTAAAAATGGTGATTTTCCATAGTTATGTAAACGTTTACCAGGCCGGGTAATTGGGGATATTATCCCATTTTATCCATACATTCCCACGAAAGATCACAGTATCCATGAGTGGCAATGATCTCTATTAATATATAGAACCATCAGATGTCGGGATATTTCATGGATTAATTGATGATGAATATGATGTGTTATGGATACAGTATTTTATGTTAAATTGCCAGAGAGTTAATGATCATTGATTGTGGCAATGATCAAACAATTGGGGTCTTAAGACTTTCAGGGATTGAAGACATTTCCCAACTCTTGAGGTATTCAACATGTTCTTCTATTGTATAATCATCAACTCTCTGGTAATATAACATCGCGGACAATTGCCCATGTATAGATCATTTACCTCTTAAAGATGGTGATTTTCCATACCTATGTTAAATTGCGGGAATGACCCAACCCTTTCCACAGTTACCATAGATTTCATCCCGGATGAAGATGGACTAACTCGATATTGCCATAGATTAGTTACTATGTCATAGTTATCATACTTATATTTCCCATATGTCCCATACATTTATCATACATTTACCATACATTTCCCATAGTTACCATACATTTCCCACCGCTACCATACATTTCCCATAATTACCACATATTTTCCCACATATTTTCCATAGTAATGATAATATGTTACTAGGTAATCATAAAACTACTTGGTAATGAACCATATCATGAATGATATGATTTTAATATATCAACTAATGATATTATTTATATTACTAGTGATGGTAATATATTTATGAACCATATTTTAATATTACCCTCTGGTTATTTAACATAGCCATGGACAATGGCCCATTTATAGATGGTTTACCTATTAAACATGATGATTTTCCATGGCTATGTTAAATAACCAGATGGTAATGGTAATATATCACATACTATTAATATATTAATCCCAACTAGTAATAATGATATGGTTAATATACTATTTATGAAGCACCATTAACATACTGTGGTTGATATATACCATAAATAGTATATTAACCATAGTATATGAACCACCATTTATATACATTACCATTAATAGTAAATAGTATAATGATATGGTAATATATTAATCTGGGCAAATTATAACGACCTCACTGCGACCTCACTGGGAATCATGGATAATAAGGGGAATCATCCCCAAATGGCCCAACAATTCAGGTCAGTGAATTATTATAATTTGCCCAGATTAATGGTAATTTATCACATACTATGATTTTTTTTTCCCACCTAAACATCACCTTCATCCCCATAAAAAGGATCCGACCGAGGCAAGTCCCATGAAGGTCCTGCCAGATCGACGACGCTCCGAGGAAGAGCTGACGTTTATTTGGAGCGTCGTGGAAGAAAAAAACATGTAACGTTTGGGAAGAAAACATAGGGAAAACACATGGAACTAAATGAACTAAGCTAATTAATACAATATAAATTGTAATATGTATAGCTATTGACTATTGAACACATTTTAGATGATAATGGCTAGCTAGCAATTGTATTTCACTTGATGTAACATCTATCATGATTTAATAGTTTGCTGTCGAACAAATGCCACTGTTTAGTAAAGACACAGTCGAACTAGGCTATGGTTTCCACAGCATTGTAAGAAAGGGAAATTAATGGTTCATTAAGCTACCTGAGGGGTTGAATTAGCCGAGGTTGCTGAAAAATAGTATTAAATGGCAGTTTCTCAACAGCAACGTTCATAAGGGCCTATTTAAACCTCAGCAACCAGGTATGTTTGAAAATCTCGCTGCAGCTTGCAGTTACCCGAAATGGCGATCTCACATTGAGTTCCATGATTTTCACATGAAAACCTCCGTTTAGTTCGGATGTCGCATTTATAAACCACTCTATAACCAAATCTAACCATAACTATGCCAGCCATGACTGGCTACCAAAGCGTACCTCCAAAAACGTATCATGACGCTCACCAGCATACAGGACTGGCACTCGGTGAGCAGCACAAAAGACTGCAGCCGCGAGTGTGTCTGGGTTGGCAACAAGTTCTTGTGGTTATTAGCAAGCAAAGAGTTGTTGAAACGTTGGACACGTGGAATTCATGAAGAATACGGGAGGAAACATGATCTATAACATCCCGGAAACACTTTTCTGTCTTGTTGGGGATTCCTATGAATTAACAACATGTCCAACAGGAAGGTTTTGTCAAATATCAAAATACTTTGTTTGAGTTAAGATGAACTGGTTGATTGCCGTAGAGTGACTGGAAAGGAGGGTGCGAATGTCGAGTATTTTCTATAGTAATCCCTCCCCGTAAGATTATAGTCATCCTAGGTAAACATGAAATTCTTTTGATCTTCATTTAAATGGTGATCAATTTTGACAATGCCATATTCTATCTACTTCATCCATTTTTATCTCAGTGGGGAAGGGATTACCGGAATTGTTTTCTTCCGAGAGCAAGCAGCTCTATATATATATAGAGATGGTGAAATGAGTTTGTCTGAAAAAAATAGGGACAACCGGGAAAACCCCATTAAATAGCCATTTGGGTTATATTATCTATATCAGTCAAACCATATTAAACCATGTTAAATCCATGTTTGTTGATGGCTGAATCCCTATTTTGGCTGGCAACCACCAGTGTCAGACACGCCCAGACAAGTACAACATTGGTGTTCCTCAATACATTCCAAATGGATCTACCTCCATATCATACATCTGGGTAAATTATAACGACCTCACTGTGACCTCACTGGAAATCATAGTTAGTAAGGGGAATCATCCCAAAATGGCCTTAATTCAGTTTGGTGAAATATTATAATTTACCCAGATACATATCCAATGTGAAGTTCTGCCACCGACTGGATGGACATTGCACCTGTAAAGTGGGAGATGTCAGGGGACAAATTGGGGTTTGTGCAGCACATTGCCATTGAAATACCAGGAAATTATGGGAACATTAAGAAACACAAATTGTGTTGGGTCGTTTCTTGGACAAAGCCATGTTGGGTTGGTTCTACCACTTGGTTTTATCTTCTTTGAATACTATTGAATAATATACTATATATACAATGTATATCCAAGTAACCTTAAGTAATCTAGATATAATGTATATCAAGTAAAATTTATAACTAATCTATGCAAACCATTTTTTAAATCAATGAGGTTTCAGACATGGACGTTTCAAACGGTGATGCCTCAGATGCCTCAGGTAGTCACAATGAAGAGCCCCCATGGTCAGTGATGTCGGTCCTCAGGGGGGGTGCAGCCAAATTGGGGAAATATCACCAGTATACCCTAAGGATCCTTGGGGTAGAGAAAAACATATTTAAAAAAACAATGATTTCTAGGAAAATTGAATGAACATGATCTACATTCATGATGAGGTTTCACTGTAAACGTATATAAACGTTTACAGTGTTGATGATGGGGGGAAATTAATGTGGATTTCAGCTGATATTCGGACTGAAGCATCAAAGATGGGCTGAAGAGATATTGCTCTGTTTTTTGGATGGGAAGAATCAATCGATTTTCGCCAATGGCCCATGATGTTTGGATACCCAGGGACACCATTTATGCCATGCAACTTGACGAAGGCACTTACATTGAGCTTTGTGTTAGCAGGTTCCTCGGCCAACCTCACAAGAGAACTTGACATGAACAAATTGGCGAGCCATCAAAAGCATCCACAGTTAACCATTCTGTTTGTCCAGTGTGATGACCACAGTTGTGCAACGATAAGCCCAGTTATACATCATTTATAAATGGTAAAGAGCCGAACAAAAATCCTGAAGTCATTGGATGTCATTGGAATATTCAGCAAATATGGAGGATTCTCCCACAGATTGTAACTGGTGAATAAGCCTACCTATATAGATATCATAAGTCCCCCATTCGTGGATTATGCTATTTATGTTTGCGGTATACCCCCGCAAACGCTAGTTCTAAGTTCTAACTCTTCGTGGGGTGATGCTCCAGGTAGAAACTTATAATATCGTTTGAAATCATCCAACAAAAATGGATCTATATGAACATTTCTGATTGGTGGTTTGGAACATTTTTTATTTTTCCATATATTGGGAATAATCATCCCAACTGACTAATATTTTTCAGGTGGGTTGAAACCACCAACCAGATTTCTATTGTCCATTGTATGTCCCTTTGGTAGGTAAGCTTCAGTTTTTTTTCGTTGCGCCCAGGTTGTACAAGTCCACTTGCCGTCCACTTGGACAGAACTCGGTGCGGGGCCTCGGTGCGGGCACTGCGTTCCAGCCAGTTTCCAAAACACGGGGGTGGTGTCAAACTGGAGACATAACCAGCCATAATGTGCGGGAAAATGCGGGAAATTACTATTATTATGATTTTAACATATTTTAACAATAGATGGGAGTATGATTGGCAAGATAAAGCTGAATCTGAAGTAACCCCCCCCATCAAAGTAAAGACTGACAGTTATCGGGACCCCAAAATGGAGAAATCCAATACTCAACCCGTGTTTTCTTATTTTTTGGAGGATGGGATTGATTATTATATATACGTAACTGTACTGCAATGTTTGAGATGTTGTAGTTGTATCATCATAGTTGCCGATTAAAACCACGTGTTGACTGAAGCTACATGCTTTAATCATCTTTAATCCTGTCCAACCAACCACAATGCTGAAAACCAACGTGGTCGTACCTCATGGCACCGCCAGAACAGAAAAAAAAACAAAGAAAAAACAATGTCCCGGTGTGGAAAGTTGATGGATTTCATGATGTTTTGGGGGGTTCCACATGGGTCTGACTGAAAATACGGGATGCCAGGATACCTCAAAACGGTCATTCATTTGGAAAATCATGACTAAACATAAAAATGAACCATGAAAGACAATTTTGGATACCTATTTTCCCACATTCTGGCAGTTCTGGCAGTACCAAGTTGAGGATTTAGGACTTTAGGAGAAATTGAACTTAGGGAAAGCTACAGGAGATGAGAGGCTGGACTGGACACTTGTCCAAGCTTAATGCAACTATTTGCAGCTTGAATCAGCAATTTTACCCTCTGGTAAACTTACGTACAAGAAAACTATGGAAAATCCCAATGTTTTAATAGGTTCAACTATCAATGGGGGGGATTTTCGCTATATTAGTTTACCAGAGGCTACCCTCTGGTTATGTCAACATAGCTATTGAGAAAATCACCATAGAAATAGTGGATTTTCCCATTGAAAATGGTGGATCTGGTGATTTTCCATAGTTTTTTGTATGTTTACCAGGCCGGGTATCCTGTTTCGCCCATGCAGGTGGAAACATTGGATGCGATCACGTCCAGAACCGGGACCGCCGTGGCAATGATTCGTTTAAAAAGAATGCGACATTTGAAAAACATGAGATCATATTATATACTGTATATATATATATAATATTATAAATATGTACACAGAAAAAAATATGTAGACAGAAAAAATGATGATCTTGGTGCTGATTTGCAAGCGGATTTACTCGGTGAATCAACTGCTGAATGCTGAATGACTACGCTAGGGGTTTTGTTTAAACGGAATCGTGGTGCTGGATTTGGTCACTATTTCATTTTCTATTTGGTGGTTCCAGTTAGTGAGTGGGTTACAACACCAATTATAACTGGACTAACCCCACTTAACAATACTTACGAGTTGTGAGTTGATGTATGGATGGTATGATATGGTATGGTATGGTATGGCATGGCATGGCATGGCATGGTATGGTATGCTATGTATGTATGTAAATGCACCACAACCTATACTAGGATGGTGCCCCATAGTTGGTTACGTTGATGAACATAACTCCAATAACTGGGCTTTCTGCCCGGTAGACATCTATATCTATAGCTATATTTCTATATGTTTATATCTATGTATATATATATATATTTATATCCATATTTCTTTATCTATACAGATCTATACTTAATTTTTCAAGACTTAAATGTAGGTTATAAACCAACAAACATCTCATTGGGGGCACCAGCCATCGCTACTGTAGTTTCCTGCAATTTTTGCAGGACCAGCCAGACGAAGCTCTCAGAATCTCAGGTGCCGTTTGACTCGGCACGACGGCTTGGCCGCTATGGCGCTACCTAGCCATCAACAGCATGATTTACCCTATGGTGAACTAACATAGCTATGGAAAATCACTATTTTTAATGGGTAAATCCACTATTTCAAATATTTCAATGGCAATTTACCCTATGGTAAATTAGCTTGGACCCTGAAAATCACCAATTTTTCCATGGAAACTGTTGTCTTCCAACCCCGATGACTGCCAGGGTCGAACTGTTAATTTACCAGAGGGTATAGAATGATATGATATGATATGGTAGTTTAACATGTGCCATCACACTGGCATGTCAACCTATGGATATAGGGGTTTCCAAATATATTTTTTTTTTTTTTTAATTTTATGGGTTTCCATAAATGGGGCTACCCCAAGCCATCAATGATCATTACAGAGAGTTGGTAATGGTTAACAATGGTTTTTGTTAATGATGATTAACAGAATATACATGAATATACCCTGTATGATGTAAGATAATCGTGGGTGTTTCCATAGTCATGGGGTATCCCAAAATTGATCGTTGATTTCATGGCAAATTCATCCATATATGGATGATTAAAGGGGTACCCCCCCCATTTTGTGAAACCACCCTCTAGTAATTTAACATTGCTATTTCAAATTGCCATTTATACATGATGATTATTTGCTTCTTCAAAATGATGTTTTTTTTTTTTCCCTAGCTATGTTAATTTACCAGAGGATATAATGATAGTGCTATGGTGTTAGTATTGGGTAGACGATCAACTTATTTACAATCAACGGTAATAAATTATAACAGATGATAACTAGTTAACTGATTCGTGATGATAGTAGTGTGTCATTTCAATGATATATGGGAATCGTCCATATGTGTCAGGGTCAAAAGTTGCGGTTTTTGTGTACCAATATTGGGGATGGTCATTAATCAATGAAAGTGATTTTATATACCATACCTATGATGTTTGGATTCCCAATACGGGATGGGTGACCAGACACCATATGTATATATATATATTATACCATGTTTTGAACTAGCCCATATGGGGATCTCAACCACTATGGCAACAGAATAGCATAGACTTATTAGATGCGATATATTTGTGGGATATGATCAACTTGATATGATATTCGGGTATGTCTAGCAATGGGGCTACCCCCAATGCATACAAGTGTAATATGCGTATCCGGTATATATGCATAATGATACAAGCTTGTATCACCAATAAGCATTGTGATTCCAACTAATTACACAGGTGGTATGGTGGTTATCTTCACTTCTAGTATCAAAAAAACAATGAAACACTAGCTCGCACCCGCGAAATTGAACATTTCGATCCTCAATAATAGATGTACCCAATTGGAGCTTATTCTTCTATAACACCCATATTACGTTTCCGAGGGTAGGCTGCGAATGCTAAGGCAATTTTGGAAAACAGTGGCCTCAGGAATCAAAAAAAGTGGATCCTGGTACTACAAACAATTGCTCATATGGCGGTTTTCTAAAATAGGGGTACCCCCCAAAGTTCATTTTAAGAGGATCTTCCATTATACACCATCCATTTTGGGTACCCCATAATTTATGGACCCCCCCCCATATATATGGAGAATTTTGATGTCACTTGTCAGGGAAAAATTGACCTACCAAATGGGTTTTCTAGGAACAAAAGTAATTGATATCCAATGGTCAGAATACCCTCTACCAATCCAGTATATTTATACCCAATATATTGTAATTCTATCATAATACCCAATATATATATATATATAATACCCAGTATATTATAGTTCCTATCATAATACCCAATATATAGGATATTGGATAGGAACTACTCTAAAACCAATGGTCAGTAAGTAGCCTCTGGTAGTCATGGCTTGGTGGAAAATCTCCCATGGCTAGTTGTTCGATGATTTTCCCGTTGAATCGGCCCTTGATTCATTGCAGATTTTTTTCCCTTTTCAATGTTTGAAAAAACCGGAAGATATACCATCTGGTTATGACTAACATAGCCATGGAAAATCACGAGTTTTAATAGGTAAACCCAGGTAAACCATCTATAAATGGGCCATTTTCCATGGCTATGTTAAATAACAAGAGGCTATCCCCTAAGATATTCCCATTCAACAACTCTATGCTCGTAGAAAAATATTCTGTGATATTCATTATACACCATTTCACATGTCAGCAATTCACCATTTTTCACCTGAGAATATCCATCATGATTCAACCATTCAGATTCTTTCTAACAGTTGTGTGACTCAGATGCTCATATGACTCATAGATGGCCAGAGAAGATGGCCACATGCAGTTTGAAACTCTATCTATATTGAAGTCCATGAGCACATGTCCAAAAAAGGGATCCCCACCGCTTCGATGATGATGATGATGATGACGACATGTTTTTCTTGGGAGACCTCTTTGGTCTTGAAAAGACACCATGACACGCTGCTCGGAGCAGGACGTCATCTTCCTCTGATGCAGATTGAGTCGGGGGTAGAGCTTGATGGACTCAGAACGGCCTCAGAACGGGCTGGCACTGGGTAGATGAGGAACGATGTTCCAATGTTAGTCTTGGGGTCAATCAACCCCCATGCTATGAGTATGCGGCAGTATGCGGAATATGGTGCCATTTGGTATTGTAACATGTTGTATCTATGGCCACATTCCAAAAATACAGGGCATTCTGGCCATCAGTTTGGCATGTTTCGCCGGGCATTTGAGCCAGAATTTGGATGTCGTCCTAGAGAATGGGATGGAATTTCGTGAAAACACCCAGCAATCATCAACAATCAATCCCAGTTTCTTTTGCGACAACGGGATTCTCCATGGATTTTGGAGGCTCTTTTTGATGATTTTGGCGTCACTTTTAAGTAAGTTCTGGATTCCACTGGATGACTGTCATCCCTGGTACTCCTGGGACCTACATGGAGAGATACAACGAGACGTCAATCGTGGTTTTTCCAGGAACAGATACTGTGATTCTCTTGTTTGTGCCATATTTACATATATTTACCATTATTTACCTGTATAGTAGGGGACAAATACTTAGAACATCATTTGGAAAAGATCAGCCTTCACAGCGGGGATGTTCTAAGTATCACTTAGAACATCAGGAAAAACCATATACTTAGAACATATCCAACATATATACTTAGAACATTGGAACCATTCAAAAATTATAGACCATTTTAGTTCATTTTAGTATTTAAACCTATGCTTTCGGGCTGCCCCGAGTAGGATGCCTACAAATTACCAGAGACCTCTCCCAGTGCAGCAAAGATGTTCCGGAAGAAAAGGCAATGTTTTTCAGCAGCAGTGAGGGGAGAAAGTGTGTAGACATGCAGATTTATCAAAGTCCATGGAAATGTTCTAAGTATATGGTATATGGTCTGTTTATGTTCTAAGTATGCAAAAATCAATGGAGATGTTCTAAGTATGTGTCCCCTGGATGTTCTAAGTTCGCACTTAGAACAGGTGCCCATGTTCTAAGTATAGTGTCCGTTTATGTTCTAAGCAAGGGGTTAAAAAAATGGAAAAATGATATTCTAAGTAAAAGTCCTTCAATATATATCACAATATTAACATTATTTTGTCAATAATAGTAATGTAAATAATGATATACGACTAATAATGACAATAATGATACTATATCAACCAACCAAAGTTAAGTAACGATGTGGAGGGTATCAAAGGTCGGCAACATTTTTTTAAATGCATTGTTTAAGGCTTCCATGTTGAATGCGGTCTTCATAGGGAAAATTCAGAGAAAAACCGTGTTTCTTAGCATCAAGAGTATAGGGATGTCCTGCGATTCATCAGACAACCTTCCGCCCAGTTGCCAACCCGCCCCGGCGATGTGATTTTTGGAACTGAGTAGGTGGGGTGACGAAAGTTGGTGATTTTTGAGGCAATTTCCCAGTTTAGGAGTCACCAAAAAAAATATGTTTCCCGCATTTTTCGAAACCAATCCATTGAATCCACCAAAACTGATGTTGATTCATGAACTCAACATGAACCCATCTAACTAGTTCATACTAGTTCAAAATATAGTATAGTATTTAACTATAAATATCCACTATCAACCATAACCGTAACTAGTTGTACCAAGCAGATTCTGATTTTTGACACCAACTTCTGCCCTTAAATCGGAGCTTCCATCGTCTCAGCTCGATTGTTTGATCCCGTCTCAGCTCGATTGTTTGATCCCGAAAAGTCACCGTGTCGGCTGAAAGCCCAGTTGGCTCGGCTGGTCATGAGGCTGGCGCAGGGAACACGGGCCCAAATAAAATCATGTATTGATGGGACAATAGTGATAATAGGGATTCAGTATTTTTTGGGGGAGAATCTGGGATATTCGTGGATGTTCATGGACAGTAAGTGGTGCCCCAGTTTGGAATCGCTAAGTTGGTGAAAGCACATAGGCAAATTCGAGGCTTTATGGTAGATACCCTCTGGTAAACTAACATAACTATGGAAAATCACCATTTTCAATGGGTAAATCCACTATAAATGGCCATGTTCAATAGCTACGTTAAATTACCAGAGGGTACATCGAACTACTTCATGGGTAACACAAACCAACAAACGTTTCACTGGGGAGCGCATCCATAAAGCCGGTTATGGTACCGCCCAGCCTCGTGGTTTTCGCACTGTTTCACCAGGCCGCATGTTCACTTTTGGAGGTCTGAATCGGTTGTGAAGGCAGAGAAAAAACCTAAGACCTAAGCTGTGATCGAATAACACCAAGATATGGCAATCAAACGTGCCAATGGGAAAAACCCTAAAATAATGGAGGTGTTAATGGGATAATGATCTACACATGGGATATTGACAATTGCTTGTGATTACTGGAGGGTTTTCATGTTAAGTGTGTAATTTGCTAAGTCCATATCTGGTTGGGGGTTTGGATTTGTTTATTTTTCCATATATTGGGAATGTCATCATCCCAACTGACTTTCATATTTTTCAGAGGGGTAGGTCAACCACCAATTAGTTATAATATGTTGAGCATTTTTTTGGGTACTTCAATGTGTAGCTATCATCAAATTCCATATGGATCCACCCGTAGCTTCTGGATCCATAGGGATGAGTTGGCTAAAATGATACCCCCTCAATGATCCACAACCCAGCGTTTTAGCAAAATTCATGACCAAAATTATGGGTTAATCATTTCCATTAGGCGTATATATATAAGTATTGTGAATTGGTAACAGAGGCTCCCTGATCCCAAGCACCAATCAGTTGCACCTGCAAGGCTGCGGCCGCGCAGCTGTTTTCACCAAATCGCACTGCCTATGCGATGTCTCGCCACCCAAGGCGTGTAGCCACAAAACCAAGAACCTTATGGCTTCCAAGGTATCGATCCCACCCTCCGCAACGCCTTTGAAGGCTCCCTGAGCCAAATACCTTTGGGAGGATTTGTATTGTTCTCTTGTGGATGAAATGGGATCGTGCATCCCTTGGTTGAAGCTGCATGAGGAACGTTTCCCTGTCAAGCATGGTTATGACTGATCAAATGTTGACATTTCACATTCCCAAAACTTCAAAAGTTTTCTGACTTTGTTGACATTTGATCAGTACTGGATCGGAGCCACTTCAAGCGATTTCGTGCGGATGCACGGTCTTTCAAAACTTCATCGGAATCGTGGAGACAGTATCGCCCCTTTCGTAGGGTTTCCCTGAGAAACGTGGCTTCCATTACTTTTGTTAATGAGTCTGCCAACTGTGCCCCTGAATGTACCCAGTGTAATCTTATACCTTCGGTTAATATGTCCTTTATGGATCTGGCAAGGAGTTGTGTGCGGAATTCCTGGCAATTGGGGATGGCTGTTTCGGTAGTTAGATCGTAAAGGCTTTTACAATCTGTGATTGCGAAATCATTTTCTTGGACTTTGTAAGTTGGGATGGAAAAAGCTGGTGGTAAATTTTGGGATACTTCAGGTCGTTGCCATTCGGTTTTTGGGTCTAAGATCCATGCCCAGTATATTCTCAGCCATGTCAATTGATCAAGTGTTGTTGATAAAGCTGATGTTTCTGCTGATAGCGTACTAGTGACAATTCTTTGAATCTTTTTGGTTCCCCAGGAAAGTGGACTTATGGGGCAAGACTGATTTTTGGCTATGTCACTGTGCGTAGCTAATATGATCATTCCGGCATGAGACTCTGGTTTGCTTTTGGATGCGAAAGAAGCATCTGAGAATGCAATGAATCGAAGATCTTCGGTCTTGATTGGTTGTATTTTGATATGAACGTCACTGTGTTTCTTGGCATTATGGAGAACTTTGTTGGCTGTTAAAAGTGTTGCAACTGTCGCGGAATTTATTTGGGATTGGAGGTGACTGAGTGCGCTGGCAATGTCAGGTCGGGTATGTACAGCGGCATATTGTAGTGAACCTACGAGGCCTCGCAGGTGATGTCTCTCTTTTTCGGTGACCTGTTCCTTTTCTTGAAGCTTTCTTTCCTGTGATATTTGGATGGCAGGTATGTGGTTCACATACTTTGTCTGTGAAAGCTCAATGCTGTTGTCTGGGTGTTGGAATAGTTCTATTCCTGTAAACGTGAAGGCCTTTGATCTTTTGGAACCAAAAGGGTATTTTTCCTCTAGTTTGGAAATTTGTGAATGGAAATATGCATCCCCTCCGTAGATACCATCGTCAACATGAATACCCAGGACACCAGAGATTTCATTTGTTTTGGGATGTCTCAAGATAAACACACATGGGTCAAAGGGACTTGGCTGCATACCCAGATTTATGAGTTCTTCACTTAGGGTTTTAAACCATAGGAAAGGAGCATCGATGAGACCATATGCTGACTTATCTAGTTTACACACTTCATTCGGTGCAAGTTGGAGGGCCTTTGCAAGTTCTGGAACGGGTTCCATTCCCATCACTCGATCCTTTTGAGTGCGTCCTTGTAGAAAAGCAGCTTTGATGTCAAACGAACCCAAACTCCATCCCTTTGAAGAAATCAACTGGAGCAACAGCATTTTTGACTGTCGGCCAAGTGTCGGGCTGTCACGAGGAACTTCAGTTAAATTTGGATCAAGGTATCCGAGGACTACCAATCTGGCCTTCGGTTTGTGGGTCTTCAGTTTTTCGGATTTGATCCCTTTTGCATTTTCCGGGGAAATGGTTTCTTCTAGGGGCTTCCATACTAAAATCCATCGACATCGAATGATTTGTTCTGGGGCCAATTTATCCCTTAGTATCTTAGATACTGTTCCTGTGCTAAGCCAATTTTGGATTTCGCTCTCTTTGGCTTTCTTGAATGCTGCTTGTTCTTCCACTGTCAAAGTCGATAACTTCACTTCGGTTCTCTGCTTCTTCTCAGTTGTGGCAAGTAACAGGCTCTCGGGCGGTTGCCCTTGGCAATTAACCTTGGCAAGGTGGCTCGGCACTTCAAACTCGCAACGCCAGGCACAAGGTGTCTCGGCTGGATCCACGGTGAGTATTTCATCTTCTACGCAGAGAATATGGGTGGTCACAAGGTCATCATCAAGGGAACTTTCAGGAAGAGGGGTGTCAATTGGCTGATTAAAGAAATCATCGTGGGGATTGCT